GTCTTGGCTGATTTCTTTTGATTTTCCCATGATGTCAAGCAAAGAGGCACTGAGTTTGAAGGTAGGCCTTGAAATACATCCACAGATACACCTCCAATTGACTCAAATGATGTCAATTAGCCTATCAGAAGCTTCTAAAGCCATGACATCATTTTCTGGTATTTTCCAAGCTGTTTAAAGGCACAGTCAATTTAGTGTATGTAAACTTCTGACGCACTGGAATTGTGATACAGTGAATTATAAGTGAAATAATCTGTCTGTAAACAATTGTTGGAAAAATTACTTGTGTCATGCACAAAGTAGATGTCCTAACCGACTTGCCAAAACTATAATTTGTTAAAAAGAAATTTGTGGAGTGGTTGAAAAACAAGTTTTAATGACTCCAACCTAAGTGTATGTAAACTTCCGACTTCAACTGTATATACTTATTATGGACACAGTATGCTTTACTTTAGTTATCTTGTTGTTATTAGTTGTTGTTAGTAGTTATTAGTCCCATCCTTCAACTCCATTCAACACCTCCCATCTATCTCTTTACACCATCCATATTGGATTTCTATTTGCCATATATTTTTCAACTGTACTGTGATGTTTTACAAAAGTTCTGAACCCTTCTATTCTCATTGTTTCTACAGATTGTAAATTGAAAATATTTTATTTTGCTAAAAGTATTATTATATTATTGATCGATTGACTATGACTTTTCAGATCACCCAGTAGTGCTATCTACAGGGTTAGCTCCAGGTAAATATTGCAATCCTTTAGCCATTCCTGGACCTGTGTCCAAAAACAAGCTACAAATGGACAGTACCAAAACAAATGATCTAATGATCCTGTCTCTTCGCAGCACAATCTGCAGAGCTGGTAAGATTGTATCCCCCATATAAATACCATTCTATTGGTAGCAAGAATTTTGTATAATAATGTAAATTGAAAAATTGTAAGTTTTGAATCCGGCGTCGTTTTGCGTATCAGTTCATAAACACTATGCCATGGAATCGGTACGTCAAAAATCTCTTCCAAACTATTTTGCAACCTATATGGGACGACTGTCAATCCTTTGGTCCTTAAATGAACATTTTCTTTAACCAATTATGTTCTTTAATGCAGGGCCGACAGACAAGTTCCAGAGATGTTAGCCCAGGCATTTGTGAAGGTGCACAGCTCAAATAATCTGACAGAAGAGGGGTAGCATGGGAGAGAGAGGGTCAGAGGAGAACATCCGGGGGTCCTGGATTAGAGAGAGATGGTGGGGGATGCATTGAATGCCCCTTTTACCTTGGCTGAGATGAAGAGAGCATTAGATAAATCTGCGGTAACATCTCCTGGGAAGGATGAGATGTGTTACATCATGATGGCTCATCTCAGTGACACTGCAATGGGGAAAGTATTGGGCCTTTACAATAAGGTGTGGCAGGAAGGGAAACTGGAAGAAGGCGGTAGTGGTGCCAATACGGAAACCTGGGAAAGACCCTACTAGTACTTCAAGCTATAGGCCGATAGCGTTGACATCTCACGTATGTAAATTTATGGAAAGGATGATAACGGAAAGGCTGACTTACTTTCTGGAGAGTAGAGGACTAATGTCACCAGATCAAAGTGGGTTCAGGAAAGGCAGGGGAACGATGGATCCTGTACTGTGCCTTGAGTCAGTCATACGGAAGGCACAGGCAAATAAGGAGGTGGTGGTAGCTGTTTTCTTTGATGTAGAGAAGGTTTATGATATGATGTGGAAGGAAGGAAGGTCTACTTATCAAGTTGGATAACATGGGGGTTGGAGGAAAGGTTTTTAACTGGATAAAGGATTTTCTTTTGGGCAATCAATACAAGGGAAGGTGGGGAGCTCCATGTCATAAAGCTATGAGGTGGATAATGGTACCCCCCAGGGAAGTGTCATTAGTCCTTTGTTGTTCTCCATTATGATTGATGATGTATTCTCTCAGGTGAGACCTGATATTGGGAGGCCATTGTTTGCGGATGATGGAGTGCTGTGGAAAAAAGGGAGAAATATTACCCATACAGCCAGAAGAGTTCAAGAAGCGATTAGTGAAGTAGAGCAGTGGTCCCTCAGGTGGGGCTTCAAGTTTTCAGTTGAGAAAACACAGACTGTGTTTTTTTCTAGAAGGAAGGTTGGGGAGGAAATATAATTGAAGTTGTATGGAAGGAATCTGGAGAGGGTGGGAGGATTTAGGTTCCTGGGGGTCTGGTTTGACACTCCTGGGGGTCTGGTTTGGAGCATATTAACAGAGTAGTTGTCAAATGAAAGGAAATATTGAATGTGATGTGTTGCTTGTCAGGAATGGAGTGGGGGCAGAGAGAATGGCGTTGAAAATGATATATACAGTGGCTTACGAAAGTATTCACCCCCTTGCCATTTTTCCTATTTTGTTGCCTTATAACCTGGAATTAAAATGGATTTTTGGGGGGTTTGTATCATTTGATTTACACAACATGCCTACCACTTTGAAAATGGAAAATATATATTTTTTGTGAAACAAACAAGAAATATGACAAAAAAACAGAAAACTTGAGCGTGCATAACTATTCACCCCCCCAAAGTCAATACTTTGTAGAGCCACCTTTTGCAACAATTACAGCTGCAAGTCTCTTGGGGTATGTCTCTATAAGCTTGGTACATCTAGCCACTGGGATGTTTGCCCATTCTTCAAGGCAAAACTGCTCCAGCTCCTTCAAGTTGGATGGGTTCCGCTGGTGTACAGCAATATTTAAGTCATACCACAGATTCTCAATTGGATTGAGGTCTGGGCTTTGACTAGGCCATTCCAAGACATTTAAATGTTTCCCCTTAAACCACTCAAGTGTTGCTTTAGCAGTATGCTTAGGGTCATTGTCCTGCTGGAAGGTGAACCTCCGTCCCAGTCTCAAATCTCTGGAAGACTGAAACAGGTTTCCCTCAAGAATTTCCCTGTATTTAGCGCCATCCATCATTCCTTCAATTCTGACCAGTTTCCCAGTCCCTGCCGATGAAAAACATCCCCACAGCATGATGCTGCCACCACCATGCATGGATGGTGTTCTCGGGGTGATGAGAGGTGTTGGGTTTGCGCCAGACATAGCGTTTTCCTTGATGGCCAAAAAGCTCAATTTTTGTCTCATCTGACCAGAGTACCTTCTTCCATATGTTTGTGGAGTCTCCCACATGCCTTTTGGTGAACACCAAACGTGTTGGCTTATTTTTTTCTTTAAGCAATGGCTTTTTTCTGGCCACTCTTCCGTAAAGCCCAGCTCTGTGGAGTGTACTGCTTAAAGTGGTCCTATGGACAGATACTCCAATCTCCGCTGTGGAGCTTTGCAGCTCCTACAGGGTTATCTTTGGTGTCTTTGTTGCTTCTCTGATTAATGCCCTCCTTGCCTGGTCCGTGAGTTTTGGTGGGCAGCCCTCTCTTGGCAGGTTTGTTGTGGTGCCATATTATTTCCATTTTTTAATAATAGATTTAATGGTGCTCCGTGGGATGTTCAAAGCTTCTGATATTTTTTTATAACCCAACCCTGATCTGTACTTCTCCACAACTTTGTCCCTGACCTGTTTGGAGAGCTCCTTGGTCTTCATGGTGCCGCTTGCTTGGTGGTGCCCCTTGCTTAGTGGTGTTGCAGACTCTGGGGCCTTTCAGAACAGGTGTATATATACTGAGATCATGTGACAGATCATGTGACACTTTATTTAACTAATTATGTGACTTCTGAAGGTAATTGGTTGCACCAGATCTTATTTAGGGGCTTCATAGCGAAGGGGGTGAATACATATGCACGCATCACTTTTCCGTTATTTATTTTTTTGAATTTTTTGAAACAAGTAATTTTTTTCATTTCACTTCACCAATTTGGACTATTTTGTGTATGTCCATTACATGAAATCGAATTAAAAATCAATTTAAATTACAGGTTGTAATGCAACAAAATAGGAAAAACGCCAAGGGGGATGAATACTTTTGCAAGGCACTGTATAGCGCTGTTAAGGTCATCAATGGATTATGGAAGTATAGCATATGGATCAGCAGCTCAGACGTCTTTTTAAAAAACTGGATGTTATCGAGGCCCAAGTCCTAAGAATATGTTGTGGAGCACTCAGGACCTCCCCAGTAGCAGTGATACAGGTAGAGTTGGGAGAGATGCCGTTAAAGTTAAGAAGACAACAGCTAGCCATGACATATTGGGTAAATCTACAAGGACATAAGGTTCACATTCTACAAAAAAAGGTGTTCCTAGAGTGCTGGAAACATGAACTTGAGAGGGTAAGAAATATTTGAGGAAGGAGTAGATTCAGTTGTAAGTGAACATTTAAGAACACAATACTATGCTTTCTTGAATATATTCACAGATGGATCTAAGGACCCTAAAACAGGGAGGACAGGACCAGCTTTTAGTGTTCCTGAGTTTAAGGTGGCAGTGACGGCCATACTATTGGCTGCAGAGTGGGTGGAGGAGGTGAGGCCAGACAGGGTAGTCATCTGCTCTGACTCCAGTGCAGCAATGATGAGCTTAAATTCATGTGTGTCTCAGAGCAGACAGGATGTATTGTATGAAGTTTTGCAGTGTTTGTATAGGGTGAAACAGATGGGGGTATTTGTGATGTTCCTCTTGGTACCAGCTCATGTGTGAGTTGAGGGGAACAAGGAAGTGGATATTATTGCCAAGCAGGCTTTTAAACATCCTAAATTGAGATGGAATTGTCAATCAGTAAAGCAGAAACCAAGGGATTAATAAGAACAGTGGTTAAAAATAAGTGGCAAGAGTTGTGGAACAGGGAGAGTAAGGGACGACACCTGTATAAAATCCAGGAAAAGGTGGGGGCAGGGGGTGTAGTATTTAATTAAGTATTTCGTTTCCTTAGGGAGACGAGATTATTGGGTCGGATTGAGACCTTCACCGTCTCTGATCCACACTCCAGTTGGTGGCGGTAATGCACCTTAAAGTTGGTTGACAACCGCCATATAAAATCCACAGAAGAAGAAGAAGAATAATAAGAACTCGTGACGACCTGAGACTAGGGCAACCAATCTGTGTATCCCTAATCATCACCACACAACTTCCGAATAATACAGTGACGCAATCATCTGAAACTAAAAGTGGAATTTAACTTGGCAACTTGGGTGAATAGGTGGCTTTCTACATAGCTAGCTAAATAACTCTACCCACGACACCGAGGATTTGTTTGATGAAAGCAAGGAGGTAGTCAATTGTCTTTTGGTGTTGATATAGCTAGCTATGTAACGTTAGCTAAACTAATAGCTACTGCTACATTCTTCTCGCTAGCTAGCATTAGCATACATGTTTTGCTGAACTAGCTAGCCACTGGATCTATCTGCTGCGTCAGTCTATGTGGTAATGTTACTAACGCCGTTGGAGCATTGTTGAGCAACATTTCTCTGAACATTTAGCTATTGTAACCTAGTTCGACTTCGGAAATATTGATTCTCATCTGTTTGGATTAATTTACACATGCTAATTTACAGGCAAGGGGGTCGGCTAGTTACATCACCTCACTCTACATCCTGATCTGTGAGACAATGGCTAGCGCTGCCCCTCCAACAGCCGCTGCCTCGACTGCCACTGAGAACCCCAGCCCCGGTTCCAGCAGCTCGACAGCGGGGGAGGGTGGCAATCAGGACAGCACATTTGAATGCAACATCTGCCTGGACACCTCCAAGGATGCAGTGATCAGTCTGTGTGGGCATCTCTTTTGGTAAGCACCCTCTTGTCTTGACAGTGTTCTGTATTTGTGATTGATTGAGGGGCATTCATCCTTATTATCTGGTTGCCTGTAATAATAATAATAATACGCCATTTAGCAGACGCTTTTATCCAAAGCGACTTACAGTCATGCGTGCATACATTTTTGTGTATGGGTGGTCCCGGGGATCGAACCCACTACCTAGGCGTTACAAGCGCCGTGCTCTACCAGCTGAGCTACAGAGGACCTCGGGAGAGGGTCTTGTTCACATAATTAAATATAGTAATTTTAATGTATCTCTGTGGTCTTGTTATTTCACGTCATGTTAGTTGCATATGGGGAAATGTTATTGATGCCATTTTAATTTTCGTAGTGCAATCTTCAGATTTCAGGATGAATGATGAGATGCTATGACTTGACTGTCATCTAATTATTCTATCCCTTACCTTCCCTGTCCCCTTGCGCATCTAGTTGGCCCTGCTTACATCAGGTAAGTCAGTTGATACCTCATTTATTTTACACAAACCACTGTCATGATCAGCTGTCACCTGACCCTTTCCCAAGGGATGTTTGACTGCTTCTCTGAATGTATCATGCAATCTTAACCAGGGATGTCTGAATTGCCCCCCCCATGTTTATGCAGTGGTTGGAGACCAGACCAAACAGACAAGTATGTCCAGTGTGCAAAGCAGGCATCAGTCGAGACAAAGTCATCCCACTATATGGCAGGGGAAGCACGGGCCAACAAGACCCAAGGTGGGTTGATGCACTCAAAACATGAAAGCAAGGGGCACAGTTTCCATACAATCCTCAGTTCTCTACTCTGAATTTTACATCCCAAACTACTGCTGTAAACAACTTATCTCTCATTGTTATAGGGAGCGAACGCCTCCTCGACCACAAGGACAGAGGCCAGAGCCTGAAAATCGTGGTGTAAGTACTGTGTAATACAACAGCTCTATCATCACCAAGCCTATACTCTCACTTTTCAGACTGTGTAATTATTTAGCAAGAATGTGAGAAGTTCAATCCAGTTGGTTCTACTGTGTACCACCTGTTTGCAATGTTGGCTGCTGTATTGCACTACCCATTCATGATGAAACTATTACATGGGATTGTGTAGTTGCTGTAGTGCAATCCTGCCCATAGCCTAATTCATTAGCAGAATTACCTTTTCCACTGGGACCTATTAAGCTCTATCTGAGGAGTAAGAGAGAAAGGCTCTCTATGACCCCTTGAGAATGACAACACGGCACTAACGATTGCATCAACTCTCCCTCGAAACACATGTTAAAATCACGTTTTTTTGTACATATTGCATAGTCATTTTATAACCCTGTCAATGCAATGTTACTGTAAGGTTATCTTTTTTCCCATTACAGGGATTTCAAGGTTTCGGCTTTGGCGATGGAGGATTCCAGATGTCTTTTGGCATTGGTGCCTTTCCATTTGGCATTTTCGCTACAGCTTTTAACATCAATGATGGAAGACCACCCCCAGGTACTTTAGTTCTGCAGGTTTGCCCATTGTGTATTGTAACAATGTTTGATCAAAATTATTGTGAATGGCCCCCTCTACCTTGAAAAGCAGTTGTTCACCTGTTAAAGTAATCTCTCTCCACTTGTTCCCCCCCACACAGCTGCCCCTGGGACCCCCCAACACATGGATGAACAGTTCCTGTCTCGACTCTTTCTATTTGTGGCTCTGGTGATCATGTTTTGGCTGCTAATCGCATAAATGTCTGTGCGGTCAGGACCAAGGCTCAAGTTGGACAGTTCTTAATACTCTGTTTCCAGATACTTGTTTGATTTTTGTCATTTTCCGCATTTAAGTATTGACTTCTTGACTTGATTAGCCATTTATTTAATTTTAGTAATCGAGATAACTACTGTTTGATTACACCTGTACTATGAATCCTACAGAAGTCTGAAATTAGTTTTGTTCGAACAACTAATGGTGTAATCTTAAAATGGCCCTGCCTCTCATTTCCATCAAGGTTATTATGTTTTCAATAGACATTTAAGTGTACCTGGTTGGCAATATAGAACCAGATACTAAAAGAGAGATGGCAAATCGGTAAATGTAAGCTACCAGATGTACCCTCTGTGCTTGTATGGATATAGATTACAAGTGGTATGTCCTGTTTCTGAACTAAATATGATATATCAATTCAGGAAGAGACGTATCATTGGTGATACTTTTAAATTATTGACACAACAATTGCCTTTTGGGTACCACTACCAGTATGAAGCCATATAAACAATAGTGGTGCATTTTTATGTGTGGTGTCAGCAGGGGAATAGTCCAGAAGAGCAGTATTGGTATGGGTTTAAGTTCTTTAATGACATACTATACCAGTATGTCCTCAGTTGCCCTAGGAGCTATTTTGTTAACTATTTCTTATGTTTCAGAAAATAAGTGGATACCTTCTCTTAAGGTTATAAAATTGAAGGATGAAAGTTGAGACAATTTAAAGGAGTTATTTTTTATTGAATGATACTGTCATTGTCTGCCACTTGTAAGACTATTATTTATTTGGAAAATGCTGAATTCTAATGCAAATGCTTCTATAGCATACATAGTAAAGAGCTTGGGAAAAAAATATGCAAAAGGTATCAAATGGATATAGTTCTTTAACCTGACACAACTAGCAAGGTGACGGTCATGATAATACGCATGAGTAACTGATGCAGTTATTTTTTAGTGTTCTCCCTCTAATTTCTATTTCATTTGTTGTCTTGTTTATTTTACAACTTTTTCTCACTAATTTATTCTAAAATACATATTGTAAAATATATATAGTGGATTATTAGATTAACAATGGATGGTTAGAATAGCATTAGCATCTGTAATAAAGACTGTTTGCCTCATAACCTACTGAGAGAGCTCGTTACCTAAACATTAATTCCACCTTTATATGGGTAGTCAATGTGTTTCTCATCAGGCTTTGACCACTAAATGCCAGACAAATTAACGTTCAAAATTAGAAACAGAATAACAGCCCATTTTATTTTCAATTGGGTTAACAACTTGCATTCATAACAGCAAAATTAGATCATCTGTAAAAAAAAAAAAATTTGGTTATTTGTTGTACCTCTGATACCACCAAAAATGCGATATTCCAAAAACAGAACATGAATAACTTGCCTCTTCATGTTCATTAGGAGAGAGATTTAAAAATATATATATTTTAGAAAAAATACTTTCGGACAAAAGAAAGAATATCTAAACCTCCTGAGAACAACCCCTGTCGACCTACAATAATTAATGAGTTACGACGTCTCTTGCTCTGGCAGTTCTTTGGACACTGTCACTGGCTGATCTAGGGACACTGTCACCGGTGGGTCATTGACAGTCACTGGTTGATCCATACTAAACTCGGCCTCATACATAATCTGTTGGATCTTCATTTTGGTCTCACATCTTTTTTGTGGGGCAAGCCTCTTCAAAGCAGGAACGAAGCTGAGGAGAAACATCTCATCCTCGTCACACTGCCGGTTAGGGATCGTGGAATCTGATCTGAGATCTTTCTCTTTGGCCAGCAGCCTCCTGTTCTTAGCGGAGCGCTTAGAGGGAGTGGTTGAGGAACATGGTGAAGCAGGTTGTCTTGTCTGAGGCCTCTTCCTGGTTGTGTATGTTGATGACTGGAGCACTGCAGATGTCTGGGGCCCTGGGAATATCTGGGTGCCTGGTGGAAGCTTGGCCAGAAAAGACAGCTGGGCCATCTGGGTTCCTTGTTGCCCTGGGGACAGCTGGGTCACAAAAGCTAGCTGTGACATGGTGCCAACCTGGGTGCTAGGGGTTTTCATGTCGTTCTCCAGGGCTGTGTTGAGTGTTTTGACAGGTTCTATTTCACTCTGTGTGCTTTTATTGATTGTATCAGGGCTTTCCAGGTTGGCAGGGTCCACATTGCTGTTTCTGGGTTTAATGAATGGTTGAAGAAAGATCAGAAGTTGTCTGTATTTCCATCGGCTGGGGGTGAGCTCCCCTGCTTCCTCCTTAATCCTCTTCTCCTGTCGTACTTCCTTGAAGTATCGGTCTCTCAGATTCTTCCATTTCCTTTTGCACTCTTCAGCTAAAGGGATAAATCAATATAGATTCATCATACTCAAAATAATATATTGTTTTATGCATTTGATATCGAACAAGCTAAACATGCAGAATATTTGACCACACGAAATAATCTTTCTAAAGTACTATGAATATAACTATTTATTGAAAAAAATATTCAGATAACGTTAAGAGGTGATTGAACACCTCTTTCTATCCCATTGATGGAGCCTCATCGGGTTCCTACTTATAAACTAAATAGAAGGATCTACCATTGAGTTGGTACTAATTTGTAGTGCTCTCCATTTGATATCAAAATGTCCACAGGCTACTTCGACATTTTTTCTATCAGTGATTAATTGGTAGCTAATGTCATTAATCGTGGAAAATACGATGCCTCAAGTAATGTTACTCGTGTCTCATCGCGCTGTTGGGAACGGAAAAAAAAGTCCCTCCCTGTGCGGCGGTGTCTGCCGTCTGCGCTGCGCTCACGACTTCGTCGGCCGCTGCCTCCCCATTGACTACAATACGATTCACGCGGTTCTTGCAGTGAGGTGCTGTTAACTCACCGTACTCATATGCTACTCACGTGATTTAAAACATATAATATAAACAAACTTGACAAACAAGTCAGCTTACAACTAGCAAGCTAAAACATTTGTGTCAACGTGACTTGATGATTTGTAGAAATAGGCTACCATAGCTCACCTGGAAGAGCTGTCAATGCGCTGATTCTCCCCCAAGCAAGTGATCTTGTGTCACCATTGCGGTAATCTGGCAACGTTTTATTATACAGCTCAGGAAAATTAAAAACGGACAATATCAACTTTTCGTCCATCTTGACTTCTTGACACACGCGGAAGCAACGGTCTCCCGCCTTTCCGACTGTATGGCGCGTGGTTACGTCAAAGCGGTATGTACAGAATATCGCGAGCCGATCCGCTGCCGCATGCATGTCCCTGCGCTACCCGTCTCACGTCATCTGTGATATGCCTACTCATCACAAGAGCTACAGGAAAATTATAAAATATAATGCGATGGGATGTTTAATTAATTTAGAAAGCATAATTTAATCTAAATGTTAATAAAAAAGTAACAGTTTACTACAGTTTACTAAAATATAAAGGCAACATGTAAAGTCTTGGTCCCATGTTTTATGAGCTGAAATAAAAGATCCCAGAAATGTTCCATACCCACAAAAAGCTTACTTCTCTCAAATGTTGTGCACAAATGTGTTTACATCCCTGTTAGTGAGCATTTCTTCTTTGCCAAGATAATCCATCCACCTGACAGGTGTGGCATATCAAGATGCTGATCAAACAGCATGATCATTACTCAGGTGCACATTGTGCTGGGGACAATAAAAGGCCACTCTAAAACGTGCAGTTTTGTCACAACACAATGCCACAGGTGTCTCAGGTTTTGAGGGAGCATGCAATTGGCATACTGACTGCAGGAATGTCCACCAGAGCTGTTGCCAGAGAATTGAATGTTAATTTCTCTACCATAAACCGCCTCCAATGTCATTTTAGAGAATTTGGCTGTACGTCCAACCGGCCTCACAACCGCAGACCACATGTAAACACGCCAGCTCAGGACCTCCACATCCGGCTTCTTCACCTGCAGGATCGTTTTAGATCAGCCACCCGGACAGCTGATGAAACTGAGGAGTATTTCTGTCTGTAATAAAGCCCTTTTGTGGGGAAAAACGTATTCTGATTGACTGGGTCTGGCTCCCCAGTGGGTGGGCCTATGCCCTACCAGGCCCACCCATGGCTGCGCCCCTGCCCAGTCATGTGAAATCCATAGATTAGGGCCTAATTTATTTATTTCAATTGACTGATTTCCTTATATGAGCTGAAACTCAGTAAAATCGTTGAAATTGTTGCATGTTGTGTTTATATTTTTGTTCAGTATAAATACTGTAGGCCTTTACTAGCATGTATTCAACATAGTACTAGCCTTTACCACTGGAGACCCATAATTACACCTTGTGTAGATACATCTTCCATTGCTCCTACAACTCAAGCAGTCCCGAGACCTCTGTACCATTCCCATTATTTGAATGAGAATGGTACATTTGAAAAAAAAGAGAAATGGCATAATTCCACAACACATCTGTCCACCCTGCTCCTCTCACATCTCAGGGGTACCTGCCTGGTCCATAAAGGGGTCCCCACCCACCCCCTCCACCTCCCTGTCCCCACCCAACCTTTCCACCACCATGTTCCCCTCCGCTTCCCCCTGCACCCTGTCCTCCTCTTCAGCAGGTGTCTGTTGGACACAGACTGCCACCGTATTCTCATCCACCATTTCACATGCTGGGTTGCAGAAGGCAGAGAGAAGCAAGTTGATCCACTGCAGCTCCTGCTCACTTGCCCTTTGTTCCTGCTGCCTCCTGAGCTTCTGTCCCCTGGGTATAAAGACACAAGACAGGTCTCTGTTTAATATCCATTCACATAATTGCTGCATAGATCATCTCACTTTGCTTCATTTGTCTCCAAACTGTTGTCTACTGCCAATCACTCTCCTAACTAATTAGAATGATAACAACTGAATCCTTCTATAAGAAATGAGTAACCCCCTGTTATATAAAATGCTATGATGACCTAAGATCATAAATAGACAAGCAGACGGTTAATCAGATTAGATGGTTAAATATAGATCTCCAGATTCATGCAGTGATATCTAATACCCTAATAATGTGCTGTGAGACAGCCTCTATGCCAGTTGAAAGTTGCAGTCATTTGTATCTCCGATTCCTTGCTTGTTTCTATAAACGTCCTTCCTTGTTTCTCACTATTGCTATTCATGTGGGATGTACCAGGAATTAAAAAAGCACTTTTCAAATAGACTTCTACAGCAAAGTAGCCCCAAAAAGCAAGGGGCACAAAATGTTGACATTAAGCAGTGTAGAGAGAAGCAGGCATGATCTCTGCAGTTCACACCTTCCCTTTACATTCCATCAATTCACCAAAGATTGTAACGTTTACAGTTGAAACTGCAAATGGCTTGATACCTCTCATGTATTTGTATCTCAGCTTGTATACTAAATAAAAACCTGTTGGAATATTGAGCCCCACTGAAAAGAAGGCATCCTAACGAGGTACACAACAGACAACATTAACGTTATAGCCTGCAGCATCAATTTAGAAAGTTAAGATTACAGAGAGTATAACAAAGACCCTGAAATAAATGTAATAATCCATATCACCTGTGAGGCAATACAACATATTAGGCCTGCCTATGTTTACAAAATATTAATAAGATAATGTTTACAAAATATTAATAAGATAATTTAAGTACAGCCTATCATTATAGCCTTGGAAAAAATATAAACTAGATTAAAACAGATCAAAGCTGGAGGTGCACATCAACGACAGACGATAAACACAACAATAACGGACCCAGACAAAATTATGTTGCTATTCAAACAATTTAAAACATTTGTTTTTATATATAAGTAATTTTTTGTATTTATTTTTTTACTTGAACACTCGTTGCACTACCTGCGATTGCGGCGATCAAAATAAAATGTTCCTAGACAGACATTTTCCAATATATGAAGCTGGAAATTCAAGTGGGAACATTTTACGAATAAACTATCTATAGCGCATAAAATAGAGCTGTACGTTCACAAGCATTTTTTTCTTTCATGCATGAGCTTTCTAGCAAACTGTCCAACTTCTTGGGTAAACAGCTCCTTTGCTATCGATGAAGTTAAGGTCAAGATCCTCTTGCAAAAATGATTCGGTACTTAGAATTACTACACCAGGCAGGTCTCCAGTAGGCTACTGTTCACCAGTTGTTTGTAGAAACCATATGTTCACGTCATCTTTCGGTGGCCTGGGTATATTATTGCTGACCGCTTGCCACTCTTAAATAAATTGACCATCTCCAACAGTCAGTAGAACTAAAATCATAAAAGTGGTACTAACTCAGATGTCAATAAGATTTCTTATCACTTTATGTTTGTCACGCCCTGACTCAGGGGACGCTTATATGTTGAGTCAGGGTGTGTATATTCCTTGTTGTGCTTTTTCTATGTGTATTCTAGTATGTATAGATCTATGTTGGCCGGTGTGGTTCCCAATCAGAGGCAGCTGTCGCTCGTTGTCTCTGATTGGGGATCATACTTAGGCAGCCTATTGGCACTGTATAGTTGTGGGATCTTGGTCCTTGTAAGGTATGTTGCGTGTTGTACCTTGGACTTCACGTTTCGTCTCGTGTGTTTATTAAACATGTATATATATCACACTGCGCCTTGGTCTGACCCGTCACGTGACAATGTTTTTGAGTACTGTTAACAAATATTAGGTTATTGAGTAAATATAACTTTATGTATTTGTGTTCTGCTAATCTAAAGTTATTGAGTTTTTACAAGTTATGATTATTTAACAGTCAATCTAACATTAATTAAATACGTTCTTGCTTGATTCTATTAGGTTTTGCAAAATTACTTAAAATAATAAAGTAGTAGTCAGACACCGATATGAGTAAAAAACACTTGATTTATCTGTGTTGTGCAGATATAGAATTATGTTTTTGCAATTTATGAATACTTAATAGTGCCACTGACTCTGTTTTTAGAGGATTGTGGGTAATTCAACATTTTTAGACTTTGATACTTCTACACAATGTTGTATGCATATTTGAAGAAAGAAAAGTATATTTCTAAAATATTATTAAGCAGTTTGTTGATGTGTAATTGATCATGATAAACAGATATCAAAATCGTCAGACAAATTGACGTTCAATAATGAGACAATCCATTCCCACAATGAAATAGTTAATCTTTACCACTTTTAATGTCATTGGTAAATGCAGAATCCTGTAATGTTAACAACTCTACCTCTAGTTACTGCTAGAGGAATGAGCACTCTGCTCAACAATGCCTGCTAAGGTGGGTTAAAATGACAAATGGTCAAATACATAAAACACTGTTAAACACAGCCACTGAAAATTACTAATCAGAACTACTTACACTTGAGAATTTAAGTAGAAGGGACCTTAAATGTTTATGTTCACTACAATGAATATTCAAGTAACTTCAATCGTTACGTAATGCAATTTAGTGTCAAAAAGTTAAACACTAAACATTTACAGTGGGGAAAAAAAGTATTTAGTCAGCCACCAATTGTGCAAGTTCTCCCACTTAAAAAGATGAGAGAGGCCTGTAATTTTCATCATAGGTACACGTCAACTATGACAGACAAAATGAGAAAAAAAAATCAAGAAAATCACATTGTAGGATTTTTAATGAATTTATTTGCAAATTATGGTGGAAAATAAGTATTTGGTCAATAACAAAAGTTTCTCAATACTTTGTTATATACCCTTTGTTGGCAATGACACAGGTCAAACGTTTTCTGTAAGTCTTCACAAGGTTTTCACACACTGTTGCTGGTATTTTGGCCCATTCCTCCATGCAGATCTCCTCTAGAGCAGTGATGTTTTGGGGCTGTCGCTGGGCAACACGGACTTTCAACTCCCTCCAAAGATTTTCTATGGGGTTGAGATCTGGAGACTGGCTAGGCCACTCCAGGACCTTGAAATGCTTCTTACGAAGCCACTCCTTCGTTGCCCGGGCGGTGTGTTTGGGATCATTGTCATGCTGAAAGACCCAGCCACGTTTCATCTTCAATGCCCTTGCTGATGGAAGGAGGTTTTCACTCAAAATCTCACGATACATGGCCCCATTCATTCTTTCCTTTACATGGATCAGTCGTCCTGGTCCCTTTGCAGAAAAACAGCCCCAAAGCATGATGTTTCCACCCCCATGCTTCACAGTAGGTATGGTGTTCTTTGGATGCAACTCAGCATTCTTTGTCCTCCAAACACGACGAGTTGAGTTTTTACCAAAAAGTTATATTTTGGTTTCATCTGACCATATGACATTCTCCCAATCCTCTTCTGGATCATCCAAATGCACTCTAGCAAACTTCAGACGGGCCTGGACATGTACTGGCTTAAGCAGGGGGACACTTCTGGCACTGCAGGATTTGAGTCCCTGGCGGCGTAGTGTTTTACTGATGGTAGGCTTTGTTACTTTGGTCCCAGCTCTCTGCAGGTCATTCACTAGGTCCCCCCGTGTGGTTCTGGGATTTTTGCTCACCGTTCTTGTGATCATTTTGACCCCACGGGGTGAGATCTTGCGTGGAGCCCCAGATCGAGGGAGATTATCAGTGGTCTTGTATGTCTTCCATTTCCTAATAATTGCTCCCACAGTTGATTTCTTCAAACCAAGCTGCTTACCTATTGCAGATTCAGTCTTCCCAGCCTGGTGCAGGTCTACAATTTTGTTTCTGGTGTCCTTTGACAGCTCTTTGGTCTTGGCCATAGTGGAGTTTGGAGTGTGACTGTTTGAGGTTGTGGACAGGTGTCTTTTATACTGATAACAAGTTCAAACAGGTGCCATTAATACAGGTAACGGACAGTGGAGGACAGAGGAGCCTCTTAAAGAAGAAGTTACAGGTCTGTGAGAGCCAGAAATCTTGCTTGTTTGTAGGTGACCAAATACTTATTTTCCACCATAATTAGCAAATAAATTCATTAAAAATCCTACAATGTGATTTTCTGGATTTCTTTTTCTCAATTTGTCTGTCATAGTTGACGTGTACCTATGATGAAAATTACAGGCCTCTCTCATGTTTTTAAGTGGGAGAACTTGCACAATTGGTGGCTGACTAAATACTTTTTTCCCCCACTGTAAGTATTTACAACTTAAAAATATGCGTGATGATGTCACTTTATTACTTTAAGTATTGAACACTGCATACTTTGAGTTGGGTTACTCCGAATGCTTCTAGGCAACAGGTTTCCACAAATTTTTTTTTGCAGAACTAATGACATTTTACAGTGTACCGTTGTTTAATTCCCAAATTCCACTAAAGGCACCCCTAGGCCTACATAATAGTGTATAGCCTCACATATAGCCACCCTATTCCCCTTTCTATTCTATAAAATGTTTAAGAAATCAGTCCCATGGCTTGAGCATCTCTAGAGAGCAGAATGGTCATTTTTCCCCTCAGCATAGGGGAAGGAACTTTGAACACATTCCACACAGCAATGTCAAGTCCTTGTACTCACTCACATTCCACATCTCAGGACACGTGTTTGGCCAAAACTTATTTTGATTTTCAAGTTTGGGTTAAAGAAAGTATTATCCAACTCGTTCAATAACGCTTAGGTGGCACTGCAGCAATTTCGTACTCTGCCTCACACTGTTTTACTATAGGTTAGGCTTATTGAACCGTATGCAAACCATTCCGCATTCACTTGAAAATGTGTGACAATTTCAATCATTTGGCACCACATTCAGAGTTTATAAATAACCCTGATCCTCCTAACAATTGGCTGCTGGTCACTGCAAGCACTGAGTATTATTTAATTTACATCCATATGTCATTTCTCAGCTATTTAGTTCAGAAGTGATGCTTAACATATTTGATCCTCTTGCAGTCTAGAAAATAATCTTGGTCAAACCAATCTTCCAGCTATATCTTGCACCATTAGGTTGTGCCGTTGGGCAAGGACATGTTGTTTTATATGTTTTTGTATGTTTTCTACAAGTGGATTCTAAGATTTTACAAACCAATTGCCTTTGACAACAATAAAATAAGGTGCTTTTATCATACTAATCCCCAGTAATGAATTTAAAACCATTAAACCAATGTGGATGTGATACAATGTCTTCCATTGAAAAATCACAAAGATCATAGATAGCTATCTCAACAGCTATAAAAACTATACATCAACAATCTGCTGGTCATTAAACCCCAGTGAAAGGGATGAGGTGATGTTTATTGTTATCTGTTTTCAAAAAACCCTTATCTGAGGAGCTTAGGACAGATTTTGAAAATCCATTAATTCCTTGATAAAAAAGGTGTTGTGTTGCCTTATATGAAATCAAAGGATTTGTTGGAGAATAAATACAACCTGTAATAGCTTTACCTCAGCCGTGCACATTGTCAGAAAAGTCAGACTGAATGACTGCACTTCATAGATAAGGCCCAGTTCTCATGTTGTGAATACTAACAGAGATTGTCAGAAGCCTTGGCTATCCATACCTGTACATTCTGAATTATACAGTGGGGGAAAAAAGTATTTAGTCAGTCACCAATTGTGCAAGTTCTCCCACTTAAAAAGATGAGAGAGGCCTGTAATTTTCATCATAGGTACACGTCAACTATGACAGACAAAATGAGAAAAAAAAATCCAGAAAATCACATTGTAGGATTTTTTATGAATTGATTTGCAAATCATGGTGGAAAATAAGTATTTGGTCAATAACAAAAGTTTCTCAATACTTTGTTATATACCCTTTGTTGGCAATGACACAGGTCAAACGTTTTCTGTAAGTCTTCACAAGGTTTTCACACACTGTTGCTGGTATTTTGGCCCATTCCTCCATGCAGATCTCCTCTAGAGCAGTGATGTTTTGGGGCTGTCGCTGGGCAACACGGACTTTCAACTCCCTCCAAAGATTTTCTATGGGGTTGAGATCTGGAGACTGGCTAGGCCACTCCAGGACCTTGAAATGCTTCTTACGAAGCCACTCCTTCGTTGCCCGGGCGGTGTGTTTGGGATCATTGTCATGCTGAAAGACCCAGCCACGTTTCATCTTCAATGCCCTTGCTGATGGAAGGAGGTTTTCACTCAAAATCTCACGATAATAATAATAATATGCCATTTAGCAGACGCTTTTATCCAAAGCGACTTACAGTCAGTCATGCATGCATACATTTTTTGTGTATGGGTGGTCCCGGGGATCGAACCCACTACCTTGGCGTTACAAGCGCCGTGCTCTACCAGCTGAGCTACAGAGGACCACAATTCATTATTTCCTTTACACGGATCAGTCGTCCTGGTCCCTTTGCAGAAAAACAGCCCCAAAGCATGATGTTTCCACCCCCATGCGTAACAGTAGGTATGGTGTTCTTTGGATGCAACTCAGCATTCTTTGTCCTCCAAACACGATGAGTTGAGTTTTTACCAAAAAGTTATATTTTGGTTTCATCTGACCATATGACATTCTCCCAATCCTCTTCTGGATCATCCAAATGCACTCTAGCAAACTTCAGACGGGCCTGGACATGTACTGGCTTAAGCAGGGGGACACGTCTGGCACTGCAGGATTTGAGTCCCTGGCGGCGTAGTGTGTTACTGATGGTAGGCTTTGTTACTTTGGTCCCAGCTCTCTGCAGGTCATTCACTAGGTCCTCCCGTGTGGTTCTGGGATTTGTGCTCACCGTTCTTGTGATCATTTTGACCCCACGGGGTGAGATCTTGCGTGGAGCCCCAGATCGAGGGAGATTATCAGTGGTCTTGTATGTCTTCCATTTCCTAATAATTGCTCCCACAGTTGATTTCTTCAAACCAAGCTGCTTACCTATTGCAGATTCAGTCTTCCCAGCCTGGTGCAGGTCTACAATTTTGTTTCTGGTGTCCTTTGACAGCTCTTTGGTCTTGGCCATAGTGGAGTTTGGAGTGTGACTGTTTGAGGTTGTGGACAGGTGTCTTTTATACTGATAACAAGTTCAAACAGGTGCCATTAATACAGGTAACGGACAGTGGAGGACAGAGGAGCCTCTTAAAGAAGAAGTTACAGGTCTGTGAGAGCCAGAAATCTTGCTTGTTTGTAGGTGACCAAATACTTATTTTCCACCATAATTTGCAAATAAATTCATTAAAAATCCTACAATGTGATTTTCTGGATTTCTTTTTCTCAATTTGTCTGTCATAGTTGACGTGTACCTATGATGAAAATTACAGGCCTCTCTCATCTTTTTAAGTGGGAGAACTTGCACAATTGGTGGCTGACTAAATACTTTTTCCCCCCACTGTATTTCACCTCTGAATATGTTCCCTTTGTGAATGGCTGTAATGCTCAAACATGCTGAAAGCCCGCTGCTCTACAGCTGACCCTGTGCTGCTCCCAGCCTGTCATGTGTGTTATGTGGTGAGGATTGGTACTGTGAAAGCAAAATATTACCAGATTCCATTGTCTCTATATAATGGATAAATAAAGATTGTAAACATGTAGACCTTTGTATTGGAACTGTATGATTCAGATTGATTGAAAACCAGATGTGTAGCCTCATGTCTAGGAATAAACTCTGAGCACAAATCAACAAGGACTGCAAGTGTTCAAATTCAGGGGCTAATCCCCAATAGGTCCTTGGTTACACCAAAGGGTTAATCTTTAAATCCAGGTTTCTAATACCAAGCAATCTATTTTTCTCTAAAACCACAACAATAAGGATCTTAGACGCTCTCTACCCCTAATTTAATACAGAGAATTCTGATGTATTTTTCAGAAAGCAAAGCAATGGTGCCAGATTAGCTGAAGTCCCATCCTCCCTAACCCCTCACAAAACTGCCTAGATTAGCTGGGAATTAAAGTTCAACCATTTTGTATGTGTCTAGTCTATAGGGGGATTATGTTTTTTGCTCTCTTTTTTTTCTTCCTCAAATTTCTGTTATAAAATCAGAATGAGTGGGTCTGAGGTTGAGCACAGTGGAGAAGGGAGGGATGAGCCACACTGTAAGGCATACGCTTCACCCAAAAGCATTAACTGGCTGCCTTGGCTGGCACTTGAAACACTGAATTTGAAGTGAATTCTTTGGGCAGAAAGCTTGTCATGGAGGGGTCAAGTAGGATGGAGAGACAGAAGTTTCCATTCACCATTGACAATATACTGAACAGATTTCCAATTAACAATGAGGAGCGCAGGCAGTCTGGTGTGACCCACAACCCTGTACCAGGTGAGGATGGAGTAAGATCAGAGAATATTCTTGTTGGGAGCCACATCGAAGCTCCACAGCACACCTGCTCATGCTGCTGCTACTGCTCCCACTGTGGAGAGGTATTCCAGGCTGACTATCCTCCTGAAAGTAAGACCTAAACCTATGACAATTTCGAAACTATGAGCACTCTTAATTGTTCTCTCTCATGTTTGTTTAATGATGATGTCTAGCAGGTCAGTTGTTTTTCCCATTGGCCAGGTAGGTATATAGATGTTCATGCGTTGACCTGAAATCAGTGTGCCAAACACTTACATGTAACGTTATTTTAATTCAGCATGCCAGTATGCATGGTCCAGAAGAATGTTGCAGGAGCCATGCAGGCCAGGAGGAAACACTCACGAAGAGATGCAGTCCTTCAGTCAGGTCCAGAGGCGCACACGGCGACACCGCACCATATTCACTGAGGACCAACTGGACGCTCTGGAGGAGCTGTTCCTTCAGAACCAGTATCCAGATGTGAACACGAGGGAAAAACTAGCACAACGCACTCATTTACGCGAAGAGCGAGTAGAGGTAGGCTACTTGTGTTTTTTTTTGTCAGCTTAAAAAATATTTTTGTTTCATTAAGTTTTAAAAAGTTTTGTCAATGTAGCCTAATTTACTTTTATTTCGATAGGTGTGGTTTAAAAACCGAAGAGCTAAGTGGAGGCGACAAAAAAGAACAGCATTTGGTGTGGAAGACCTGGAAGACTAGAAAATGGTGTACCGTATTATGCCGTTGTAGACATTTGCTAGACATTTTTGGATAATTTATCCAATGCAATGATGAAGGCTAGAATAATTCTAAAAGCGTCACTGACAGACATTTCCGGTGACGGAGAAGTTGTCGCTGGAGAATGAGAGTAGAAACGAGGATCGAGTTTGAAGTGGAGGGAGTACAGGGTTTTGCATGTCTCTCGAGGAGGCTAAAAATAGATTTTGGCTTGGAAAAGTTGCACATTTTAAAGGGTCGGGTAGTTGGTTAAGGGAGGAGGATTGGAGGGAAAGAGAGAGGAGGTTGAAAAGACTGAGGGAGGCAGAGGATGGGTTTGAATCTGTTGAAGCTCTCAAAAAGAAGGGCGAAGGTATGTCGAGGAAGATTGGTGTCAAGTTCAAACAGAGTGAGCTGGACGACAGTTCTAGTTCTGGAGGTGAAATGGAAGGGGTAGAAGGTGTTGTGAGGAGCTCGGAGCCCGAGCCTTGTATTGATGGACATGGTTATGATAAAGATATGTTTGGTCCAGTAGGAGTGACATTTTTGGAAAAAGTGGATACTTGCCTTTTTGCGGATCCATTTGTGGTTTCAGCCAGGGTGTGTGGGAAAGGAGTTGAGTGCAGTTGAATCAGTGAAGGTAACCTGTAGTGGACTTGTGATATATGTTTTTTGTTTCTTCTGACCAGAGGGAGCGGGCACTCCGTGTCACGCAACTTGGGGCAAGATCGGTTTCCTGCTTTGATCTTAGGGACAGGGCACCATTGAAAGGAGTGGTTTCTGGGGTAGTGTTAAGTGTGGAGATGGAGAAATTGAAGTTGAAGATTCCCGGAGTTTGTGACGCATGCCGTTTGGTGCGACCCAGACCCGGTAGTGAGTGTGGTGAAACAGAGGAGTCACTCAGTCCTTTTGAATCTTTACCCGACAAGGTCATTAGGATATATCAGTTATCCTGTTAGAGCTTTTGTGGCGAATCCACTGCACTGTTTCAGGTGCAATGTTTATGGTCATGTCGCAGCAGTGTGTAAGAGGGAGATTACAAGATGTGGGAAGTGTGCAGGAGGGCATGGGATAGAGGATTGTGTAGTTTCGGTGGATAAAGTTGTGTGTGTCAACTGTAGGGGTGCCCATGGGGCTGGGGATCAGAAATGTCCCGTGCGAGAGAGGCAGGTTGAGGTTTCCAGGGTTAGAGCAGTGCAGAAGTTGTCATATGTTGAGGCAGGGAAGAAAGTAGAGGAAGATGGGTCAGGGTGGAGGGATCCTGAGAGGAGTGGTGTGAGTAGTAGATCTGTACCAGTACAGAGGGATAAACCAACAAGTGATATATGTTTCAGTAAGATTGGATTTTTGGTATTCATAGCAATGGTTATCAACTGTACTGCAGGGATGGAACGTAAGTCGCAGAAAATAGAGGTTGTGGTGGCAGCTGCAGAGAGGTATTTGGTTGTGCGAGATTTGAGGTCAGAAGAGTTACAGGGTGTGTTAAGTGGTGTTGGCCTGAAGTAGGACTAAATAGATATAAATAGTGGAGTATTTATTTATTATTTATGTAAATTGTGAGTGTAGTGTTAGATGGTAGGGTATTTGTTTTATTTATTTATTTCAAGCAAAGTATAAGGGAGTTATATCCAGTCTAGTAGGTGGCGGTAATGCAACATGAATTGGATGCCAACCACCGTTAAACCTCATAGAAGAAGAAGAAGAATTTCCGATGAAGTCACGCAGTCGAGTTGTGTACGTTGTTCGCATGAGGTTCCTTGATTAGCAAAACATTAACTAAGAACTCTTGATATTATAACTACGCGAATTAAAGGACGGTATTCCTACACATCTATTTTCAGGGGCTCTTTTGAGGTTAAAACGGGATTTTTTATATTTTTACATTCTGTTTTTTTCCAGCGAGGTTTGGTCTAGCTAACAAACAGAAGCGAAGGCCCCCAGAGCATTTCGCTAGCTTCTAGTAGCCACCGACAATGGAAGGATTTGGAAAGGCGCTGATGTCTGGAACCCTTGTCCCAGCTAATCCTGTAACAACAGTTGCTCTTCGACAACCTCCCGAGGAAACAAAGAAAACAAATCGAAAGGTGCTCGATGAAGAGAACTACATAGAGGTAACGTACCGTTGTGGAACAGATAGCTAAGTTATAGTAGTACAGTAGGTAGCTAGCTAGTGCAGATTCTACCCTAACGTTACCTGCAGCTGGCTTATAATACAGTAAGCCTAACTTAGTGTTGTTGCAAATCTGAGTTTTAAGGTCAATACAGATAAAGGTGATTAAACACACATACTAGTGATGTTATACACAAAATATACGAAAGTATGTGGACACCCCTTCAAATGAGTGGATTCGGCTATTCAGCCACACCCGTTGCTGACGGGTGTATAAAGTCGAGCACACCGCCATGCAATCTCCATAGACAAACATTGGCAGTAGAATGGCCTTACTGAAGAGCTGTGACTTTCAACGTGGCACCATCATAAATTGCAACCTTTCCAACAAGTCAGTTAATCAAATTTCTGCCCTGCTAGAGCTGCCCCGGTCAACTGTAAGTGCTGTTATTGTGAAGCAACAACGGCTCAGCCTTGAAGTGGTAGGCCACAGAAGCTCACAGAACAGGACCGCCGAGTGCAGAAGCGCGTAAAAATCATCTGTTCTCGGTTGCAACACTCACTACTGAGTTCCAAACTGCCTCTGGAAGCAATGTCAGCAAGAACTGTTAGTAGGGAGCATAATGAACTGGGTTTCCATGGCCAAGCAGCCGCATACAAGCCTAAGATCACCATGCGCAATGCCAAGCGTCGGCTGGAGTGGTGTATAGCTCGCCGCCATTGGACTCTGGAGCAGTGGAAACTCGTTCTCTGGAGTGATGAATCACGCTTCACTATGGCAGTCCAATGGATGAATCTGGGTTTGGCGTATGCCACGAGAACACTACCTGCTCCAATGCATAGTACCAACTGTAAAGTTTGGAGGAGGAGGAATAATGGTCTGGGGCTGTTTTTCATAGTTCGGGCTAGGCCCCTTAGTTCCAGTGAAGGGAAATCTTAAAGCTACACCATACAATGACATTCTAGACGATTCTGTGCTTCCACCTTTGTGGCAACAGTTTGGGGAAGGCCCTTTCCTGTTTCAGCATTACAATGCCCCCTTGCACAAAGCGAGGTCCATACAGAAATGGTTTGTTGAGATCAGTGTGGAAGAACATGACTGGCCTGCACAGAGCCCTGACCTCAACCCCATCGAACACCTTTGGGATGAATTGGAACACCGACTGCGAGCCAGGCTTAGTCGCCCAACATCAGTGCCCAACCTCACTAATGCTCTTGTGGCTGAATGGAAGCGAGTCCCCGCAGCAATGTTCCAACATCTGGTGGAAAGCCTTCCCAGAAGAGTGGAGGCTGTTATAGCAGCAAAGGGGGGACCAACTCCATATTAATGCCCATGATTTTGGAATGAGATGTTCGACGGGCAGGTGTCCACATACCTTTGGTCATGTAGTGTATCGACAGCCCCATTGTTGTATGTGCGTTGTGGCTAGGCCATTTTGATATTTGCCAATGACTTCCTAACTTGTTTACATGTGTTTGTATGACTTTCAACAGAATTTAGAGAAGATCATCCAGAGGGACTTTTTTCCAGATGTGACAAAGTTACAAGCGCAGAAGGACTACCTCGAAGCTGAGGAAAATGGGGATCTTGGGAAGATGAGGGAGATATCCATTAAATATGGGTCATCTTTAGCCAAGTCCACACCACTCTCCACTGCCCCATGTGAGTAAGATGATAAGTCAACTGTGTCCACTAAAGTCTTTTTCACATAATGCACTGGTTGTCTATGAATGCAGCAGTGGTGTTATACTAATATCCCCACCACTTGATTGTTTAGATGTTACTCCAGCTTCCTTTGAGACACCAGAGGGTTGTCCTGGATCTCCCTCTTCTGTACTGGGCAAAACCAAGAAAGGAGCAGACAGCGGTAAGTTCTTGTTCACTATTGTGACTGAGAATGGCACAAATCACAGCACTACTCAGTCTGAGGACACCGAACTTTAAATATGAACACCATTACTTTGGCTCTCAAGACTATGTAGAAAGTAGCTTTTCCAGCTGTTATGATCTAGTGGTCATTGGATTGTTGATTTATTATATAGTACATTTTAGTCATTTAGCAGACGCTCTTATCCAGAGCGACTTACAGTAATGAGGGCATACATTTTAGTACTTTTCCCGCACTGGTCCCCCGTGAGAATCAAACCCACAACCCTGGCGTTCCAAGCACCATGCTCTACCAACTGAGCCACACGGGACATAGTACTATGTAAAGGTGATTTATTATATAGTACTATGTAAATAACTTTTTTTATTAGCGTTTATATATATATATATATATATATATATATATATATATATAACCAAAAAATGTAGGGGGTAGATCAGCTTTAATACTGCAGATTGTAGCTTCCATTAATGTAATTGTCTGCATCCATTTCTAATCCACCATATATTATATTATTATTATTTATTATATTATATTATTATTATATATTATTATTATTATTTTTATATTTAAAAATATATATATTTTCCTTTATTATTTTCCCCTAACTCTACCACCTCTTCCCTAATTGGAGTAAACTAATGGACAACAACACTTAGGCTTCTACTTCCACCTTATACATACTATATACATTTTACAGACACAATGTATTTTACAATAGTTATCTTTTGTTTGTTTTTAATCCCATCCTTCAGCTACCATCAACCCCTCCCATCTATCTCTGAAGACCAGTTTGATTTCTATTTTGCCATATATTTTAAACTGTGCTGTTTCACAAAAGTTCTGAACATATATATTTTACAGACACAGTATATTTTACATTAGTTATCTTGTTGTTTTTAATCCCACCCTTCAGCTCCACTCAACCCCTCCCATCTATCGATGTAAAGAACTTAATTACAGCAATAATACTTCATCCCTGTGTTTGTTGATATTGTGTTTGTAGTGAATAAGGAAGGAGATGAGGAGGAGAAAGAGCTGCCATGTCTTGATCGTTTCCTGGCTAAGAACACAAGCGAGGATAATGCATCCTTTGAGCAGATCATGGTTCTAGCAGAAGACAAGGAGAAGTTGAGGCATTCGTGGTTGTATGAGGCAGAGGCTGAATTTAAACAGGTACACTTGGCGTAATCTCTCCTTTGATAGTTTGAACTCTCGTTTGGTTGATGTGAATTGTACACTACTCAAATGTTTAAGTATGTAATGCTTATGGAGTGTAATGTCTTGATTTGAAAGCGATAATATTTTTTGCCTTCAATTAGCAGAGATTATAACCTGCCTGTTTGTTGTTTTTAGCGGCATGAAGAAAACCTTGCCCTGCCGTCATCAGAGAAGCAGGCCCTTGAGTGTGTGAAGGCAGGACTAGAGACCTGGGAGTACAAAGCAAAGAATGCCCTTATGTACTATCCAGAGGGTGAGGATTGACGTTTTCCTGCATGAGAAATGTTCCTGTTATCTTGCTTGATTATAATGTGCGCTGTATGGGGTGCATGAAGCCATGGAGTCACACCTACCAACACCATGCAGTGCATTCGGAAAGTATTCAGACCCCTTGACTTTTTCCACATTTTGTTATGTTACAGCCTTATTCGAAAGTTGATTAAATCGTTTTTTTTCCCTTAATCAATGTACACACAATACCCCATAATGACAAAGCAAAAACAGGTTTTTAGAAATGATTGCAATTTTATTTAAAAAACTAATTTATATAAGTATTCAGACCATTTACTCAGTACTTTGTTGAAGCACCTTTTGGCAGCGATTACAGCCTTGAGTCTTCTTGGGTATGATGCTACAAGCTTGGCACACCTGTATTTGGGGAGTTTCTCCCATTCTTCTCTGTAGATCCTCTCAAGCTCTGTCAGGTTGGATGGGGATCGTCGCTGCACAGCTATTTTCAGGTCTCTCTAGAGATGTTCAAGTCCGGGTTCTGGCTGGGCCACTCAAGAACATTCAGAGACATGTCACGAAGCCACTCCTGCATTGTCTTGGCTGGGTGTTTAGGGTCATTGTCCTGTTGGAAGGTGAACCTTCGCCCCAGTCTGAGGTCCTGAGTGCTCTGGAGCAGGTTTTCGTCAAGGATCTCTCTGTACTTTGCTCTGTTCATATTTCCCTCGATCCTGACTTGTCTCCCAGTCCCTGCCGCTGAAAAACATCCCCACAGCATGATGCTGCCACCACCATGCTTCACCACAGGGATGGTATTGGCCAGGTGATGAGCGGTGCCTGGTTTCCTCCAGACGTGATGCATGGCATTCAGGCAAAATAGTTAAATCTTGGTTTCATCAGACCAGAGAACCTGGATTCTCATTGTCTGAGAGTCCTTTAGGTGCCTTTTGGCAAACTCCAAGCGGCCTGTCATGTGCCTTTTACTGAGGAGTGGCTTCCGTCTGGCCACTACCATAAAGGCCTGATTGGTGGAGTGCTGCAGAGATGGTTGGTCTTCTGGAAGGTTCTCCCATCTCCACAGAGGAAATCTGGAGCTCTGTCAGTGACCATCGGGTTCTTGGTCACCTGCCTGACCAAGGCCATTCCCCCCGATTGCTCAGTTTGGCTGGGCGGCCAGCTCTAGGAAGAGTCTTGGTTGTTCCAAACTTCTTTCATTTAAGAATGATGGAGGCCACTGTGTTCTTGGGGACATTCAATGCCGCAGACATTTTTTGGTACCCTTCCCCAGATATGTGCCTCGACACAATCCTGTCTCGGAGCTCTACGGACCATTCCTTCGACCTCATGGCTTGGTTTTTGCTCTGACATGCACTGTCAACTGTGGGACCTTATATAGACAGGTGTGTGCCTTTCCAAATCATGTCCAATCAATTGAATTTACCACAGGTGGTGCAACCAATTACCTTCAGAAGTCACATAATTAGTTAAAGTCCACCTGTGTGTAATCTAAGTGTCACATGATCTGTCACATGATCTCAGTGTATATATACACCTGTTCTGAAAGGCCCCAGAGTCTGCAACACCACTAAGCAAGGGGCACCACCAAGCAAGCGGCACCATGAAGACCAAGGAGCTCTCCAAACAGGTCAGGGACAAAGTTGTGGAGAAGTACAGATCAGGGTTGGGTTATAAAATAATATGCAAAACTTTGAACATCCCATGGAGCACCATTAAATCCATTATTAAAAAATGAAAATAATATGGCACCACAACAAACCTCCCAAGAGAGGGCCGCCCACCAAAAGTCACGGACCAGGCAAGGAGGGCATTAATCGGAGAGGCAACAAAGAGACCAAAGATAACCCTGAAGGAGCTGCGAAGCTCCACAGCGGAGATTGGAGTATCTGTCCATAGGACCACTTTAAGCTGTACACTCCACAGAGCTGGGCTTTACGGAAGAGTGGCCAGAAAAAAGCCATTGCTTAAAGAAAAAAATAAGCAAACATGTTTGGTGTTCGCCAAAAGGCATGTGGGAGACACCCAAACATATGGAAGAAGGTACTTTGGTCAGATGAGACTAAAATTTAGCTTTTTGGCCATCAAGGAAAACGCTATGTCTGGTGCAAACCCAACACCTCTCATCAACCCGAGAACACAATCCCCACAGTGAAGCATGGTGGTGGCAGCATCATGCTGTGGGGATGTTTTTCATCAGCAGGGACTGGGAAACTGGTCAGAATTGAAGGAATGATGGATGGCGCTAAATACAGGGAAATTCTTGAGGGAAACCTGTTTCAGTCTTCCAGAGATTTGAGACTGGGACGGAGGTTCACCTTCCAGCAGGACAATAACCCTAAGCATACTGTTAAAGCAACTCTCAAGTGGTTTAAGGGGAAACATTTAAATGTCTTGGAATGGCCTAGTCAAAGCCCAGAGCTCAATCCAATTGAGAATCTGTGGTATGACTTAAAGATTGCTGTACACCAGCGGAACCCATCCAACTTGAAGGAGCTGGAGAAGTTTTGCCTTGAAGAATGGGCAAAAATCCCAGTGGCTAGATGTGCCAAGCTTATAGAGACATACCACAAGAGACTTGCAGCTGTAATTGCTGCAAAAGGTTGCTCTACAAAGTATTGACTTTGGGGGGGTGAATAGTTATGCACGCTCAAGTGTTCTTTTTTTGGGGTCTTATTTCTTGTTTGTTTTACATTTTGCATCTTCGAAGTGGTAGGCATGTTTTGTAAATCAAATGATACAAACCCCCCAAAAATCAATTTTAGTTCCAGGTTGTAAGGCAACAAAATAGGAAAAATGCTAAGGGGGGTGACTACTTTCGCAAGCCACTGTATTTAATCCATTTTAGAATAAGGCTGTAACGTAACAAAATGTGTGAAAAATGAAGGGGTTTGAATACTTTCCGAATTCACTGTATGTGTAGGCTAAGCTAGTACCTACATGATTGAATTAATTGTGTTTCAGGTGAATTAATTGAGTTGAACACCTTCATGATCTTATTTTAATAAGGTGTCAAGGATGATGACACACTCTTCAAGAAGCCTAGGGAGGTGATTCACAAGAACACTCGTTTCGTGGGAGACCCCTTCAGCAAAGCCCTTAACAAATGCCAGCTTCAGCAGGCTGCAGCACTCAATGCACAGGTAAAGTCCTTGTCTGACATGTTATTGGTTTTAAGTAAATGGTTTTATCCAATTTTTAGTGAAGGGATTTTAAAGTAGAGAAACTTTAAGGTCGGGTATCTAAAGATCAAATTAAGTGGATTGTTCCTGAATGATTTATCTGACATTGCGAGTGTTTCTCTAGTTCAAACAGGGTAAAGTAGGCCCAGATGGCAAAGAGCTTAATGCCCAGGATTCCCCTAATGTTAACGGATATGGGTTTGAAGGAACTCCCTGCCCTTCCCCAGGTAAGTAAGTATGTATGTTATGTTGAAGTATAGATCACTTTCAATATTCTCAACTACAAAATAACTCGACTACATAAAAACCAAACTCCTCTAACCTGATATTGTCCTGTCAGGTATGGCTGAGTCCCCCCTGATGACCTGGGGAGAGATAGAGAGCACCCCCTTTCGCTTGGATGGGTCTGACTCACCGTTTCAAGAGCGGAACATCGGCCCATCATTTAAGGTACTGTTCTTAATTTTTGTTTTGCTGCATTTGCTCGGATTAGGTAGTTGATTAACCTGAGAATTTTACACACAGATTCCCGAACCAGGAAGGAGAGAGCGGTTGGGTTTGAAAATGGCCAATGAGGCTGCAGCCAAAAACCGGGCAAAGAAGAAAGAAGCATTGCGAAAGGTCACAGAAAACCTTGCAAGGTAAAAACTGATGGATGATTTACATAACTGCATTGCTTTGGTCTAAATACAAAAGCTCATGTTTCTTTCATAGCTCATTCCTATGACCTCTTGTTATACACAATTCTTAGTCATTTTTAAATGATTGTATTAATTATTTTGAACCTCATTTCTGTCTTGCAGTCTCACACCAAAAGGCCTGAGCCCAGCATTGACTCCTGCCCTTCAGAGGCTTGTAAACAGGACCTCCAGCAAATACACAGATAAAGCTCTAAGGGCAAGCTACACACCATCGCCCACACACAGAGGAGCAGGCTCCAAAACTCCCCTGGGTGGTCCAGCCACTCCCTCAGGCACTCCGACACCAAGCAAAGCCAGGACCCCCGCCTCCCAGGACCCAGCGTCCATCACAGACGACCTACTGCAGCTTCCCAAGAGGAGGAAAGCCTCTGACTTCTTCTGACCGGGGTGAAGCAAAACTGAGAAAGAACAGTTATCTTGAGGAAGTGAACTCCTACATCATGCAAGTTGTCATCAAGCAAATTACTGGCCATGGGGTGTTTCTCTCTCTACCCCACCTCATGCCCTCCTTCTGGATTTTATGGACTTGCCTTTTATGACTGGAACAGCCTGTGCACAAAGGATAGTTGCAAATCTCAGGTCATTACTCTTCTTAGGGTGTTGGAAAGAAAGGCATAGTATGTACTGCGTTAGAAAAACTTCCAAGACTGGATTACTGAAATCTGTGGGTTCCAGAGAGATCCTATAATTGTACATAGCCTAGACTGATATGATTTGAATTTTGGTGGATGTTACGATGAGGCTTCATAGATTTTTGTAAATATGTTAATGTAAGCCTCTATTTTGTATGCCTCTATCTGCAATATAATATTTCAGTCAATCTAAAAAAATGCCTTCGAGTGATTTTGTTTTATAGAATTTGTTTGTAAACCTGAAATGTTAACACTCACCTTTTATCATAGCAGACTCAACATGTGAAGAAATGTAACTATAAGTCTATATGGTTAATCTTGACAAAGATGTATGCTTAATTTATTCTTAACTAATTAGGTGGAATGAATCAGCAGGGAAGTCATTCCTTGCATCCGGGGATGATTTTTTCTTGGTACGCTTAGATGGTCCAGCTGCCTCTTTGCTCTCCACAGAAAGTTTAGGGTCCGATTCGGCCTCAGCCTCCACTTTCGCCCGTTTCTTGTCCTCATTACCATGAGGATGCTTACTTTCATGCGTACTACTTTCACCCTTCCTTTCCTTTTTGGAGCAAGCAGCTTCAGATGTGGAAGGTACATCTTCTTGTCTCTTACTACCATCATGTGATTTGGATTTTGACTGCACCCATACATGCTCAAGGATATCATCAATCTCTATCCTCTGGGCCACATCTGGGTTAAGCATGCGATACATCAGGTCTTTGCACTCTGTAGGGACAGTTTTGCTGCGTGGGAAGTCAATGCGATGCTCTTTCTGAATTTTCAGCATCTTCTTTATATTGGAGTCGTCATAGGGCATAGACCCACAGAGCATGATGAATAGAACGACCCCCATACTCCAAACGTCATACACTTTGGCATTGTATGGGAGCCCCTGTAATACCTCTGGTGCTGCATAGGCTGCAGAGCCACAGAATGTTTTGCTGAGAATCATTTGTCCAACATCATCATAATTGATCCTCCTGGCAAATCCAAAGTCCGACACTTTGAGGTTGAAGTCTTTGTCCAATAGCAGGTTTTCACATTTCAAGTCTCTGTGAACAACATCTAGGTCGTGTGCAAATTGTATTGCAAGTGACAGCTGTTTGAACAGTTTTCTGGTGAAATCTTCGGGCAAAGCACCCCTGAATTTGATGAACTCTAGTAGGTCCCCTTGCACACCAAGCTCTATAATCATGTACACCTTGCCTTCTGAAGTCTCGAAGATCTCGAAGGTCTTGACGATGTTGCGGTGATTTAGGGATGCAAGGATCTCCATTTCCCGGGGCAAGAACTTCTCCAAAAAATCCGCCGGCGCCTTTCTTCTGTTAATAATTTTAATTGCAACATTGGTCTTCAGACGCTCCGAATAAGCGGATTTTACTTTGGCGTACGACCCCTCGCCTAAACTGATGCCCAGTGTATATCCCCGTTTCTTCAGCACCAGTGAGTCATCCATGGCTAGTCCCGACCCGAATTATTTAGGTGATTGTGTTATTACACCATGATCGACACCATATTGAACTCCGTTCATAGTTGAATATCAAAGATACACATGGGGTCAATGTTACTAACATTCCATATTTTGTCATAAACGTGGGCAATTACGTATGAAGTTTATTTCTATTACATCAATTTGTGTCATAATGGAACGTTTAATTCCTCAAAAGCAGAGCCATTTATTTATGCCATAATGGTGCGTTCAAAGCAACTCCATGCGGGAAAAAATTTGCTCCGATCGGGAAAAACTTTTGAACGATCATCCAATTTGGAATTACTAATCGGAAACTCGGGCATCATCCATTTTCCTAATGATTCATGACATTTTAATACCCATGATAAATATTTTTATAATATGTATTATAAAGGTTGCAATTTTAGTTTGGCCACTGCATTCTCTACCAGAAAGTTGGTTGGCCACTTTGATGTCACGTAGGTTGATACATTGCTATGTTTTCATTTATAGAGCCCTATTACATAAAGTCCCACTGTACCTAACATCATTACTAAACTTTAGACATACGAGTTACCAAATCCGGTCTCAGGGATGGCCAACTGTGGAAATTCCTTTGGTCTAGCACCTTATTTGTGGAACAATCTTAAAAACAATCTTAAATTTGATGTTCTGGTGCCACTAGGGCAATTCAGAAAGCTGATTGAGGACCATACTACTGATCAATGTGTTCGTTTTTTATGACCGTGTTTTTCTTACTGCTTGCAGTTATACTTTGATGTCTCTATTTTATGTAATTCAGGGCTCATCTGTAAAAGAGACCTTGGTCTCAGTATGAATCCCTGATAAAAGAAAGGGAAAAAAAGAAAAAAAGCTGCTGTCCATGAAGTTGTGTTGAAATTAAAGTGTAGTCTTATTTGCAATGACTCAGAACGAACCGATTAATACGAAATTAATATTGTATCACTCTCTGGACACAATTATGTTACTGTGACTTTCATATATACAGTCATTGACAAACACATTTTGTATACAATAACCAATGACTGTATGACAATAACTTTAGAAAACTCCGCCTCCAACCCACCAGCTGATAGGCTTTGTGGCCGTTTGGGATTGTTGTGATGGGAGGACGGAGCCATCTTGTTTTATTTCCGTTCTGGAATACATTGGACAGGCCGAATGAAAAACAGGGCTTAATAATAATAATGATGTAGCTCGTTATCTATCATATATTTCCACCTCTTTGAATGGCTAGGACCTATCTTTGGCGCTGATAGGTTCGAAGCAAACGTTGGATCAGGTCTCGGTTTATTTTATTTCTGAGTAGAGGAGTTACTATGAATGGAGGATAAATGTTGCCAAAGGCTGACAGCAGCAGTTACGTCCTTCTCTCTTTGCTCTTCGTCCTCACTTTAACAGACCCACCACGAACAGGTAAGACCGGTGAAATGCAATTGGTGGTCATTTTTGTCAGCTAGCTTGCTTATGTATGTATACCCGTGTGCTATGGTAGGCCTAATTGTACGGTAATTTAGCTAGTGTAGATGGCGTTTCTAGCTAGCTTATCCACTGGTCTCAATTTTTGCCGCTGCCTTTGCTGAATAGCGCGTGGTGTTGTTATGGCTCGCTGGCTAGCTCACTTACTGCGTAGCTAGCTAACTTTAACGTAAATTATTTTATTTTTAGAAAATGAGTTCTATGGGGACATGATTGAATATTGAGCTGTAACTAGTTAGCTATATTTTGCCGTTCCATCGTCGGTGTGGTTTACACTTTGCTCGAGAGAACGTTTACAAGTTATAGCTAGCCTGCTGAAAGTCTAGCATTACTAGTTAGCGGCTTTAGTTGTAGATGCGTGAATGTGGGTGCTCCACTTTATTTCCAGAACCCAGTACTAGCTAGTGTTGTCACGATACCAGCATTTTGACTTCGATAACGATAATAGGTTTAGTATCACAATACTCGATACCAAAACAATACCACGGGGGAAAAAATAATATTAGTCACAGAATCGCACTTGAGATCCAGACAGAAAAACTCAGTTTGTAAATTAGCTACTGATCTGGGCCCGATTATCGCTAAATCTCCGAGCTGTTTCCCAAAAACATCGTTACTAAAGTTGCACATGAAAACGCTCGTTATTTACCGACTGCCTCAGACGACTAGTAGAATAACTAGCTAAACGCGTCCTTAGATGCTCTTCGATTATTTGGGTTTAATGCTGTAACACAGAATAAAACAATTAAAAGTCCCATGATGGTAGTGACTGCCCATTATTGCTTGTCACTTATTAACCATTTATTCACATTACTTTACTTTAATAAAATATTTCAGTTTTGTATATTACATTTGTTTTATTTGATTACTTTATTTCATTTCAAGTAATCTCATCTCTATAGAACTGCTGTTTGACAAAATCGCTATTTTGTAGTTCAAAGTAAATAAGGCATACTTTTATGACTGCTGAATACCAACTATCTATCACTTTGATCATGTATTTTCAGGTAGCGATACCTGGCGAAGCAACAGCTGCTCTCTATATCCCCTCACAATCGCACATTCTTGTCTCTTCCGTAGCAGTTCTAAAAGAAAAACAGACCGGACAAGTAGATGCTCAATGGATTATGGTCATTGTAGTTAATTACCACGGTTTATGCGCAAAACTATGTAGAATATGGGCCAGTTCAGGCTAGGTCTGATTTATCTTTAGAGAAACTATGCAATGTTCGCATTGAGCTCACAGAAAAATGAACAAAAAACTAAATGGAATTCAAATAATTGAACTGACTTAAGTCAATAAATTGTTTAAAACCCCAAAAATAACTGCAATTTCAGTTAATCGCTCTGCCCTAGAAGCGAATGATAAAAATATGTTTCAACTGAGAACAGAGATTACTGCATTAAGAGGCTACATAGGCATTTAACTCAACAATATTGAAATCTATTTCATTTTCATTCAATTTAGTTATATTTTGCTAATTGTAGGCTGCCTACTGTCTGTCACTTTGCCTCAATATGTGTCATGATGTGTAACAGCGTGTGCAATGATGTGCCAAATCTTGATTTAGTGCATTATTATAGGGTAAGCAAAGCATTAGAATAAGCCGCCTCGAAATTTGCAGCTGTGATAATATCTTTGTAGGAGCTGACCCGTCGTCAGTATTGTGGAATAATTCTAATGTTAAGGTAAGATTTGAAATGAGAAAGCTGATCTGAGAGCAGCGCTGACTTTCTTTCGATCCTATCAGGATCTACTGTATGCCTCAACGACGCGCTTAGTGAATGTTCTCCCTGCGTGGTGTTTTGGCAAACGCATGTTACATCTTAGGCCATTGTTGGAACGAGGCATCGTTAAAACAATCGTAAGCCTAAATTACATCGCTGTCAAGAAGCTGGGCCCTGTTCAATCGTTGGGCATCTTTTGAGTTCAATATCATTACAAAAAAAAAAAGATTTGGACATTTTTTGCGTCAACATTTTTCAGAGACAGCCATGTATGCATTAATGAATCAATTATGAAAGCATACAATACATTTGACTTTGTTTTTACCAATCTAACTACATAACAATGTGGTAAGCATTTATTTGAATGGTAAATCTCTATTGATAAACTAGGTAAATCAAGATTTAGTCTAGGCCTATCCACAATACAGGTGAATGCATATTCAATAGGAGTGCGTGCATGCATTGACATATTGAGCTTGTTTTGTCTGATTTCATGGACTACAGATGACAATCAGTTTCCCTTCCATTTGGGACTTATTTTGTCCTTTATACTGAGAAAGAACATTTGAATAGCTTCTTTTATAAAAATGTGCGTTGTGTCTTTAACCAGTAATGATGTTATTCACTAGGCAAGAGGGGGTCAGCAATAATCTTTGGGAGAAACTTGAGAGGCAGAATAAGTGAATTAATGTTTTTTTGTTGTCAATCAGCTTTGAAATCAGCATGTTTTGTGCTATGATTTGCATATTATCACAAAGTACTAGGGTAGTGAATTGATTTTAGCTGTCAGCTAACTAGGAAAGTTAGCCTACAAAGCTGGAAGCTACCGGTATCTTCTTGCGTTTTAGTGTTCTAGTCTGTATGGATATTGTTTTGTTAACAGTTTCAACATTTTTACATGCCGTGTTGCATTATTCAAGTGTGTTAACTTCTGCGTAGCATGAGTGAGGAGCTAACATGATACAGCCCAGACTCCCAGTGCAGGCTAGCAATGAGTAAGTGGAGCAGGCACGGTGCGCGCAATAAGGGACGACAGCACTGATAGATATGAGAAATTTGACAAAAGTACCGACTGTAACGAATTCGAGTAACAAACTGTTTTTCATGATCTAGTAACGAAAAGTACATACGTTTCGCTATACTGTGCAACACTACTAGCTAGCTATACTGAACAAAAATATAAACGCAACATGTAAAGTGTTGGTCCCATGTTTCATGAGCTAAAATAAAAGATCCCAGAAGTTTTCCATACGCACAAACAGATTATTTCTCTCAAATGTTGTGCACAAATTTGTTTACATCCCTGTTAGTGACCATTTCTCATTTGCCTAGATAATCCATCCACCTGACAGGTGTGGCATATTAAAAAGCTGCTTAAAGAGCATGATCATAACACAGGTGCACCTTGTGCTGGGGACAATAAAAGGCCACTCTAAAATGTGCAGTTTTGTCACACAGCACAATGCCACAGATGTCTCAAGTTTTGAGGGAGCGTGCAATTTGAATGTTCATTTCTCTACCATAAGAGAAATGTCGTTTTAGAGAATTTGTCTGTACGTCCAACCGGCCTCACAACCGCAGGCCACGTGTAACCATGCCAGCACGGGACCTCCATATCCGGCTTCTTCACCTGCGGAATCGTCTGAGACCAGCCAACCGGACAGCTGATGAAACTGGGTTTGCACAACCGAAGAATTTCTGCACAAACTGTCAGAAACCGTCTCAGGGAAGCTCATCTGCGTGCTCGACGTCCTCACCAGGGTCTTGACCTGACTGCAGTTCTGCATTCCCAGTCATGTGAAATCCATAGATTAGAGCCTAATGAATTTATTTCAATTGACTGATTTCCTTATGAACTGTAACTCAGTAAAATCTTTGAAATTGTTGCGTTTTATTTTTGTTAAGTGTAGTTCGCAAGCTGCATTTCAGCTAGCAAACAGGCACGCAAAGCTAACGTTAGATTGCTACGTCGCAGGAGCAACACAAGACTGGGCCATCTGCTGTTTTATATTAGCCATAGCTAGCAATCTAGCTAACATCATGGCATTACTTGGGTAGTTAATCTGATTTCAATCTGCATGAAATATGAAGAAGCAGGGTATTTGCTGCTACATCAACTTGCATCACTGCATTGACCTTCTAGTTTATGGTCTCTTATGATGCATGTGACCATCAAGTAAGACGTCACCGCATTATCGTCATTACCTAGATGCTAACAATAATGCCGTGATTGTGTGTGGTCTGACTGGTTGTGGTTGAGAACACAGAACTTTCAGATTTGTGGTAGTTTTCTAATCAAATGGCACCACCCACCTCCACTTTACCCTAGTTAGCTATTGATCCTTTATCTGCAGGAAGATGCTGTTGTCTCCCTGGACCTGCCCTGAACCCATGCACTTATTTGGGGTATTGCTTTTGCACACCTGAGATCTGTAGAGGATTCACAACGTGGCACTGTCATAGGATGCCACCTTTCCAACAAGTCAGTTAGTCAAATTTCTGCCCTGCTAGAGCTGCCCCGGTCAACTGTAAGTACTGTTATTGTGAAGTGGAAACGTCTAGGAGCAACAACGGCTCAGCCGCGAAGTGGTAGGCCACACAAGCTCACAGAACGGGACCGCCGAGTGCTGAAGCACGTAAAAATCGTCTGTCCTCGGTTGCAACACTCACTACTGAGTTTCAAACTGCCTCTGGAAGCAACGTCAGCACAATAACTGTTCGTCGGGAGCTTCATGAAATGGGTTTCCATGGCCGAGCAGCCGCACACAAGCCTAAGATCAGTCGTGTGGTCAGGTGCCACAAAGAGGGACCTCGGAAAATTACAATTGGTTCAGAACAGGGCAGCACAGCTGGCACTTAAATGTACACGGAGAGCTAACATGAATAATATGCATGTAAATCTCTCATCGCTCAAAGTGAAGGAGAGATTGACTTCATCACTACTTGTTTTTGTAAGAAGTGTTGACATGCTGAATGCGCTGAGGTGTCTGTTTTTAAACTACTAGCATACAGCTCGGACACCCATGCATACCCCACAAGACATGCCACCAAAGGTCTCTTCACAATCCCCAAGTCAAGAACAGACTATGGGAGGCGCACAGTACTACATAGAGCCATGGCTACATGGAACTCTATTCCACATTTGGTAACTGATGCAAGCAATAGAATCAGATTTTAAAAAACAGATTAAAAATACACCTTATGGAACAGCGGGGACTTTGAGACACACACAGACACATACACATAAGACACGCACTCTACACACACGTGCACATGGACGTTGTATTGTAAATATGTGAAAGTGGAGTAGTGGCCTGAGGGAACACACTAAATGTATTGGGTAAAGTGTTATGAAATGTAATGTCATGTAATATTTGAAACTGTATATAACTGCCTTAATCTTGCTGGACCCCAGAAAGAGTAGCTGCTAATGGGGATCCTTAATAAATACAAACACAAGGGTGATTTTGGCAAACTTGCTTAGTTGTGAATAGCCTAGGCTACATACATACATATACAGTCTATGGCTCCAACCCAACCTAGGCTACATTCTATGCTTCCATGTAAACGGGCTGTTATTATAAAAAGACAGAACAAAAAATGTCTGCATTTGAGAACAATCAGATACAGTGGCATTTTTGGAAGAGTATGTGGTCCTGGTGACATTTGGGTCAACTCAAACACCTGTATCTAAAGAACAGATGGTTAAATACCCAGAGTTTCCTGTTACCAATGCCGAGCAAAGACCAATGTATCTAGTGAGTGCGATGTGATTCCTTTTTACAAGTGAATATTTTTTGGGTGAAAAAATACAAATAACGTTTTCTGTAAAACATTTTTTCACACATTAGTTGTCATTGCTCTGTCATCATATGGTTCACTCCCAACTTTTCCCTTCCCTTTATGTGGTGGAACATTCCAAACTCTGAATTTTGAGGTTCAAAGTGTTAGTTCATCAGAAATTGCTTTTTTGTTTTGTTTCAGGTCCACGGCTAGCTCTGGCAAGATTATTGTCAGGTAAGCAGCATCTCCTCTGTTAGTGCAGTGGATGTATAGGTCTGCCAAGCTCCAGCTATTTGGGTTACTCTGCTCTATCCTCAGCTTGTGCCTCTGTTGAATTTTCCCATTCACAGCAGTGCTTTGTTTTTCCATTTGAACTCAGATATTTACTCTGTAACAGTTTTTATACAATCAACTCCTTCAACAATATTAAACTACTTTCAAAGAATCCAGTGGGATTGTCTAGACGCTAGGCTTAGATTTGTTCCGTGCCATAGAGTGAGATGAGTTCTATCTGTTTTAGAAAGCTAGGCCTAATACTCCCTCCTCACAGGAGAACCCCTGATGCTGTGACGTCTCATGTTAATCACACATGGCACTGAGACGCTGACCCACTTAACACTGCTTCTGTGTTACTAAGGTGTATATATACAGTGAGGGGAAAACAGTATTTGATCCCCTGCCGATTTTGTATGTTTGCCCACTGACAAAGACATGATCAGTCTATAATTTTAATGGTAGGTTTATTTGAACAGTGAGAGACAGAATAACAACAAAAAAATCCAGAAAAACGCATGTCAAATGTTATAAATGTATTTGCATTTTAATGAGGGAAATAAGTATTTGACCCCTCTGCAAAACATGACTTAGTACTTGGTTGCAAAACCCTTGTTGGCAGTCACAGAGGTCAGACGTTTCTTGTAGTTGGCCACCAGGTTTGCACACATCTCAGGAGGGATTTTGTCCCACTCCTCTTTGCAGATCTTCTCCAAGTCATTAAGGTTTCGAGGCTGACGTTTGGCAACTCGAACCTTCAGCTCCCTCCACAGATTTTCTATGGGATTAAGGTCTGGAGACTGGCTAGGCCACTCCAGGACCTTAATGTGCTTCTTCTTGAGCCACACCTTTGTTGCCTTGGCCGTGTGTTTTGGGTCATTGTCATGCTGGAATACCCATCCACGACCCATTTTCAATGCCCTGGCTGATTGATTGCTTCTGTGGACAGGTGTCTTTTATACAGGTAACAAACTGAGATTAGGAGCACTCCCTTTAAGAGTGTGCTCCTAATCTCAGCTCGTTACCTGTATAAAAGACACCTGGGAGCCAGAAATCTTTCTGATTGAGAGGGGGTCAAATACTTATTTCCCTCATTAAAATGCAAATCAATTTATAACATTTTTGACATGCGTTTTTCTGGATTTTTTTGTTATTCTGTCTCTCACTGTTCAAATAAACCTACAATTAAAAGTATAGACTGATCATGTCTTTGTCAGTGGGCAAACGTACAAAATCAGCAGGGGATCAAATACTTTTTTCCCTCACTGTAGATAACTGCCAAAATAAAGGAAACACCAACAGTGTCTTAATAGGGCGTTGGGCCTCCAGAACCGCTTCAATGCGCCATGGCATAGATTCTAAGTGTGTGGAACTCTATTGGAGGGATGTGACACCATTCTTCCACAATAATTTGGTGTTTTGTTGATGGTGGTGAAAAACCGTCCCAGACGCTCCAGAATCTCCCATAAGTGTTAAATGGGGTTGAGATCTGGTGACTGAGAGACACACCCTTTAAACCACCTATGCTCCTTTGAGACCCCTCTTTGAAAGTCACTGAGAGCTCTTCTAGCCATTGTAGCCAAATAACTGGGCATTCTTATGCATGACCCTAAGCGTGATGATATGTTAATTGCTTAATTAACTCAGGAACCACACCTGTGTGGAAGCACCTGCTTTCAATATACTTTGTATCCCTCATACGTTTGTATTTTATTTTGGCACTTACATTTATGGCTAGACACTAAAATAAGGTTTTACTGTAGGCCTATGTCTTGTCATGACCCCTTTAGGCTACCTCTTCTTTATTTTTATTTTTTATAGAGGCTTATTTTAGATAAATTGTTAGGCCCTAATGCATGTCTCTCACTTCTCCTGTTTCTCATATTTTTGTTTGTAAGCGCAGTTCTCAATAACACTCACAATGATGACCCCTGTTTGTTGTTTTAGTTATAAGGATTTGAGTCTTGTTTAGTAGCTACTCTGATTTGATTTTAAGCACCAGACCTGAATTGAACTCAGTCAGAATACTTGAGAGATATTGCTGCATAACTGAATTCCCAGAAATATTTTCCCTTTGTTTTTCCCTTGATGGTTTCTTTTATTCATTTGTTTCCCAGAAAATGTTCATTATTTTAAGCAACGGGTGCATTGTTATTGTAATGTTCATGATCAATTGTGAAAACTATCACTAGACAGGGGTATGTATCTAAGTAATGATACTAAAAGCTGGAAATGCTCAATATTTCATAGACTTGTCTTTCAGTGTTGGTAAGCAAAATTGAGAGAACAAAAGCTGTGTTGCAGTGGCCATGTCAAGACTACAGGGGGTGCTGTGTGATGTTAGCCTCCCTCTGTGCTGTGTTTCAGAGCTGCGCTGCAGCCCTGGGCAGTTTGCCTGCCTCAGTGGGAAGATGCAATGCATCCCCTTGTCCTGGCAGTGTGACGGCTGGACTGCTTGTGAGGACAAGAGCGATGAGTTGGACTGCCCCCGTGAGTAACACCTCTTTATCCCTTTACCTAGACCTCAACCTGAACTCTAGTCCCCTTCCCAAATAATCATGATACTGTAAGTACATTTTCATTATTGCATGCTCTATTGTGAAAGACAGAGACTTCGTACATCCCCAAAATACTATAAATTAGGCTAATCTTGAACAGCTCAGAGCAGCTCTAAATTTCTTAGAAAACAACTTTCTAAATGTCAGGGGAAACACCAAACTCACTGAGTACATACAGTGGTGAAAAAAAGTATTTAGTCAGCCACCAATTGTGCAAGTTCTCCCACTTAAAAAGATGAGAGAGGCCTGTAATTGTCATCATAGGTACACGTCAACAATGACAGACAAAATGAGAAAAAAAATTCAGAAAATCACATTGTAGGATTTTTAATGAATTTATTTGCAAATTATGGTGGAAAATAAGTATTTGGTCAATAACAAAAGTTTCTCAATACTTTGTTATATACCCTTTGTTGGCAATGACACAGGTCAAACGTTTTCTGTAAGTCTTCACAAGGTTTTCACACACTGTTGCTGGTATTTTGGCCCATTCCTCCATGCAGATCTCCTCTAGAGCAGTGATGTTTTGGGTCTGTCGCTGGGCAACACGGACTTTGAAATGCTTCTTACGAAGCCACTCCTTCGTTGCCCGGGTGGTGTGTTTGGGATCATTGTCATGCTGAAAGACCCAGCCACGTTTCATCTTCAATGCCCTTGCTGATGGAAGGAGGTTTTCACTCAAAATCTCACGATACATGGCCCCATTCATTCTTTCCTTTACACGGATCAGTCGTCCTGGTCCCTTTGCAGAAAAACAGCCCCAAAGCATGATGTTTCCACCCCCATGCTTCACAGTAGGTATGGTGTTCTTTGGATGCAACTCCGCATTCTTTGTCCTCCAAACACGACGAGTTGAGTTTTTACCAAAAAGTTATATTTTGGTTTCATCTGACCATATGACATTCTCCCAATCCTCTTCTGGATCATCCAAATGCACTCTAGCAAACTTCAGACGGGCCTGGGCATGTACTGGCTTAAGCAGGGGGACATGTCTGGCACTGCAGGATTTGAGTCCCTGGCAGCGTAGTGTGTTACTGATGGTAGGCTTTGTTACTTTGGTCCCAGCTCTCTGCAGGTCATTCACTAGGTCCCCCCGTGTGGTTCTGGGATTTTTGCTCACCGTTCTTGTGATCATTTTGACCCCACGGGGTGAGATCTTGCGTGGAGCCCCAGATCGAGGGAGATTATCAGTGGTCTTGTATGTCTTCCATTTCCTAATAATTGCTCCCACAGTTGATTTCTTCAAACCAAGCTGCTTACCTATTGCAGATTCAGTCTTCCCAGCCTGGTGCAGGTCTACAATTTTGTTTCTGGTGTCCTTTGACAGCTCTTTGGTCTTGGCCATAGTGGAGTTTGGAGTGTGACTGTTTGAGGTTGTGGACAGGTGTCTTTTATACTGATAACAAGTTCAAACAGGTGCCATTAATACAGGTAACGAGTGGAGGACAGAGGAGCCTCTTAAAGAAGAAGTTACAGGTCTGTGAGAGCCAGAAATCTTGCTTGTTTGTAGGTGACCAAATACTTATTTTCCACCATAATTTGCAAAGAAATTCATTAAAAATCCTACAATGTGATTTTCTGGATTTTTTTCCCTCAATTTGTCTGTCATAGTTGACGTGTACCTATGATGAAAATTACAGGCCTCTCGTCTTTTTAAGTGGGAGAACTTGCACAATTGGTGGCTGACTAAATACTTTTTTTCCCACTGTATGTTTTCTTAACGTCTTTCATTGAGAGCTTTGTTTTTAAAAATCAGTTTTGGGGTGATACATATATTCGGCGCATGTGACAATAAAATAATGGGTGTAGACTTTACTGTGAAATGCTTACTTACGAGTCCTTTCCCAACAATGCAGAGTAAAAAATGTAAGAACATTTGCAAATAAAAATAGAAAATAGTTACACAATAAATAAGTCTATATACAAGGTGTACCGGTACTGAGTCAATGTGCAGGGCTACGAGGTAGAGGTAATATGTAGGTAGGAGTAAAAGTGACTATGCAATCAGGATAGATGATAAACAGAGTAGCAGCAGTGTATGTGGAGAGTGTGTGTGTGAGCATGTGGGTAGGGTCCGGTGAATGTGCATAGTCGGTGTAAGAGAGTCGGTGCAAAAAAAGGGTAAATAGTCTGGTTAACCATTTTGATTAACTGTTCAGCAGTCTTATGGCTTGGGTAGAAGCTGTTCAGGTGCCTTTTGGTCCCAGACTTGGTGCTCCGGTACCACTTTTTGTGCGGTAGCAGAGAGAACAGTCTGTGGCTTGGTTTGCTGGGCTCTTTGTCAATTTTCCGGCCCTTCCTCTGTCACCGCCTGGTATAGAGGTCCTGGATGGCAGGGAGCTCCGCCCCAGTGATGTACTGGGCCGTCCGCACCACCCTCTAATGCCTTGTGATCGAGGACAGTGCAGTTGCCATACCAAGCTGTGATGCAGCCAGCCAATATGCTCTCAATGGTGCAGCTGTAGAACTGCAATGTGGTTAGATATTGCAGTAGTAAGCGATTTTAAGGAAATCCTATTGTTTCCGCTTCTTAATTCCTGAACTAGCGCTGATCCCTGGATCGCTGGCTGCGTTATAGGAATTATGGAAAGGATTGGGTACACACACAGCATCTGACCTCCATAACACCTTCTTGTTTCATCTGGACTGTGTGCATATTACATTATTTGATAAATGGTGGCAAAAGCAGTCAAAACATTTGACTTTATTTTTTGTCATGAGAAACAACTACCGTATTTTCCGCACTATAAGGCGCACTTAAAAGCCTTTAATGTTCTCAAAGGACAGTGCGCCTTATAATCCGGAGCGCCTTATATATGGATCAATTGGTTAATTGGTTGATCCATACTGGTTGTACACGGCGCTCAAGGCGCTCTGTCAAAATGTTGCAGTATGAAAAACCAATAAAAACAATTTAATAATAATGAAATGTTTCAGTACGACTGGTAAACTACAAAGCCGCACCGCTTGCAGCATTACGGCTACCGTAGTCAGTAAACACAGGTACTGTGCTTACTCACAGTCCCACACCACTTGTGTGTGTATAAAGACCCCAAAATTGTTGTCAGAACGCTTAATAAAGTTTGACTTTATCTGACTGTTTTGTTGACATTCCCTTTAGCACAGCTCCATCTAGTGGATGCATAACGCAACCCCAGTCAAACGTTTGACTGCAGTATCTTCTATTCTATGCGCCTTATAATCCGGTGCGCCCTATATATGAAAACAGTTCTAAAATAGGCCATTCATTGAAGGTGCGCCTTATAATCCGGTGCGCCTTATAGTGCGGAAAATACGGTAATGTTTTTGCAGTTGATGACCCGTGAATGGGCTGAAAGGGCAGTTTCTCCATCCCCTAATAAGTTCCTTGAGTACAAACAAAGTTGTCTTCAGAAGGTTTTTTTATGAACTGCAGCCAGTAGCCACTGTACATTCCTTTTATTGAAACACTGCTTACACTCTGTTATATTTCTCTCTCGCTCGGATCCTCCCTCACAGCCATGAAGGAGGAGACGTTTCACTTTGCCAATGGGTTTGACCAAGTGGAAGATGTAATCGGCGTGGCCCAGCCTATGCGCTTTAACAGTAAGACCCCACCTAACTACCTCCATCATTCATTCACTCAGTACTCATCCAAAAAGATGAGCTAGAGAGATTTTAAAACAATATCTAAACTACTGGAAGTGTTGTTGCTGAAAGAACAGATGGAAAGCTTTGTTACTGGACATAGGCCTACTGTAAGAGCACTAAAGCACATTTACCTCCACAGAGAAGTGCCCTAGTGGGTGGCATCACTACGAGAAGACAGCCAGCTGCTACAAAGTGTACCTGAGGAATGAGAACTACTGGCAGGCTGTGGACACATGCCAGAAAGTCAATGGCTCGTTGGCGACCTTCGTTACCAACGAGGAACTGCAGTTCATCCTCAAGATCGAGGTTGATTTCGACGAGAAAGTGTGCGAGCGCAGAGACCAGTGCAAGTGAGTATGTGTTTGCTAAGGATGGGTTACGTGAAGTGATATAGTGTTGATCTGAATGCCTGAAGGCTGATGCTTTACTGTCCCAGAGTCATTTGTTATTATTTCATCCACTTTCTCTCTGATTCAGGTTCTGGGTGGGATACCAGTATGTCATAACCAATCGGAACCATTCACTGGAGGGCCGTTGGGAGGTGGCTTATAAAGGTGGGTGCAGTTAATTTGAATGAAAAGGAGCAGTTGCAACTCAAGGAGCACTCATTGTCATGCTCAAACCACCAAAGCAATAAACCTGTATTTGGCTTAAGGTTAATCTTGTTCCCTTCTCTGTTCCCTTACAGGGTCGATGCAGGTGTTCCTGCCCCCGGAGGGCCTGACTAACTTTGGAGAGGCATCTCCGACCCAGGACAACGTTTTCTGTGCCCAGCTGCAGCGCTTCCAGATCAAGAGCATGAACGAGCGCGGCCTTCATAGCTGGCATGCCGAGAACTGTTACAAAAAGTTCCCCTTCCTGTGCAAGAGGAGTATGTCTGCTCTTATTAAAACCCAATGACCTATGCAGCTTCACAGGAGATCAAAGTAGCTTGATTGTAACAAGTGTAGATGCTCAGTTGAAACTTGGTTGTTTGAGTCATAAGATTCAATAAATTCTGTATCAAAAGTCTTGGGTGCTGTAATGTGTACGTAAATTAGGGAAGTCCAGCGTTCTATGTTAGTGTAGGTATAGTTTTTTGTTTGGTTCTGGTTGTAAACCTTTGATTTTCTTTAACAGGGCAGACATGTGTGGACATAAAGGACCAGGTGGTGACCGAGGGGTACTACTTCACCCCTAAGGGGGAAGACCCGTGCCTGAGCTGCACATGTCACGACGGCGAGCCAGAGATGTGTGTGGCCGCGCTGTGTAATCGGCCAGAGGGCTGCAAGCACTTCGGCAAGGACCCCAAGGAGTGCTGCAAGTTCACCTGCCTGGACCCAGGTACTGCCTAAACACACACAATTCCCTATAAAAAAAAAAAACTAGAAACAATGGATGTTTGTGAATGTCCCACAAGGTGGAGCTCTTAACACATCTCACTTGTCATGCACCTCAATGTTTGGCACTAGTTTCAGAAGACGGAAGTAAATGGACAAAAGGATATTTAAAAAAAACATTTGAATTGTATTAAAATGTGGACCCGCTGTCTTTTAGAAGGCAGCAGCCTGTTTGACTCCATGGCCAGTGGGATGCGTCTGATCGTCAGCTGTATCTCCTCCTTCCTCATCCTCTCTCTGCTGCTCTTCATGGTGCACAGGCTCCGGCAGCGCAGACGTGAGCGCATCGAAACACTCATTGGAGGAAACCGTAAGCGTCATATAATCGCACTCATGCAAAACAACGAATGTCACCAAGCTCACTGCCATCCCTTGAAGAAACAGCCCTGTTTGGTCTTTTAACAAACACAGGGAACACCTCTCCTAGCTAGCCTGTATTAGCCTCTAGCCTCAGGTACTTCAGTGTATTCGCATTTTATTTGTGTTTCATTTGTGAGTGTCCGTCTACATTGGTTTCAATTAGCGGAAATGTTGTCTCACTCTCTTTTTCTTGGCACTCTCTATCCTCAGTGCACCATTTCAACCTTGGACGGCGAGTCCCAGGCTTTGACTATGGCCCGGACGCTTTTGGCACTGGCCTCACTCCCCTTCACCTCTCTGATGATGGAGAGGGAGGCGCATTTCATTTCCAGGAACCTCCCCCACCCTACGCTGCCTACAAATACCCTGACATCCAGCACCCAGATGACCCCCCTCCTCCCTACGAAGCCTCCATCAACCCCGACAGCTTGCTCTATATGGACCTGGGTAGGCCCAAAATAACTTATGGACCACCCTGTGTTCTTAATGTTTCCGTGATTTACTCACTTCCTGTGATAGAACAGTTGTGATTTTTACTAGATACTATGTTAAGTATCTAGCTGTTTCTGAACCCTGTCCTCACTGTTCTCCACAGCACGCCATGGGGTTCAGATGATCCCAAGTCAGATGAGGGATGTGGTAGATGCCATGACAGACGCCCCAGCACTACCTGTCCCCGAGCCAGAGTCTGTGCCAATGTCCTCCCAGGAGCGGGAGGACTCCATCGACAGCAGTACCCTCCTGGTGGGGCCTGACACCCCCACTGACGGCCACGCCCCTGACTCCATGCCTGCAGACTGCAGCAGCAGCTCCTCCCTCAGCACCATGGTATAGGACTGAGAGGAGGGGGAGGGGAGCTGCTATGGTCTGGACCCACAGATTGAGAGAGGTGGACAGTGGCAGACTATGGAGGGTGGACTGGAGCGGACTGGTCCATGAGGGGAGGGTGAGGAGAGACTGGAATGGCAAAAGACAGAGGATAGAGATTGTATCAGGATGGATTGCGGGACCAGTCTACTCCTTGAGGTGGGCAGCGGTGAGGAGAATCGGACTGGTATGTTTCTTAAACAGGTGAATTGAAACTGGTCGGGTGTCTGTCAGAAACGTATCCTCTACAGTTGAACTTGGAGAAATGGAGTGGAGCAGATCGCTTTCCTACAGGTGAGCACAGACCAGCGAATAAGGATCTGGAAGACTGATTCTGTACAGAGAACTAACAACACTACACCAGGCCGAGGAGGCTGAGCTTCTGCTTCTAGTTGTCATTGGACAAAGCTTTTGAATTGTATTGTTTGAGCTTCATGCTCAAGATTGCCCCCAATGTAAATACTCCCTCAAGCATTACACCAGGTAATAATGACGGAGGCGGTAGATGGCTTGCGTCTTTCTGCTTATGTCCTGGAGGTAGAGGCTGAGACAGAGCTTGGATTATTGTTTGTTGGATTTACAGCATGACGCGTGACTCGAAGCGCCGTGTGCTTCTGCTCTCCCTCCCAACTACATCTCCAAGTCTCCTCCATGAATGAAATGCATTAATTTTCCATCACAAGCACCGCCTCCGAACTGGGATTTCTGCACTCTCCAATCAATCTGATATGCTAAGACGTCTTCCAGATTGATGGCACAAATTTGAATATGAAAATTAAAGTTTCTGCTACAAAAGGTTTTTTAACCTTGCAAAAATATTTAGGTACGGTTAGTGTTAACTCCAACTAACACTCGAACTTACTGTGTTTTTTGAAATAAATGCTACAACTTTTCAAATAATCTTGCTACAATATTGAATTTCATTTATGAGTTCTAATTGAATAAGGTTGAGTATTGTGCCCTTTTCTTGGGGAGGAAGTAGGCTGTGAATTGTTTATTGTGGGATCTGAACATTGATGATGGGTCCCCCACCTTAGTCAATGAGTTCACCTCATGAAGAGAATGTCAATGAATGATGAGTGTGAATTAAGGTTAGCTTTTCATTTGTAGCTCGTAGCAATGTGTAATGGTTACTTACTGTTTTATACCCCATCATGAAATGTGTAAAAGTAAACTTCTTAAGATAAAGTGTTCTCCTCATGAAATCATATTAACAATTAATACTAAATTAATTATGTCTTCAACTGTCTGTTACTTGACTGTACGTATGTGTGAGGGTTTGTATGTACACAAATTAATCAATTGTCATTTTTGGAAGCCATCATTGAATCCGCTGTATTTCTTTTCTTACCAATGTACATGGTCATCTCAGTGTATTTAAGATTCAGACTATAACATGACATTGGCGATTTAACTGTTTAGATTTTAACAGTAGCCTAAATGGCATTGGGTGGTTAACCCCATTTCTCCTGTTGCATGATGACAGACAGGAAAGTCTAATGCAGTAGTGAAAAAGCTACTAGGAAAACCATAATTTGATCCCATTATGACAATCATTCTATACAGTCATGAGGTATATACTCTAGACCTGTGAGAGCCCTGTTGCTTGTTCACCTGTGGCGTTGAAAGGTCAAAGGAGTTGGAAGGCTACAATGGAAGGCCTATGAAAGCACAAAGACCCCTATAAGGATTTTGGAGCCAGTTTGGTCCAAGCCCTTACCAGCCAGGATCTGCATAGCATGCTCATCTATATGGCTTTAGTCTATCACCAGCAGCACTGAAATGGCTGAAGATCCATCTTGAGAATTGCAGCTTTGTGTGTACCATGTGTTTATGTACAGTTGTATGTATGTATGTATGTAGCATTACATTAGTTTTTTTATTTTCTTTGGTAGGTCTCAAGTTTGTTTTGTATTACATTTTTTTTAGCATAGACAATCCTTTTGGGGATTATCCAAGGAAATCATGTCTTGAATTGTTACAAAAATGTATCTTAAACTTTGGTGTGTGTGCATGTGTGTTTGGTGGTCAGCTCTCCATCTTTGGTTTGAGTGTGTTTTTAGGACCTATAGTGCATGTTTTAGTCTTTAGGCATGCTGAGAGAACATATTTCCAACAGATTTATAATTTTAAACAGTTCTACTCATCTTGGCCCAGGCTTAGCCCAGAGGCTTACCTACAGGTTGATGTAGATAAATGCGTTGGAACCCCTGCTCCAACCCCAACTGCTGGATTTGCACTGTAGTTGATTTGTTATGATAGACAATGGTGGCGTGTAAAATAAACTTTCAATGAGTTAGAACATGATGTATGTAAAATGCAACAGTTGATACATTTAGTTGTATTCTCTTTAAGTTCATAGCTTTTAAATTGTATTTTTTTTTGCTTCTTTTGCAGGGGGCTCTTATGTATTTTTCTGAGGTAGATGTACATCTAATCAAATGCCAAATAAATTGTATCATGAAGGACAGATGCCTGTTGTGTCTCAATTTGGGGAAGGACTCTGGGATGGTTAGGCCCCTAGTAGTAGCAGAGAACTTGAGACCTTAGGATGGATGACTGCACGCTTGACCGCAGTGGGTGAATAGGGCTACCTGTGTCTGCCTACGCTATGTGTTTCATCAGTCTTGGCATTTCACTGAGTTCTCTTGATTTGTCAAGGAAATCCCTCAGCCGCTGTAACCAAATGTCAGGGGGATTAAGATGAGATGTGGGAAATCCCTAAACGGTCAGTTGTGTGTTGCTGACAGAGAAGGGAATAAGGGGATTCCTGGAAGTTAATGAATTCCCCTCCCAGGCTATAGGAGATGGGCTTATCCATCTTCGCTCCAAAAAGGCAACTTATCTTAGCAGTGAGGCTGAAACCAAAAGAGATGTATTAGTCAGACCATGTCAAGCATCAGTAGCCTATTGCAGCATATGTTTGCCCATGATCTTAGGCCTATACCTGTCCGTTCCTTCGACCGGTACCCTTTATCGGCAGACCACTTGGCAAGAGTATATTTACATTTAAATCATTTAGCAGACGCTCTTATCCAGAGCGACTTATATAGAAGATACATTGAAAAAATAAACAGTGCTAACATTTTAATAAGATATATTCCAACCTGCTACTTAATCGTTTTTATAAAAAATTTAAATAAATAAAAAATATTGACCTGCCCGCTTGGGGGCATCGGTGCTCAGCCGAGAGTTGGCAAGCTTTCCTCGCATCAATGTCCCGTTATATGACATTCATCAGTAAAGACCACTGGCAATGACACACTCCACTGACCAAACAGAGAAGGGAAAAAAGCGCTCAGCATTCACTTTCCCAGTCCTATTTAAGCTTGGCATTTGCACAGATCCCTAAGCACCGATTAGGCCTGCCTCTGATTTTTATTTAGACATTAATTAGACCTATTGAAGTGCTGTGCTCATTTACTGGCGCAAAAATGATTTTGGCAATCATAACTTTCCTAGTGATGTTTATTACAGGTTCACACACCGGTGAGTATCAGGCTTGTCCTTGATATTTTCCAAGGTAGGCAGCTGTTATTGTTATTTCTGCTCACATTCTGTTTGAGTGTGTATTATGTCATGGAGGGTAAGAATGCTTTACAATTGATATCCTCCTTTTTTTACTATTTCAGAGGACTTCTGTTATGATGAGGGTCATTGTGGTAAGTGTCAATGTTTATTCAATGTATCATAAGTAGAGACAATGTACTTTTAAATGTTGCTTTTTCTCAAATTATTTAGGTTGATTTTAAATTGATATTGTAATAAAAATATAGTACTGTTCTTATCGTGTTAACTCTATGGTGACTGTGACTGTAGACTAGTTCACACTTTGAATGTCATCAGCATGCATTATTGTGTCCTCCTCAGATCCATATGCATGGGGAGACACGTTCCCATCCTGCCACCCAATACTTGAAGAGCATCACTCTCCAATCAACCTGGATCATCATATGACCAGAAATGAGTCATTGGAGGCTTTACATCTGGATGGTTTTCATACTGTTCATACAGGACACTGGAAACTGAAAAACAATGGGCACTCTGGTGAGTAGCCCATATCATTACCATATAAATAGATTTGTGAGGAGGTGTATCTACTGAGTAGTTATTTTCTACTTAGAGACTTTAGCCTTCGTGTCCCGTTTCTTATTTAATCACAGGACAACTCTGTGTGTGCTTGTGAGAATGTATGGGTGAATGGGTTGTGCATTTTGTGTATACGTTTAGAAGTGGTCTGTGTGTTTTGTATGCAGTTGTGTTGGAGGTTGGGAATGGGATGTCTGTGAGTGGTGGAGGTCTTCCAGGGACGTACCACACAATCCAGCTCCACTTTCACTGGGGAAGCCTCAACACTAACGGCTCAGAGCACACTGTGGACAGGCACAGGTATCCTATGGAGGTGGGTGATGGGCGCCTCTACATCCAGTCAACGTTACACTGAAGGGTGGATATCTTTGGTGAACAAAATATAAAACTAGGATGCAGGCACTGACTGCTGCTATTTCTTTAATTGACAGTGCATTTTCTTTTGCAGATGCACATAGTCAACATGAAGTCGAGTCACCCCAATTTGACATCTGCCTTGGATGACCCAACTGGCCTTGCAGTTCTTGGATTCTTTATTGATGTAAACTATATTTAAATACTTTATGTTGTTCATTTTGGAGCATATTTATAAAATGATCCGTTTATTTGGTCATGATGAAGTCATATATTCTAAACCTCTAACTTCTTCTTGCAGCTTAATTACATTGAAAATGTACACTTTGGACGCATATCACGACTACTTCCCTCCGTTGCCTACAAAGGTCGGTAGAAACATTAGTGCTCTAATGTATACCGAACAAAAATATAAACGCAACATGTAAAGTGTTGGTCCCATGTTTCCTGAGCTGAAATAAAAGGTCCCAGAAATGTTCCATAAACACAAGAACCTTATTTCTGTCCAATTTTGTGCACAAATTTGTTGACATCCCTGTTAGTGAGCATTTCTCTTTTGCCAAGATAATCCATCCACCTAACAGGTGTAGCATATCAAGTAGCTGATTAAACAGCACAATCATTACACAGGTGCACCTTGTGCTGGGGACAAAAAAGGCAGCTCTAAAATGTGCAGTTTTGTCACACAACGCAATGCCACAGATGTCTCAAGTTTTGAGGGAATGTGCAATTGGCATGCTGACTGCAGGAATGTCCACCAGAGCTGTTGCCAGAGAATTGAATGTTCATTTCTCTACCATAAGCCGCCTCCAATGTCGTTTTCGAGAATTTGGCAGTACGACCAACCGGCCTCACATCGGCAGACCACGTGTAACCACGCCAGCCCAGGACCTCCACATCCGGCTTCTTCACCTGCGGGATCGTCTGAGACCAGTCAGCCGGACAGCTGATGAAACTGAGGAGTAATTCTGTCCCCTTTTTGTGGTGAAAAACTCATTCTGATTGGCTGGGCCTGGCTCCTCAGTGGGTGGGCCTGGCTCCCAAGAGGGTGGGCCTATGTCCAGTCATGTGAAATCCATAGATTAGGGCCTAGTGACTGATTTCCTTATATGAACTGTAACTCAGTAAAATCGTTGACATTTTTGCATGTTGCGTTTATATTTTTGTACAGTATAGATATAGTGTGGTGACTGTGAACATGATTCAGTCCTGTGTAGGGTTTAATAAACGTTTAATAAAGGTCTTTCTCCCTCTCCTCTAGGTCAAACGGCGACAGTCAAGCCATTCCCATTGATCGGCCTTCTGCCTGAGAGCCATTTGTCCCAGTACTACCGCTACCATGGTAGCCTCACCACTCCACCTTGTTCTCAAGCCGTTCTATGGACCATGTATGAAGTCCCCATCTATATCTCATGGTCACAGGTAAGCAAGCACTACTGAAAGGAAGGACAGTAATGGAATGGGTTTAATCTCAAATCAAATCAAATTGTATTTTTCACATGCTTCGTGAACAACAGGTGTAGACTAACAGTGAAATGCTTGCTTACGGGCCCTTCCCAACAATGCAGAGAAAAAAAAGAGAAATAGTAGAAAAATATACAAATTATAACACAAGGAATAAATAGAAAAATAATAACACAAGGAATAAATACACATTGAGTAACGATAACTTGGCTATATATACGGGGTACCAGTACTGCATCGATGTGCAGGGGTACGAGGTAATTGAGGTAGATATGTACATATAGGTAGGGATAAAGTGACTAGGAAACTGGATAGATAATAAACAGTAACAGCAGTGTTTGTAATGAGTCAAAAAGAGTTAGTGCAAAAAGGGTCAATGCAGATATTCCAACCGGCCTATTGGTTAACTATTTAACTAACTATTTAGCAATCTTATAGCTTGGTGGATGTCCTGTTGGTTCCAGACTTGGTGCTCCGGTACCGCTTGCCGTGCGGTAGCAGAGAGAACAGTCTATGACTTGGGTGGCTGGAGTCTTTGACAATTTATAGGGACTTTTTCTGACATTGCCTGGTATAGAGGACCTGGATGGCAGGGAGCTCGGCCCCAGCAATGTACTGTGCCGTACGCACTACCCTCTGTAGCGCCTTGTGGTCGGATGCGTGGCGGATGTGTTGTTGCCTACCCTCACCACCGGGGTGCGGCCCGTCAGGAAGTCCAGGATCCAGTTGCAGAGGGAGGTGTTTAATCCTAGGGTCAGTTTAGTGATGAAATTGGAGGGCACAATGGTGTTGAATGCTGAGCTGTACTGTATGTAGTCAATGAACAGCATTCTCACATAGGTGTTCTTTTTGTCAAGGTGGGAAAGGGCAGTGTGAAGTGCAATAGAGATTGCATCCTGGTAATCCGTCTGGCCTTGTGAATGTTAACCTGTTTAAAGGTCTTACTCACATCGGCTACGGAGAGCGAGATCAGTCGTCCGGAACAGCTGGTGCTCTCATGCATAATTCAGTGTTGCTAGCCTCAAAGCGCATAGAAGGTATTTAGCTCGTCTGGTAGGCTCGCGTCACTGGACAGCTCGCGGCCAAGTTTCCCTTTATAATCCGTGATAGTTTGCAAGCCCTGCCACATCCGACGAACATCAGAGCCGGTATAGTATGGTTAGATCTTGGTCCTGTATTGAAGTTTTGCCTGTTTGATGGTTTGTCTGAGGGTGTAGCGCGATTTCTTGTAATTGTCCGGATTAGTGTCCCGCTCCTTGAAAGTGGCAGCTCTAGCCTTTAGCTCAGTGCGGATGTTGCCTGTAATCCATGGCTTCTGGTTGGGATATGTACGTACGGTCACTGTGGGGACGACGTCGTTGATGCACTTATTAATGAAGCCGGTGACTGATGTGGTAAACTCCTTAATGCCATCGGATGAATTCCGGGACATATTCCAGTCTGTGCTAGCGAAAAAGTCCTGAATCTATTTTCAAGTTCAAGTGCTTTCACCATAGCCTGGTGGAACCAACCTGATTGCTGTGTTCACCATTCTATTAAATAGAATGGTGAACGTAGTGATCAGGCTGGTTCCACCAGGATACTGTCACCATGGAACAACCCTGGGCGAACAGCTATACTAGGATTCTTACTAGTGATGAAAAACAATACCATGAATGATCTGATGAATCTGATGAATGATCATGCTTAATTACATCACAGTTGATAAATAACCACCCCATAAATGTGTTTTTTCTTCCCTAGTTTGAACAGTTTGCCACTGGGATTTTCGGCACAGAGGAGGATGAAAAACTTGTCGCACATCTCCATGACAACTTCCGACACATCCATCCCACCTTCAGTCGCAGCATCTACGCCTCCAAAAATGCCAAGCTGATTACAGCGACGGCCAGTTACCTCTATAGCCCAGCACTCTCAATACTTCTCCTTCAACTGACTTCAACTGTTGGGCTCATCTACGGGCTCTAGCTCTTTGCGCAGGGCTGTTTTGTTGATGCTAGCTTCACACTCTCTACTTGAGACAGCATCAAGGCCAAGAAACCAATGCCGTAGAATATATATATATTTTTTACAGAGGATACATAAAATACTGTGAAAAATAAGTGTACTGTTTACGGTGATTGACCACTGTATGTTTTCATCACATTACTGTCATTGCATTCAATTAGAAATGGTTTAATGTTTCATTACATGTTTAACAGTTCAATTCATAACATTGTGTAGACTAGATCTAGTACTGGTAACAGTACTAAAATGTAGTTCATCAATGCTACTGTGTATGCATCTCTGATTGTACTACATTCAATCACTACCTGACCTACTGTATTAATTAAACAAATAATTGAATTTGAACTCTGTGTTTACATTCCCCCTGGTGGCCATATGACATTGCTGTATATTCCCTCAGCAACTGCTGTGGGCAAGTAGCAGAGATATTATTTCCCTGCCTGCCTTCCCTTTATTTTGCATGAATTTGATCCACTTGAAACTGTCATCAGAAGAACTTCCCCACGCCACACCACTGCTCTGCAACTACCAGGGGTGACTCACTCAGAGTGATTGGTGTGACATGCTTATACTGTGGGGTTGTACGAGTGAGATGTGGATTGATAAAGTAGTGGCATTACAAAATCGGACACTTTGTCCAGTTCTGGCGGTTGACCAAATCCAATATGATAAAGAGAATAGTGATCCCGGGTAGCCTGACAGCCTGACCTGTGTATCCATGCTGACTGTATTGTCCCCATACTGCTGGTCACACCATCCACCTCCTGTCACTGACTTGGTGTGGCAGAGGGCAAACACACAGAGGCCACTCTGTGTCTGTCCGGATGGTGGAGTGTGACTATCAGGACTTGGCTGGGTGAGAATGAGATCACTGGCATCATGGGGGGCCTCAATCATATGTAGTTTTATTACATTTCTTTACTGACCATACCTGTTAAGTGGTTGATGCTATTGATGTAATACTGTTGGAGTCATTAGGATCCCTAGAATTGACACTGCCTGACTGCTTGAAATTGGGGAGAAATCACATGATTTGGTCCTGAACCAAACTGTAGCCTACACACTGACACAGACAGTAGGGCATTGTTTTATCCAAGGACAGCTGCTCTCCATTTCTGAATGTTGGTTTATTCATGTTGCTTATCATGGGTGAAGGTATGCAGGCATTCTCCATTGAGGTTTCAAACTTGAAATGTTATTTATTCAATTATGTCAGTTGATACTAATGGTTTACTGTACAGGCGTGGTCAAAAGTTTTGAGAATAACACAAGTATTGGTCTTCACAAAGTTTGCTGCTTCAGTGTTATGAGATATTTTTGTCAGATGTTACTATGGTATACTGAAGTATAATTACAAGCGTTCCATAAGTGTCAAAGGCTTTTATTGACAATTACATGAAGTTTATGCAAAGAGTCAATATTTGCAGTGTTGACCCTTCTTTTTCAAGACCTCTGCAATCTGCCCTGGCATGCTGTCAATTAACTTCTGGGCCACATCCTGACTGATGGCAGCCCATTCTTGCATAATCAATGCTTGGAGTTTATCAGAATTTGTGGGTTTTTGTTTGAGGATCGACCACAAGTTCTCAATGGGATTAAGGTCTGGGGAGTTTCCTGGCCACTTAGTTATCACTTTTGTCTTATGGCAAGGTGCTCCATCATGCTGGAAAAGGCATTGGTTGTCACCAAACTGTTCTTGGATGGTTGGGAGAAGTTGCTCTCGGAGGACGTGTTGGTACCATTCTTTATTCATGGCTGTGTTCTTAGGCAAAATTGTGAGTGAGCCCACTCCCTTGGCTGAGAAACAACTCCACACATGAATGGTCTCAGGATGCTTTACTGTTGGCATGACACAGGACTGATGGTAGCACTCACCTTGTCTTCTCTGGACAAGGTGTTTTCCGGATGCCCCAAACAATCGGAAAGGGGATTCATCAGAGAAAATGACTTTACCCCAGTCCTCAGCAGTCCAATCCCTGTACCTTTTGCAGAATATCAGTCAGTGATTTAGGTGCAATCTTACTAACAGCAATATCTTTGCCTGTGAAGCCCCTTTTGTGCAAAGCAATGATGACGGCACGTTTCCTTGCAGGTAACCATGGTTAACAGAGGAAGAACAATGATTTCAAGCACCACCCTCCTTTTAAAGCTTCCAGTCTGTTATTCTAACTCAATCAGCATGACAGCGTGATCTGTTAACGAGAGAATCACTGACATGATGGCAGCTGGTCCTTTTGTAGCAGGGCTGAAATGCAGTGGAAATGTTTTTGGGGGATTAAGTTCATTTTCATGGTAAAGAGGGACTTTGAAATTAATTGCAATTCATCTGATGACATTCTGGAGTATATGCAAATTGCCATCATCAAAACTGAGGCAGCAGACTTTGTGAAAATTAGTATTTGTGTCATTCTCAAAACTTTTGACCACGACTGTACATAAAACTGGATCATCCAGTTATTGCTCTGTCTGAACACTGAAATGTAATGTATTCTTCCAATTTAGTTCAATTAACTCAATAATTCGAAGAAAAGAAAATCCTTTATTTTCTCAGATTTTATTTTTCATACATTTGTTGTGTAATAAATAGACATGAGAAACAGGCTGATGATTCCACCCCATTCCCATGTCATTTCTGCACCATGTTGTTTTCCTTTCTCCACACTGCAAGTTTTCATAGAATTTACAACAGAAAATACAAAATAAAGCTTGACACAAGCTGAAAATACTGCCACCAGCTTCACGTTCACCAGCTCTGTCTGACACAGATCTCTCAGCTGTATTTCTGTAGCAAATCCCCAGGAACAAAAATATATTCACAGTTAAAGTATTTATACATTTTAAGATTACAAAGGAAATGGGCAGAAAAAATGAAGAAGTTTCTACAAGAAACAATCTTTCAAAGGGAAGTGGAGATTATTTTTCTGTACAAGATGCACCTTTGCTTTAAATAAACAATTCAACCCATGTTTCTTTTTTTATATACTTTTTAAAGATTCCTTATTTTTTTTTACTGATCCCTGAAAATACCACTTCAAATACTCAATCTTTTTTGTTAAAAAATAAAAAAAGATGCATCATTTTAAGTATTCCCTGTGACGATAAAAAAAAGCTTCAGGTATTTTTCTATACAAGTGATCCTGTACAATATAAACATCACCGTATTAAAAAAAAAAAACTACTATGAGCTATCCAACTGAATGAGAAGCAATGAATTACTTGGTTGTCAGACATCTGATTGGCTAGGAAGGGCGTAAGCAGAAGTGCAAGCCTCCAGTGCATTCACAAACAGCAATGATTCATGAAACTGAATGACAAGAGACAATACCCACGTGACAAACATACACAAACAGAAGCTTGACGCTTGGGGTTCTTAGTGTGGTGGTGATAGTGCAAGGTCTGTTGGGTTGTTTTAGATTAGAAACACTTCTATATGGTGACTAGAATACTGAGCTAACTTGTACGGTGAGGGCCCTTACATGTTACAAAGAAGCACCATGGGGTGAGAACACCAAAACCAGTCATCACCAACACACCACCAGCCAGTGAAGGAAAACAATATCACGTACACCACACACATTAATGTCATACAATACTAACACATTCACACAGGCGAAAATAGACAGCATTTCATAATAGTGCATGCGCATTAACACAGTTGCAAGCGGCAGATTTCAGAAACACTTTTGCCCTGTAGTCATGGAAACCCCAGAAGCCTAGACATGGATATGGCACTTGTGATTGAACTTAAATGTATAAACTGCCTTCTTTTCTAGCCACCCCCCCCCCCATTCCAAGGCTTTTGTCAAGGTAATTATCATGTAAAAAGTTCCTGTTCATTGCAGTCATGTGAGAACCTTGGAGTTACATTTACCTAGGTTTCACCTATATTTACTATCATTATCCTGTTGTCAACTTTATAGTGCATTGAATAAATGCTTTTCTCAAGATTTAACACTGGAAATGCAATGGACATCTGTATGGTTTCCAGACAGCATTGGATGCGCTTTAGGAATAAATCTAAGCATGACGAAATGCCTAAACCTAATAATACTAGTTTGAATTGCTATTCACTCATCAGCTGTACTGATCTGAACCCTTTCTTAGAACACAGTCTTTTAAATGGTGAATCACTTCTATAACCCTTCTACATGGTAACCTCAGCAAGCAGCTTGACATGGATGGATGTCATGTTGGAGGTGAGAAGGCATCATGAAGTCAAAAACATTTCAATACAATCTGCATCAGCAGTCTTACTGTGCAGTGATAAAGTTTGTTATGGAAGGAATGATGTGCCTATGGTTGCTTTTGGAATCACTATACTACACTATGGTGTAAAGGTTCAATTGTGTTACATTTCTAAAAAGTCCCCATCTTGCATTATTTTCCAATTCACTATTTCTACAGTATGGCCTACAGAGGGCAGCACATTCACTCATTGCACACAAAATACAATAGTGTTTTTGGGGGAGGGTAATTTCTGAGTGACAACAGAAAGGATGGCAAAACCACTGGAATAACCATTTATAAATCTCTGAAAGGGTATTCCTTGATGTTTAAATAAAGTACCAGACAGCAGTATACTCTATATTCTTTGCTGGTATGAGCAGGTGTGGATTAATCTGCACTCCAGTGATATCCACGTTTGTGAATTGAGGACACAATGAACCATTCTGTCTCTTCAATTATATCAGTTTTCTGCATTTACTATAAAAACAAAGGAGGGTTAAGCAAATGGAGGCATCCCCGCAGGCTTCTCCTTGGGTAGCAAACCCAGTTCTCAGGACCCCAAACCTACTTCCTGTCTGTGCCACTATGACCACCATAGGGTGAGAATAGTGTAATCTTCCGTGGGGGAAGCGGTGTCCCTCTCACGACCAAGAGTTTTAATTGTGAGTGTCAACAGTATTAATGAGCAGCTACAAGTGTGTGTGTGTGTGTGTGTGTGTGTGTGTGTGTGTGTAATATTATATATATATATATATATATATAGAATGGGGGGCTACGTACCACGTGTGGTCTCCGTAAAGCTTATGAGAAAAGTGGGAGTAGGTAAAACTGTACAAGCCAAGACCAGACCTGGGAGGAACCATCCTGAATGGAAGACAAACAATTAAGAGTGCTGCACCAGGAAGCCAGATGCTATACAGCATTGTGGAAATTCAAGGGTCACTGGCAGAGTAGTAGAAAACCCAAGTTTATGTCCGTTTTAAAGAGCACCTGGAATCGTAAACAATCTTGAGTTAACATCTGCATGTATAAAAAGAGTCCCAGACAGGTAGCTGCGCTGTATCCAGATGATGGGTTGTTTTCCATCTCCTGGTTCTTCCACCCCTACTCTTTTCTCCTTGTGTTTTTAGCATGGTGTCTCTGTGTGCGTGTCCAGGGAATGGGGACAACGTTGGTTGGGACAGTGCTTGTTGTTTTCCGGGAGGTTTTCCCCTTCGCCAGGGACTAACGTTAGTTCAACGTTCCTCTACAGTTCTCTGCCCCACACAAGCAGGGGATCTTCTCGTCCTCAATTGGGAACTTGTAGTCGTAGGTGATCTCCTCGTTGACATTGATGGGTTGTCGGGAGTAGATGACGATCTTCTTTTGGGACTCCACTGTGATCACCTTAGCATAACAGTTGGGCTGAGAAGATGAACAAAACAGCGGTGTTAGCATCAATGTGTTTGCTAGCCTAGCAATGTGAAATTGGGTCAATTCATTGACTAGAATACGTTTTGATTGAGAGGAGACACTTACATTGCAGCTGTGGTTGATGAAGCGGGCGAAGTTACCACACTTGGTGGCGTCTATGATGGTGTCATGGTCCACACGGAACATGTAGCTGCTCCCGATGCCCTCGTCCTCGTAACGCTTCTCCCTCATGTCAGCAATCACCTGGTCACAGGATTGGATAGGTTTACACTCAGCCTGTTACCACTCACCTGTATGACATTATGATTTGCAGCCCGCACAAAGTACATGTTTTTGCTGTTGGATAATCTCTATAATGCTTCCTGTCTGCACATAACCTCCCTCAGACTGAGAAGACAGTTGTGTTCTACTCACCTGTCTGATGTTCTGCCCCACGTACTCAATCACCATCTCATCAGCAGCAATTGGCTCCATAGCGAACAAGCCCCAGTCGTGGATGTGCGACTTACAGAACCGAATCTTCTTCTTACGGAACTGGGGAAGAGTAATACAAATAAAACATTTTTTTTTTTTGAAGTGACAGTATTGCACTGACATTCAGTGTCAACGAACATAGTGGTTGTGTGTGGGCTGTATTTGGCCTTTGGTACCTTCAGCTGGTTGAACTTGAGCAGGTCGCTGTCACAGCTGAAAGAGGACAGCAGGCGGCGCTGTTCAGACCGACGCTCAGAGCCAGCTCTGGTGGAGACTAGGGGCTGTGCGGGAATACTCATGCCCTGCAGAGAGAGACGGAGGAAGGGAGAGAAGGAGATAGAGGGGAAATTAAGAAAGAAAACACAATGAGCTTCTACTCCACAAGCTCCTACTACACCTTAAGGCAAACGGACGCATCAAGACACAAACAGATGAACAGACACCCTTGCTGATGTGAACTTAAGCCCATCAGCCCACTCTCTGCTAAAACCCACCTGCATGTCTATAGGCCCCTCCTCCAGTAGGTGTTTGTTGCTGTTGAGGTATTTGATCTTGTCCTTCTTGTCGATCTTGTAGTAGCCCTCGCTACGGGCACAGCCAGTCATGTGATCCCTCATGCCATCGTCCCTCCTCTTCCTCTTCACCGCCGGGATGTTGGTAGGTACAGGGGAGTCAAGGGAAATCATCAGAAGGCTAAACCGTGGGTTGGTAGAACCATGACAAAACATTTCTAATTTACTACTATCTAAAATGCTTGATGACTAAGCAATACTAAAAAGAACAACAAAGGAACAACACTTTAGGACAAAAAGAGACTAACTTGTTTGTAATCGAGTAGAGGCAGTAGAGGGCCCTATCATTGCTATAGTTGCTATACAGCTACAGGCAAAAATTAATGTACTAGCAAAAATGGGCAGTAATGTTATCAACAGCCAGTAGTAAAGGATATGAGGGTGCTGGACCCACAGCGTGTCGTTGAGCCAGTCGTTGCCGTTGTCCTGCTGCAGCATCTTGTCGTAGGTGACCTGCAGGTGCCGGATGTCCTCCTCATCGATGCCGTCGTTCCAGATGTCGTACAGGATGGTCATCTCCTCAAACTCAGAGCGCGGAACGTAGTGGGGCCGCGGCGGCGTGGTCGCAGGCGAGTGGCTGGCCAGCAGCAGCTCTTCCCACCCTCGCCGCGCCTTACGGGCTGGCTTCTGCACGCGCTCCTCTTCTTCATAGGGGAGGAACCGGTCGTCATGGGGCAGAGCCGTCTGCGGCTCTGACGCCCCTTCCCGGAAGTCCAGGCCCACAGTGAAGGTGTCTAGCCCAGCGCACCTGGGGATGTCAGGAAGAGTGGCTGCAGCAGCCGTGTCTGCAGAGAGCTCTCTGAGCTGGGCATCGTGAGGCAAAGAGGGGGGCATGGAGGTGGGAGTCACCGAGAGCTCCATAGACTCAGTCTTAGGAGAAGTCAGTGCTGCCAGAGCTGCCAGTGCTGCAGCCTTTTTACTCTTGGGTCGCCCAGGCTTCCTCTTAGGCGGGGATGCGTCAGGGGGCACCGGGAGGTCTAAGGCCGGGACAGCAGGCAGGTCTTTTTGCACGCTGGTTAAGGCCTGTCCCTGGAGGGAGCCGGGGGGCAGGGTCTGGTTGGCCAAGGTGCTGAGTGGAGGCTCCTTGAACAGCGGGCTTTCTGAAGAGGCTTTCCGGTGGATGGGAAGGCCAGCAGCCAGGGCTGTGTGGTCTGGGAAGACAGGGGTGAAGGTCAGATCTCTGCCGGGGGTTCGGGGGATACCTGTACTCAGGATGGGGGACTGGGCAGGGTAGGAGAAGGGGCTGCCGGATATGTGGGGGGAGCTGAGGCTGGCCAGGCTGCTGCCAGTCAGAGGGGCATCGCTGCCAGGCGTGACGGGCACGTTCTCTGTGCTGTTCTGGGACTTGCCCAGGCCCCTTAGGTCTCTGCCAGGGGTGCGGGGCACATCCTCGTCTGTGGACAGCCTGGCCCTAAAGGGGAGGGGGAGGTCCGGAATGGGGCCGGGAGGCGGCAGCAGGAGGGAGTGGCCTCCCATGGCTAGGGTAGGGGGGAGGAGCATAGGTGGGACGACTAGGGATCTAGGGAGGGCTGTGTCGGGCTCCAGGGATATGGAAGCCCCTCTACCTGGTGTACAGGGCAGATCCTTGTCCTCTGTGTGGGCCTTGGGTCGAGAGTCCTGGTCGCTGTCAGCCAGGGAGCCTGTCGGGGTGGGCGGCCGCAGGTTAGTAACATCGTCCTGGGGCTCCGTCTTCGATACAGGGATGGTGACTTCCAGGTCAATGTCTGGCTCCTCAGCTGAAAGACAACCAACATGTCAAGACAATCGGTCAGTTAAAAGCAATATGCAGAGTGTAACATCTGAAATGGCATCTGAAACACAAGGCTTGTGTGGTTAGGTAACAGGAGAGGGTTAAGACCTGGGACTCCTTTGGGTGAAGGGGGCCTGAGGTCCTCCAGGCTGGTCCGGCCAGGCTCCGCTGCCCCCTCCACCTCACTGAGGCATCTGTGGTTGGGCTTGAGCTTCAGCCCCTCCCTAGGCGTCTGGTCCTCCTCTAAACCAGCCAGCTCTGAGGGCTCGTCCTCTGGGGGAGGGCCTAGGGGCGTGCTGGGCGCCTTAGGCTCCACCTCCTCCTCAGATGAGGAAGATGAAGAGGAGGATGAGGACGAAGAGGTCCGAACCCGGTCCTCGTCTTTATCCGGTAGACTCTCCACGTCTACCACTGCCTCCTCCTCCTCCTCCTCCTCCTCTTCCTCCTCTGCCTCTTCCTCTGAACTGGATTCATAGTCAGAGGAGTCCCCACTCGCAGAGGAGTCAGAGTCGACTTTAGAGGACGCTGAACTGGCAACGTCTGTGGGAGCGAGGAGGAGAGAGAATAGGACAAGTTACAGAGGAGTTTACACACCAGAATAGCAAATAACTATAGTCATTGACATCATCAGCGTGGATTTACCCTCATCTGACGACTCAGATGATTCACCATCACTGGATGATGCCGCCTCATCTTCGTCCTCATCCTCTCCACTCTCCTGAAAGGTCCAATCCCAGATGTTAAAAGCTATTATTAAAAACATTGTTCTACAGTATGATGCCTCAGGTTGCCTTCTCCCAATGAGCTGAAGCACCTGTTGAAGGTTGTGATGGTCAACACTTCATCTCCCATTCTAGGACATGTGGTCATTTGATTGACAGCTCACCTTGCCCGACGACAACCTCTCAGAGGCCTCCGTCTCGTCAGGCTCCTCCTCCCTATCGGACAGGGACTCCTCCTTCCCAGAAGTCTCTACTTCCTCCTCTCCCTCGCTGTCCAGCTCCAGCGGCCGCGCATGTCGTCTCCGTGACGCCGCGCTGTCCTCGTCCATCCTGGACCCATCTTCTGGGAGCTCCGCTAGCTCATCATCCACAGGCGTGGAGGGCCGCGCTCGCTTAGTGTCCCCGGTGGAGGTAGCATCAGGAGGGTCCTTCCTCTTCACCTGAACACACACACATTAATAATCTCTCCCAATGAGTTGTGACAAATACATTTTGCCAAATATAAAATGATAGAACTATTTTACAAAGCGCCAGAGCCCTTCTTAGTCAATCCTAAAAGTGTCTGGAGGTACCTTGAAGGATGGCAGGCGGATGGCTCCTCGGAGGCCGATGCCCAGGCCCATGCCCTCGTAGCCTAGGCCCTCTCCCTTGTTCCAGTTCTCCAGTAGACTGGAGCCAATGGTCTCTTTGGGCTTGGGCTTCTCCTCCTCTCCATGCTTCACCGGGGTCAGGGACGCCTTGGGGACGAACAACAACATGGTACTCATATGAAAGCCTGGTTGTTATCTGGCTAGTTAACGCAGGAGAATACCTGGCTAGAATAGTCATGTCATTACAATTAAATGGTAGCTAGAGTTTGTGAAATAGCAAAGTACAACAACCTAGCCAGTTCACACAGCAATGTCCTTTGTACTCAACAATTTCACCCATATTAATTAACCAAACTCATTCAACTAACCAAATTCTCTAAATATATCACTCTGATATGCCTACCTTGTTGTCAATAGAGTCCATAATTTCAACACATTCAAATAAATTCTCACTCATAACCTCAACTTCGCAAAAATTCAAGGTTAGTTGAGCTTTTCTGATACAAAACATTCCAGGAGTTTTAAATGAGGCTTTCCTCAAAAACATTATTTTGTATCCAAGCAACAATGGCCATATTCTACCATTAGAAATATGCATAAAGACTGAGGGATATATATTTGAGCTAAACCAACATTGACAGGCCTGTGCTTCATTAAATGTAAAAGAAATTCCACATAATCTCAGAATTGACTGTTTACATGAGACTGAAGTGAGACTAGATAGGAGCTGGATTTGAAGTATGACTCACCTTGGCTGAGTGTTCTTTCTTATCCCACCACTCGTCAAAGGCCCTAAAGGCTACCACCTCCACCATCTTACGGTTGAGGTCCCTCTTCATGATGGCCTTCAGCTCCTTGACGATGACCAGCAGCACCCCTTCCACGGTGGCCTTGTGAGGATCCTCCTTCTTAGCCTCGTAGCCCGGTGGAGGAACGGCAGGGTTGAACTTGGGCATGCTGGGGTGGGGCCAGGGTTGCTGCCCATGGCCCCCTGCACTGGCAGCTGGGGTGCTACTCATGGACAAGGGTGGGTAGGGACCCCCAAACTGCATGGCTGCTGACCCAGCTGAAGCCGTCCCTCCTGTGCTCATGAAGTGTGGGTAGGGGTAGGGCCCCCGGGTCTGGGCCATGCGACTCAGCATTTGAGTCTGCATCTGGAAGGACATGTGAACGCTGCCCCATTGAGGCAGACAGCTCATCAGCTCCATCTGCATCATGGGCACCATGCCATGGGGGTAGAGTTGAGGCAGCATGGGGTGGGGCACTCCAGGTGCCAGGTGTGGGCCTGGGACGGCAGAGAGGTGGTGTGCAAGACCGAAACCTGCTTGAGGGGGTAGAGGGTGGAAGCCGGGGGGTGGGAGGGGCATGGACTGCATGGGGGACACAGCAGAGTTGACCACGATGCCTTTGGCACAGTCGCCACTGTGCGTGGGCGTGCCTGGCATGTCGTCCTCATCCGAGATCTCCATGTCTTCCCCAGAGGACTGATGGCTCTGTGGGAGATGGAAAGGACAAGGTGTCAGGATATCTCTATACAATACATGACCTGATAGAGTCAAATGGGAAGCATCCACACAATAAGCACAGGTTCCAGCTTCTCTACTCATCCCTACAGACCCGTTTCCCGGCCGTGTCATGAAATGTTGCACGTGCAGTTTGACATCAGAAACATATTTGTTTACCTAGCAGTGGATACGATCCCATGCCACTTCAAATGCAGCTTGTGCAAGTTAACAAACACTTTATCAAATGGTTATCGTCTACAACAGCATTTCCCAAACTCGGTCTTGGGGACCCCAAGGGGTGCACGTTTTGTTTTTTGCCCTAGCACTACACAGCTGATTCAAATAATCAACTCCTCATCGAGCTTTGATTACTTGAATCAGCTGTGCAATGCTACGGCAAAAACCAAAACGTGCACCCCTTGGGGTCCCCAGGACCGAGTTTGGGAAACACTGGTCTACAACATTGCAGATACACTAAATGACCAGAATCGTCTAGAATGTCATTGTATGCTGTTACATCAAGATTTCCCTTCACTGGAACTAAGGGGCCTAGCCCGAACCATGAACAGCCCCAGACCATTATTCCTCCTCCACCAAACTTTACAGTTGGCACTATGCATTCGGGCAGGTAGCGTTCTCCTGGCATCCGCCAAACCTATTTTCATCCGTCGGACTGCCAGATGGTGAAGAATGATTCGTCACTACAGAAAACGTGTTTCCACTGTTTCAGAGTCCAATGGCAGCGAGCTTTACACCACTCCTGCTGATGCTTGGCATTGCACATGGTGATCTTAGGCTTATGGGCGGCTGCTCGGCCATGGAAACTTGCGAACATTAGAAATTAGGTTGCACGTGATGTTAGCTGTTCCCATTACATAACATGGCCCATTTAGCCCGATTTCACTCACCAGGTGGCCGCCCATAATTACAGTGCATTCGGAAAGTATTCAGACCACTTGACTGTTTCCACATTTTCTTACGTTACAGCCTTATACTTAACTGTAAGTCGCTCTGGATAAGAGCGTCTGCTAAATGACTTAAATGTAAATGTTATTCTAAAATAGATTTTTGTGAAAAAATATTTTCTCATCAATATACACACACACACACACACACACACACACACACACACACACACACACACACACACACACACACACACACACACACACACACACACACACACACACACACACACACACACACACACACACACACACACACACACACACACACACACACACACACAATACCCCATAATGACAAAGCAAAAACAGGTATTTAGAAATGTTTGCAAAAAAACTATAAAAAGAAAACACTGAAATATCACATTTACATAAGTATTCAGACCCTTTACTCAGTACTTATTTGAAGCACCTTTGGCAGCGATTACAGCCTCGCTTCTTCTTGGGTATGATGCTACAAGCTTGGCACACCTGTATTTGGGGAGTTTCTCCCATTCTTCTCTGCAGATCCTCTCAGGTTGGATGGCTGCACAGCTATCTTCAGGTCTCTCCAGAGATGTTCGATCGGGTTCAAGTCCGGGCTCTGGCTGGGCCACTCAAGGACATTCAGCAACTTGTCCCAAAGCCACTCCTGCATTGTCTTGGCTGTGTGCTTAGGGTCATTGTTCTGTTGCATGGTGAACCTTCACCTCAGTCTGAGGTCCTGAGCGCTCTGGAGCAGGTTTTCATCAAGGATCTCTCTGTACATTGCTCCGTTCATCTTTCCCTCGATCCTAACTAGTCTCCCAGTCCCTGCCGCTGAAAAACCTCCCCACAGCTTGATGCTGCCACCACCACGCTTCACCGTAGGGATGGTGCCAGGTTTCATCTAGATGTGACGCTTGGCATTCAGGCTAAAGAGTTCAATCTTGGTTTCATCAGACCAGAGAATCTTCTTTCTCATGGTCTGAGAGTCCTTTAGGTGCCTTTGGGCAAACTCCAAGCAGGCTGTCATGTGCCTTTTACTGAAGAGTGGCTTCTGTCTGGCCACTCTACCATAAAGGCCTGATTGGTGGAGTGCTGCAGAGATGGTTGTCCTTCTGGAAGGTTCTCCCATCTCCACAGAGGAACTCTGGAGCTCTGTCAAGAGTGACCATCGGGTTCTTGGTCACCTCCCTGACCAAGGCCTTTCTCCCCCGATTGCTCAGTTTGGCTGGGTGGATAGCTCTAAGAAGAGTATTGGTGGTTCCAAACTTCTTCCAGTTAAGAATGATGGAGGCCACTGTGTTCTTGGGGACCTTCAATGCTACATAAATGTTTTGGTACCCTTCCCCAGATCTGTGCCTCGACACAATCCTGTCTTGGATCTCTAGGACACTCCCTTCGACCTCATGGCTTGGTTTTTGCTATGACATGCACTGTCAACTGTGGGACCTTATATAGACAGGCGTGTGTGCCTTTTCAAATCATGTCCAATCAATTGAATTTACCACAGGTAGACTCCAATCAAGTTCTAGAAACATCTCAAGGATGATCAGTGAAAACAGGATGCACCGGAGCTCAATTTCGAGTCTCATAGCAAAGGGTCTGAACACTTATGTAAATAAGGTACACTACTGTTAAAAAGTACTCATTCAAGGGTTTTTCTTTATTTGTACTATTTTCTATATTGTAGAATAATAGTGGACACATCAAAACTATGAAATAACACATATGGAATCATGTAGTAACCAAAGAAGTGTTAAACAAATCAAAATATATTTTATATTTGAGATTCTTCAAATAACCACCCTTTGCCTTGATGACAGCTCTGCACACTCTTGGCATTCTCTCAACCAGCTTCATGAGGTACACCTGGAATGCATTTCAATTAACAGGTGTGCCTTCTTAAAAGTTAATTTGTGGAATTTCTTTCCTTCTTAATGCATTTGAGCCAATCAGTTGTGTTGTGACAAGGTAGGGGGGGGTATACAGAAGATAGCCCTATTTGGTAAAAGACCAAGTCCATATTATGGCAAGAACAGCTCAAATAAGCAAAGAGAAATGACAGTCCATCATTACTTTAAGATATGAAGGTCAGTCAATACGGAAAATGTCAAGAGCTTTGAAAGTTTCTTCAAGTGCAGTCGCAAAAAAAACATCAAGCGCTATGATGAAACTGGCTCTCATGAGGACCGCCACAGGAATGGAAGACCCAGAGTTAACTCTGCCGCAGAGGATGAGTTCATTAGAGTTACCAGCCTCAGAGTTGCAGCCCAAATAAATTCTTCAGAGTTCAAGTAACAGACACATCTCAACATCAACTGTTCAGAGGAGACCGTGTGAATCAGGCCTTCAGGGTCGAATTGCTGCAAAGAAACCACTAATAAAGGACACCAAGAAGAAGATGATACTAGCTTGGGCCAAGAAACACGAGCAATGGACATTAGACTGGTGGAAATTTGTGCTTTGGTCTGGAGTCCAAATTTTGACCAAGAAGGAGAGTGATGGAGTGCTGCATCAGATGACCTGACCTCCACAATCCCCCGACCTCAACCAAATTGAGATGGTTTGGGCTGAGACAGACCACAGAGTGAAGGAAAAGTAGCAAACAAGTGCTCAGCATATGTGGGCACTCCTTCCAGACTGTTGGAAAAGCATTCCAGGTGAAGCTGGTTGAGAGAATGCCAAGAGTGTGCAAAGCTGTCGTCAATGCAAAGGGTGGCTATTTGAAGAATCTCAAATATAAAATATATTTTGATTTGTTTAACACTTTTTTGGTTACTACATGATTCCATATGTGTTATTTCATAGTTTTGATGTCTTCACTATTATTCTACAATGTAGAAAATAGTACAAATAAAAGAGAAACCGTTGAATGAGTAGGTGTTCTAAAACTTTTGACCGGTAGTGTGTGTTTTTTATTTTTAATACATTTGCAAAAAAAATCTTAAAACCTGTTTTCAGTTTGTTATTATGGGGCATTGTATGTAGATGTAAAAATATATATCCATTTTAGAATAAGGCTTTAACAAAACAAAATGTGGAAAAAGTCAAGGGGTCTGAATACTTTACGAATCCACTGTATATCCGGTTCAAATTCCATATCAGCCAATTACAATCGCCAATGTAGTTGGACGTGTTAGAACACTTTTTCCTTAGAGCGTCCTTAACAGCAGTCAAACATTTTACATTTTAGTCATTTAGCAGACGCTCTTATCCAGAGCGACTTAGTTAGTGAGTGCATACATTTTTCCCCCCATTTTTTTTTTTTTTTACATACTGGCTCCCCGTGGGAATCAAACCCACAACCCTGGCGTTGCAAACGCCATGCTCTACCAACTGAGCTACACGGCACCATATGCTAATCGAAGTCGCTAAAACATACACCAATTTTTAAACTGGACGATTAGCTCAGTGTTGCAAGCCTGTCCCTGGTGATTTTCGCCATTTGCGGCAAGTTTGTCCTCATCCGAGATAATCATCTACTTTGTCACATATGCATTATTTGACGAGGATCAACAGTGGAGCATTAAAAAAAATATATATATAAACAATTTAAAAACATTGCCCGAGGGGAATTCGAACTTGCGCCCGTTGTATCTCGCCGTCTCTGGGCTTACCGACATACGGCTATCACTAATTGGTGGCGTGATGCACTAGGGTAAATTACAGCTATTTGACAACATCACGAGCGTCTTCTACTTTTTTTTTACGATGTACGAATTAAATTTACATGTTGTATAATCTGCCTACATCTTTATTGCTGTGAAAGAACATGAATGTATGTGAAACGGATAGGAAAAAACATGGGATTTTGTCATAAGCAAAAAAGTCTGAAGGGGAGCAAAAGTAAACCTTGAATTTTGAGGTTTAAATATTTCCTTCTGGTGGCCAAGTATACCTATTTTAAGGAATGCCATTGTTTTGTGGATAAAAAGTTTAAGATCTTTGATAGGCTGAAACAGGAAATAATCACTATCAACTGGTGAGTTTAGCATAGAGCTAAATGTTCCAGGTTATGTAATGGGAACAGCTAACATGTAGCCTTTGATCACGTGCAACTACGTAAATTATTTTAAACTGGCAAATGCTTAAACTTGAAATAAAACGTCAACTTTTTCTAATGTTCGCAAGTATGGCCCTAGGCTGTCTAACACAAACATTGACATTAGTGTCTAAAAATCCTTACTAGCATTTTGCAGCATGTGGTTATTTCCTAATACAGTGGGGGGGAAAAGTATTTAGTCAGCCACCAATTGTGCAAGTTCTCCCACTTAAAAAGATGAGAGAGGCCTGTAATTTTCATCATAGGTACACGTCAACTATGACAGACAAAATGAGGGAAAAAAATCCAGAAAATCACATTGTAGGATTTGTAATGAATTTATTTGCAAATTATGGTGGAAAATAAGTATTTGGTCAATAACAAAAGTTTCTCAATACTTTGTTATATACCCTTTGTTGGCAATGACACAGGTCAAATGTTTTCTGTAAGTCTTCACAAGGTTTTCACACACTGTTGCTGGTATTTTGGCCCATTCCTCCATGCAGATCTCCTCTAGAGCAGTGATGTTTTGGGGCTGTCGCTGGGCAACACAGACTTTCAACTCCCTCCAAAGATTTTCTATGGGGTTGAGATCTGGAGACTGGCTAGGCCACTCCAGGACCTTGAAATGCTTCTTACGAAGCCACTCCTTCGTTGCCCGGGCGGTGTGTTTGGGATCATTGTCATGCTGAAAGACCCAGCCACGTTTCATCTTCAATGCCCTTGCTGATGGAAGGAGGTTTTCACTCAAAATCTCACGATACATGGCCCCATTCATTCTTTCCTTTACACGGATCAGTCGTCCTGGTCCCTTTGCAGAAAAACCCCAAAGCCCCAAAGCATGATGTTTCCACCCCCATGCTTCACAGTAGGTATGGTGTTCTTTGGATGCAACTCAGCATTCTTTGTCCTCCAAACACGACGAGTTGAGTTTTTACCAAAAAGTTATATTTTGGTTTCATCTGACCATATGACATTCTCCCAATCCTCTTCTGGATCATCCAAATGCATTCTAGCAAACTTCAGACGGGCCTGGACATGTACTGGCTTAAGCAGGGGGACACGTCTGGCACTGCAGGATTTGAGTCCCTGGCGGCGTAGTGTGTTACTGATGGTAGGCTTTGTTACTTTGGTCCCAGCTCTCTGCAGGTCATTCACTAGGTCCCCCCGTGTGGTTCTGGGATTTTTGCTCACCGTTCTTGTGATCATTTTGACCCCACGGGGTGAGATCTTGCGTGGAGCCCCAGATCAAGGGAGATTATCAGTGGTCTTGTATGTCTTCCATTTCCTAATAATTGCTCCCACAGTTGATTTCTTCAAACCAAGCTGCTTACCTATTGCAGATTCAGTCTTCCCAGCCTGGTGCACGTCTACAATTTTGTTTCTGCTGTCCTTTGACAGCTCTTTGGTCTTGGCCATAGTGGAGTTTGGAGTGCGACTGTTTGAGGTTGTGGACAGGTGTCTTTTATACTGATAACAAGTTCAAACAGGTGCCATTAATACAGGTAACGAGTGGAGGACAGAGGAGCCTCTTAAAGAAGAAGTTACAGGTCTGTGAGTGCCAGAAATCTTGCTTGTTTGTAGGTGACCAAATACTTATTTTCCACCATAATTTGCAAATACATTCATTAAAAATCCTACAATGTGATTTTCTGGATTTTTTTCTCTCAATTTGTCTGTCATTACAGGCCTCTCTCATCTTTTTAAGTGGGAGAACTTGCACAATTGGTGGCTGACTAAATACTTTTTTCCCTCACTGTACTTCAAGCATTTGATGGATGAGCCAAGTCTAAATACTGTTCACCCCAAGTGTTAGCACAAGTATGATCAAATATACCCTTGACTTTAAGTCAAGTACACAAAACACAGCTGTTGATTTAATGTCCTTGAATAGCTGTGAAACTAACTCATACAAATAAATCTAAAATCTACATCAAAAGGCAAAAACAAGAAAACAGGCTATGAGTAAATAATAATAATAATAATAATAATAATAATAATAATAATAATAATATGCCATTTAGCAGACGCTTTTATCCAAAGCGACTTACAGTCATGTGTGCATACATTTTTACGTATGGGTGGTCCCGGGGATCGAACCCACTACCCTGGCATTACAAGCGCCATGCTCTACCAATTGATCGATTCATGTAAAAGTCAACCTGAGCATGCACAAATTTCCAAATGAAACCACGTTATCCATAACTTTCCTAAAAAGGTCTATATGTTGTTCAGACTTAATTTGAAAGGTTTAAGTAGGAAATTGCATGAATTTTGGCCAAGAGTCAAGGGCTTTTCAGTCACAGCGAGGGAAAAAAGTATTTGATCCCCTGCTGATTTTGTACATTTGCCCACTGACAAAGACATGATCAGTCTATAATTTTAATGGTAGGTTTATTTGAACAGTGAGAGACAGAATAACAACAACAACAAAAAAATCAGTGAAGTTGTCCTGTCCCCTTGTTTTCCACCTCCATGTTTGACGGTGGGGATGGTGTTCTTGGGGTCATAGGCAGCATTCCTCCTCTTCCAAACACGGCGAGTTGAGTTGATGCCAAAGAGCTCGATTTTGGTCTCATCTGACCACAACCCTTTCACCCAGTTCTCCTCTGAATCATTCAGATGTTAATTGGCAAACTTCAGACGGCCCTGTATGTGCTTTCTTGTGCAGGGGGACCTTGCGGGCGCTGCAGGATTTCTGTCCTTCACGGCGTAGTGTGTTACCAATTGTTTTCTTGGTGACTATGGTCCCAGCTGCCTTGAGATCATTGACAAGATCCTCCCGTGTAGTTCTGGGCTGATTCCTCACCGTTCTCATGATCATTGCAACTCCACGAGGTGAGATCTTGCATGGAGCCCCAGGCCGAGGGAGATTGACAGTTATTTTGTGTTTCTTCCATTTGCGAATAATCGCACCAACTGTTGTCACCTTCTCACCAAGCTGCTTGGCGATGGTCTTGTAGCCCATTCCAGCCTTGTGTAGGTCTACAATCTTGTCCCTGACATCCTTGGAGTGCTCTTTGGTCTTGGCCATGGTGGAGAGTTTGGAATTTGATTGATTGATTGCTTCTGTGGACAGGTGTCTTATATACAGGTAACAAACTGAGATTAGGAGCACTCCCTTTAAGAGTGTGCTCCTAATCTCAGCTCATTACCTGTATAAAAGACACCTGGGAGCCAGAAATCTTTCTGATTGAGAGGGGGTCAAATACTTATTTCCGTCATTAAAATGCAAATCAATTTATAACATTTTTGACATGCGTTTTTCTGGATTTTGTTGTTGTTATTCTGTGTCTCACTGTTCAAATAAACCTACCATTAAAATTATAGACTGATAATTTCTTTGTCAGTGGGCAAACGTACAAAATCAGCAGGGGATCAAATACTTTTTTCCCCTCACTGTAATCTTATTTAATGAATTTTAGAATAGTCACAGAGTGTTTGTTTTTCCACTCATAGCTGTCCCCCAGTATTAGTGATGAAGAGGAGATGTAAAAAAAACATCATTTTCCTGTGTTTTATAAATATTTCCACACTGAGGTTGGAATAATACAGTGAAATTGTGAAAATAATGATAACGCCCATTTAGTGTAAGAGGTGTTTGAAAAGACCGCCTGAAATTTCAACCTGATTTGGTGGGATGGAGTTTTGGCAAGCCTGGTGGCATCACCAGGCGATAAATTAGTTAATAGACCAATAAGAAAGAGCGTTCCAAACCTCTCTGCCAATAACAGCTAGTTTTCCCCTCCCCACTCAGAACACTCCCAGACAGTCCTAGCTAAATTCTTGCTTCCGAAATTGCTCTTTGCTAGAAGCTATTTCTGTTTCTTTTTGACCATTTTAATTGAAAACAAATCACAGTAAGGTACTTAATTGTTACCCAGAAATGATTTGATATTGACATAAAAAATGGCTGTATTGGACCTTTAATGAAGCAATACAGACCAAATTGAAATGTCTTGAGTTTTGTTTGCTTGTTCTAGTCTTGTAAAGATAGGGGTTGACTGGGACAGGCAATGTTAACATCCATCAAGTTTTTTTTAGGAAAATATTTTGTATAACAAGCACCTTACATCGGATCATCTTGAAACTTTCATCAAGGTTTTATATGGTCTATTGGTTTCTCTTCATTGGCAGTATCCTTTTTCAGCATTATGTGATGATATTGATGTATCATATCTTCGCTTCAGAAGCTTGTGCATTCACCATATTTTGTGTGCTTGTTCTGGGACACTCTTCAGGCCTTTTAATGAAGCAATTGATATCTTGAAAATTATGTGTTCTAGCTAAGATTCTCTTGGAAAATAGATGCTGAAATGCCTTTCTCATACATGGCAGTATTGTTTCTTAGATAGCAAGATAAGTGTTTTTCAACAATCTGTGAATAGTCCTGGAGTGTCTTTTTCAAATGAAAGCACCCCAAAATATGCTGACTTCATCAGTGTCCTGAAAAATGGATTGGCAGTGTATGCACATCTATAATGTCTCATTTGCATATTATGTTACAATATTTCAGAAAAATTTGAATATAATTGTTGTTATATATGTGCATCTAAATTCAACTGGTACGGGTTAATTTTGATACATATAAAGAGAAAAAACCTATGACGTCTGGCCTTGTATACTATTCAGGCTACCTGTAATTACAGCGCATTCAGAAAGCATTAACACCTTGACTTTTTCCATATTTTCTTACGTTACAGCCTTATTCTAAAATTGATTACATCGTTTTTTTCCTTCTCAACGGTCTACACACAATACCCCATAATGACAAAGCAAAAACAGGTTTAGACATTTTTGCACATTTATTAAAAATAAAAAACATAAATACCTTATTTACATAAGTATTCAGACCTTTTGCTATGAGACTAGAAATTGAGCTCAGGTGCATCCTGTTTCCATTGATCATCCTTGAGATGTTTCTATAACTTGATTGGAGTCCACCTGTGGTAAATTCAATTGATTGGACATGATTTGGAAAGGCACACACCTGTCTATATAAGTCCCATAGTGGACAGTGCGTGTCAGAGCAAAAACCAAGCCATGAGGTCGAAGGGATCGTCCTAGAGCGCGGAGACAGGATTGTGTCGAGGCACAGATCTGGGGGAGGGTACCAAAACATTTCTGCAGGTTTGAAGGTCCCCAAGAACACAGTGGCCTCCATCATTCTTAACTGGAAGAAGTTTGGAACCACCAAGACTCTTCCTAGAGCTGGCTGCACAGCCAAACTGAGCAATCTGGGGAGAAGGGACTTGGTCAGGGAGGTGACCAAGAACCCGATGGTCACTCTGACAGAGCTCCAGAGTTCCTCTGTGGAGATGGGAGAACCTTCCAGAAGGACAACCATCTCTGCAGCACTCCACCAATCAGGCCTTTATGGTAGAGTGGCCAGACGTAAGTCACTCCTCAGTAAAAGGCACATGACAGCCTGCTTAGAGTTTGCCAAAAGGCACCTAAAGGACTCTGACCATCAGAAACAAAATTCTCTAGAGTGATGAAACCAAGATTGAACTCTTTGGTCTGAATGCCAAGTGCCACGTCTAGAGGAAACCTGGCACCATCCCTACGGTGAAGCATGGTGGTGGCAGCATCATGCTGTGGGGATGTTTTTCAGCAGCAGGGACTGGGAGACTAGTCAGGATCGAGGAAAAGATGAACAGAGCAATGTACAGAGAGATCGTTGATGAAACCCTGCTCCAGAGCACTCAGGACCTCAGATTGGGGAGAAGGTTCACCTTACAACAGGACAATGACTCTAAGCACACAGCCAAGACAACGCAGGAGTGGCTTTGGGACAAGTCTCTGAATGTCCTTGAGTGGCCCAGCCAGAGCCCAGACTTGAAGCCGATCGAACATCTCTGGAGAGACCTGAAGATAGCTGTGCAATGACGCTCCCCATCCAACCTGACAGAGCTTGAGAGGAACTGCAGAGAAGAATGGGAGAAACTCCCCAAATACAGGTGTTCCAAGCTTGTAGCGTCATACCCAAGAAAACTCAAGGCTGTAATTGCTGCCAAATGTGCTTCAACAAAGTACTGAGTAAAGGGTCTGACTACTTATGTAAATGTTATGTAACCTTTTTTTTTTTATATAAATGTGCAAAAGTTTTTGCTTTGTGTCACGGATTCTGCCGAGGCTGCTCCTCCTCCTTGTTCGGGCAGGCTTCGGCGTTCGTCGTCCCCGGAGTACTAGCTGCCACCGTTGAATGTTTCGATGTTTGATTGCTTTTGTCTGTCTGTTGCACATGTGTCCGTTTGTGTCTAATTGTGTGTCCTATAAGTTGCCTGTTTGGTGTTGGTTAGGTTGTGTGTTGTTATCCGCCTGTCCGTTAGTGCTGCGTGTTTTTTCTCTGTTTATTGTTTTATTGGTTTACGCACAGTTTGCGTAATCGCTTGCCTCTGTTTATTGTTGAGGCCGTTCATTGTATTGTGCTTTGGTTTGCACTAGTAAACTTTGTTGGACTAAGCTTCGGTGTCCTGCGCCTGACTCCCACACCACATTAACCTCAGCCATTTGACAGAACAACACACCGCTTATAAGGTCAGCAGGAGCAGCGGCGGGCCCCAAGTCGCTGGAGGATCGGATCAGCAACCAAGACACCATGATCCGGCAACTTGGGGCCGCCATGAACGAGGTGTCCAACACGCTGCGCCGATTGGTTACGGGAGAGGTGCCCACGCCTTCGCACACCTTACCATCACCATCGGCCAGTCCTCCTCTCCCAGCACCGGAACCCAGTGGCATTCGGCTCTCGCTCCCGAGGGCATATGATGGTTCTGCAGCCGGGTGTCAGGGGTTCCTCCTGCAGGTGGAACTCTACCTGGCCACCATACAGCCGGCGCCCTCGGGATACGAGAGCGTCTCCGCCCTCATCTCCTGTCTATCCGGCAAGGCGTTGGAGTGGGCCAACGCCGAATGGAGGGGAATAGACGCCGCCACCATCACCTACGCGGAGTTCTCCCGCCGCTTCAGGGCTGTGTTCGATCATCCACCTGAGGGGAAGGCGGCGGGGGAGCATCTGTTCCACCTCCGACAGGGGAAGAGGAGTGCACAGGAGTTCGCCCTGGAGTTCCGGACTCTAGCGGCGGATGCGGGGTGGAATGAGAGGGCCCTCATCGACCATTACCGGTGTAGCCTACGAGAGGACGTTCGTCGTGAGCTGGCCTGCAGGGACACCAACCTATCCTTCGACCAGTTGGTGGACATTTCCATCCGTCTCGACACCCTGCTGGCTACCCGCGGACGTCCCGAGTGGGGGTCGTCCATTCCACCCTCCAGCACCTCCGAGCCGGTTCCCATGGAGCTCGGGGGTGCTGGCGCTAGGGAGAGGAGGAGAGAGAACCCGAGGGGGGCCATCCCCTGCACCAACTGTGGCCGTGGAGGACACACTGCGGCTAGGTGCTGGGGAGGGTCTCCTGGGAGAGGGGACAACAGGTCACGCACTGGGGAGTCATTTCAGGTGAGTAGGCGTCCCACTTACCCAGAGCTCTCTGTTGGTCACTTGTGTATACCTGTGAGATTTCCACAGGTGGCACCTCATTCCCAGCATAAGGCGCTAGTAGATTCAGGCGCAGCTGGGAACTTTGTTGATCGTAAATGTTGTTATAGGTTAGGAATTCCCCTTCGGCCGGTAGAAGCCCCCTTTCCTGTTCATGCCCTAGACAGCCGGCCGCTGGGGTCGGGGTTGATCAGAGAAGTCACAGCACCACTTAAGATGACGACGCAGGGAGATCATTCAGTTTTATCTGATCGACTCTCCTGCGTATCCCGTGGTGCTGGGGCTTCCCTGGTTAAGCGCCCATGATCCTACCATTGCTTGGCAACAGAGAGCTCTTATGGAGTGGTCTGCCCAGTGTGTAGGGAGATGTCTAGGTGTTTCCTTAGGGGCGACCTCGGTGGAGAGTCCGAACCAAGTGCCCGCAATGCGCATTCCCCCTGAATATGAGGATTTAGCACTTGTGTTCAGCAAAACGAGGGCAACACGGCTACCACCTCATAGACAGGGGGATTGTGCGATAGATCTCCAAACAGGAGCGGCACTTCCGCGGAGCCGTGTGTATCCCCTGTCTCAAGAGGAGACAGCGGCTATGGAGACTTACATAGCCGAGTCCTTGGCACAGGGATACATACGGTCCTCCACTTCCCCGGTTTCCTCGAGTTTCTTCTTTGTGAAGAAGAAGGACGGGGGTTTGCGCCCGTGTATTGATTACCGTAGTCTCAATCAGATCACGGTTAAGTACAGTTACCCTCTTCCTCTGATTGCGACTATGACGGAGTCATTACGCGGAGCGCGGTTCTTCACAAAGTTAGATCTCAGGAGCGCGTACAATCTGGTGCGCATTAGGGAGGGGGATGAATGGAAAACAGCATTTAGCACCACCTCGGGTCATTACGAGTATCTCGTCATGCCATACGGGTTAATGAATGCTCCTTCAGTCTTCCAATCCTTTGTTGACGAGATTTTCCGGGACATGCATGGGCAGGGTGTGGTAGTATACATCGACGACATCCTAGTGTACTCATCTACACGAGCCGAGCATGTAGCCCTGGTGCGCCGAGTGTTGAGGAGGCTGTTGGAGCATGACTTGTATGTCAAGGCAGAGAAATGCTTGTTTTTCCAGGAGTCCGTCTCCTTTTTGGGTTATCGATTGTCCACGTCTGGTGTGAAGATAGAGGTTGACCGTGTGTCGGCCGTGCGTAATTGGCAAACTCCAACCACTGTAAAAGAGGTGCAGCAGTTTTTGGGTTTTGCTAATTACTACCGGAGGTTTATCCGGGGCTTTGGACAGGTGGCAGCTCCCATTACGTCCCTGCTAAAGGGGGGTCCGGTGCGTTTGCAGTGGTCAGCTGAGGCGGACAGGGCATTTGTTAAACTAAAGAACCTGTTTACTTCGGCTCCGGTGCTGGCGCATCCGGATCCCGCTTTACCATTCCAAGTTGAGGTAGACGCGTCCGAGGCCGGTATTGGGGCAGTCCTGTCGCAACGATCCGGCACGCCACCTAAACTCCGCCCCTGTGCGTTCTATTCTAAGAAGCTCAGCTCGGCGGAGCGTAATTATGACGTAGGGGACAGGGAGCTGTTAGCTGTAGTCCAGGCCCTAAAGGTGTGGAGACATTGGCTTGAGGGGGCTCAACACCCTTTCCTCATTCTGACTGACCACCGTAACCTGGAGTACATCCGGGCAGCTAGGAGACTAAACCCTCGTCAGGCTAGGTGGAACATGTTCCTAACCCGGTTTGTTTTTAAGATCACATACATCCCAGGGTCCCAGAACGGTAAGGCAGATGCCCTGTCCCGGTGGTATGACACAGAGGAGAGGTCCATTGAGCCTACTCCCATACTGCCGGAGTCTTGTCTGGTGGCTCCGGTGGTGTGGGAGGTAGATGCGGAGATCGAGCGGGCACTGCGTACTGACCCTACTCCCCCAGAGTGTCCGGTGGGGCGGACGTATGTTCCGCTCGAGGTTCGTGACCGCCTTATTTATTGGGCTCATACATCACCCTCCTCTGGACATCCAGGTATTGGCCGGACAGTTCACTGCCTTAGCGTGAAATACTGGTGGCCAACGTTAGCTAGGGATGTGAGGGTGTATGTCTCCTCCTGCTCGGTGTGCGCCCAGTGTAAGGCGCCTAGACATTTGCCCAGGGGAAAGTTACATCCCCTGCCCGTTCCACAACGACCATGGTCCCACCTCTCGGTGGATTTTGTGACAGACCTTCCCCCCTCCCAGGGGAATACCACTATTTTGGTCGTTGTGGATCGGTTTTCCAAGGCCTGTCGTCTCCTCCCAATGCCGGGTCTCCCTACTGCCCTACAGACCGCTGAGGCCCTATTTACCCACGTTTTCCGGCACTATGGGGTGCCCGAGGATATAGTGTCTGACCGAGGTCCCCAGTTCACCTCCAGAGTCTGGGGGGCGTTCATGGAACGCTTGGGGGTCTCGGTGAGCCTTACCTCGGGTTACCACCCAGAGAGCAATGGGCAGGTAGAACGAGTCAACCCGGATGTGGGTAGGTTTCTGAGGTCCTATTGCCAGGGCCGGCCGGAGGAGTGGTCAAGGTATATCCCATGGGCAGAGATGGCACAGAACTCTCTCCGCCACTCCTCCACCAATCTAACACCTTTCCAGTGTGTTTTAGGGTATCAGCCGGTTCTGGCACCATGGCACGAGAGCCAGATCGAGGCTCCTGCGGTGGATAAGTGGATTCGGCGCTCGGAGGAGACGTGGGACGCGGCACATGTCCATCTGCAGTGGGCCATCCGTCGACAGAAGGCGAGCGCCGATCGCCACCGCAGTGAGGGACCGGTATACGCACCGGGAGATCGAGTCTGGCTCTCGACTCGAAACCTGCCCCTCCGCCTGCCCTGCCGGAAGCTGGGTCGGCGGTTTGTGGGGCCCTTTAAAGTCCTGAGAAGATTGAACGAGGTGTGTTACAGGTTACAACTGCCTATTGATTATAAGAATATTAACCCCTCGTTCCATGTGTCTCTTCTCAGGCCGGTGGTAGCTGGTCCACTCCAGGAAGATGAGATAGGAGAGACCCCTCCGCCCCCATTGGACATCGAGGGGGCTCCGGCGTACAGGGTCCGGACCATCTTGGACTCGAGATGCCGGATGAGTGGTCTCCAGTATCTCGTGGAGTGGGAGGGGTACGGTCCGGAGGAACGGTGCTGGGTGCCTAGGAGGGACATCCTAGATCCATCCCTCCTGACTGAGTTCCACCGTGGTCATCCCACGCGCCCGGGTCCGCGTCCTCCTGGCCGTCCCCGAGGCCGGGGTCGGCGCACGGCTGGAGCCGCGCATCAAGGGGGGGGGGGGTACTGTCACGGATTCTGCCGAGGCTGCTCCTCCTCCTTGTTCGGGCAGGCTTCGGCGTTCGTCGTCCCCGGAGTACTAGCTGCCACCGTTGAATGTTTCGATGTTTGATTGCTTTTGTCTGTCTGTTGCACCTGTGTCCGTTTGTGTCTAATTGTGTGTCCTATAAGTTGCCTGTTTGGTGTTGGTTAGGTTGTGTGTTGTTATCCGCCTGTCCGTTAGTGCTGCGTATTTTTTCTCTGTTTATTGTTTTATTGGTTTACGCACAGTTTGCGTAATCGCTTGCCTCTGTTTATTGTTGAGGCCGTTCATTGTATTGTGCTTTGGTTTGCACTAGTAAAATTTGTTGGACTAAGCTTCGGTGTCCTGCGCCTGACTCCCACACCACATTAACCTCAGCCATTTGACACTTTGTCATTATGGGTTATTGAGTGTAAATTGATGAGGGGAAAAAAACAAATTTAAATCAATTTTAGAATAAGGCTGTAACGTTACAAAATGTGGAAAAAGTCAAGGGGTCATGAGTTACTATGCATTCTGCTGACATTTTAAAAACATACCAAATGGCAACAAATGTGCTATGATAGATTTTGATCATGAAATCTTTACGATTTGAATGTCTATTTCAGACTCTAACATCCATAGCGGAGGGTGTAACATCCATTATGGTTGATTTTCCTCTCTATAGTAATAATGTAAATGGCAATCTTTTCAAAAATATCCATATTTGTCCATTCTGTGAGACATTAAAGTTGTGATTTTGCGCGAAAAATGCATTGTCCAAAACACTGGAATCGCCCCAGTAACATAAATGAATAAAATTACAAATGTATGCCCCAACCCATTAATCCTAGCCATCATTGTTAAACAAATCATATCTGGGTGGCAATGAAATCATGATTCATGAAACAAACAAAATCACAAAGACTCAAAAAGCATGAGGAGTGGCGTGTGTGTGCCAAATTGGTCATCTTATTGAAATGTTGGTTTATGATAACATGAAACATACAGGGCTGTGTGATCAATCCTGATTGTCAGGTTCAACAGAACCAGTATGTGGTGAGTGTTGAATGGGACCAACGGCCAGCAGGCCATGTAGGCTACTCCTCCCCTGACAATGAGTCCCATGAGCTTTAGAAAGAGAAAGTGAAAGTGTTTTCTATTCCCCAACAGCAGAAGGAGTCAGGTTTCTCTTTCCCAGTCACAGCACTGGGTGTGAGTCTACTACTACCAGGGCACAGGCTAGTTACAAACAGTGAGTACCAAACATGAGGAAAATAACTGTTTACTCATCAAGAGAAGAATTACTTCCTAAAGTATTTTTCCTTGACTATCAAAGACTAGTTGAACCGATAGGTAGCCTATTAGGCCCTAGAATTGTACCGCAACTGTACTGCCACTTACTTTGACTGTCAAATTGCTCTGGGATCAGGTTTTAAAGCATTTGCTTGATGTTTCTCTGATACATGTCCACACTTCGGAGTGTTGGGTGCAATGTTTTCTTGTGCCATGTAGAGAATTAACTAGCAACTTTAGGAGCTTTGCATTTATTTCTAAATTATTAATACATGGCTTTCAAACACAAAGCCAATCAAACATATGAAGTGTATATCTTTGAGAGATCCAATGGCAGGGGAAAAACAAACCACTCAAACATTCTGTATCACTGTATGTTGTTGATAACTTCACAGCATACCAAGTTTGGAATTGACCCATACAATTACAGTCACTGTTTGCTGTGAAACCAGAATAAACCATTTCCTCTAATAGCAGAAGAATGAAACAAAAGAGAAAGCGCAGGCCTGTTTACTTCCTGTGCCCCCTCTATAACTGCCAAATAGATCAAGCTGCAAGCAGACATCTCCACAGCAATAATACTACTGTGGCCAATAACATGTCATGTATGGAATGGACTATCTATTCCCCATTTCCATCCCTAACTTTCTAAACTGTGCTTCTACCCAAAGTTAGGATGATACTGTTAGTTCTTACCTCCAATTTGTCTGTGGGTGTGTGGTTTCCGAGGCGACCATCCTTCAGGTCACTGGCGTTCTTCCCATGGAGATGGTCTGGGGAGATGACCCTCTCGAGGAGCAAGCCTGTTCCAGGGATAGGCTCCTCATCATCTGAGTCAGGCAGGGGCGTGGGGCTGACATCCTCCAGGCCCGTGCTAGAGGGCCGAGAGGTGTGGGTGCCCCCATAAGGAGGGATGGGGGACAGCTGAGAGGAAGAGGAGGAGATGGGGCTGCCCTCCATACGCACCTCAGTGTCTGATGAGTCGCCTCCAGGAAGGAAGGGAAGCTTTGTCCTTTTCTCCTTGAGCAGCATCTCGATACGGGAGTCCAGGCTATTTCGCTCTGACTCCAGGGTGGGGGTGCCAGGGGATGGGGGGCAGTGTTCGGGTGTCCGGGCAAGGGGGGGTGCTGGGGTGGGCCTTGGGTTCAGGTGGGGGTTCTGGAATGGGTGGAGTACCTGGCTTGTCCTTGACTGGCATGAAGTCAGTGGCAGGGGCCATGGGGGGCTGGACGGGCTGGTGGAACGGAGGTTCTGAGGGGGGGAACGCAGGGGGCATGGGGGCCTGCTGGTAGGGGGAGAAGGCCGACTTAAAGCTGGCACTGGTAGGGGGAGGAGGTGTGTGGGCAAAGGATGAGGCAGAGAGAGGGGGTTCAGGTGGGGCAGGTTGGTGCTGCTTAAAGGCAGACTGTTCGAAATTGCCTCGGTAAGAGGAGGAGGATGAGGAGGATCCCGATCCCCCAGTGCCATGGACGTAGCGCCTCTCCGGTCTCCGGTTGTAGGCATCCTGGAATTTGCTCTCGTGTCTGCGAGACTTGTAGCTTCCGGAGCCTTCAGCCCGGCTAGACTGGTAGGCTGGGGTGCCCTGCCTGCTGGAATAGCTGGAGTCCTGAGAGAAGGGGGTGCTGGTCTGGCGAGGGGTATGAGGGGTGCCCTGGGACTGCGGCGTGTCTTGCCTTAGGCTAGAGTAAGCCGTGTCCTGGGACAGAGGGGTGGTGTTGGTGCCGGCGCTGCTGGGGGTCACTGTGCCTCCCACTGCAGCAGACGAGCTGCTCTCAGAGAGCCGGCGCAAGGGTTCATAGGCCTGGGGAGGGACACACCAAAATCTGCTTAGGAAACACACTCACAGAAGGCACTGCATACACTTCATACATTCAACTGCTGAAACCTACAGTCAGGTCAAATTAATTAAATTATTGCCACCCTTGATAAAGCAAATACTGAGCTTTATTGTGCAGTATGCTAAAAACAAAATTGGGTAATTATATTATTTTATACTAATACAATTGCTCAGAGAAATATATTTTGTTTAACAAGCAATACATATTTTTCTCAAAAAGGTCAAAATTATTGGCACCCCTGTTTTGAATATCTCACCTTGCGAGGATAATGGCACACCCAGCCTTTTTCTAAAAAGTTTTATGAGATTGGAGAACACACATTGCGAGGGATCTTAAACCATTCCTCCATACAGAATCTTTCTAGATCCTTGATATCCTTAGTCTGCGCTTATGGACTGCCCTCTGACTTGCGGATAAAAATCAGTGTGATGACGTAGTGCACACAAAATGTAATTTTTCGCTTACGTTTTCATGTACCGAAGAAATATATAAAGTTCAATGTGTTTCCATCGCATTTTCAACTCTACCGATAGTTTAACAAAAACTGTTGCATTAAATAGCTCATGTCTGGTCATGGCAAGTGCGCTCTAGCCAAGAACTTGCAGATACAGTGTGGGTAGGCTAGTCTACATGAGATCATTATGGATAAGAGCGAGAATTTTTGTATTTGTCAAATGGCAGTCAAGCATCGATCATCATGTCACTTGAATAAGACCCTCGATATTTATTGGAAAAAAGGAGCATCAAGCTCATCACCATGCACTTTCACCACCCTGTGAAGTTCATCATAACTTAATTTTATCTGTAGTCTAATAAACTGCATGGTTTCTCGAGTCGTAGTGGGAGGACAATATAATTATATTTGCGCATAAAGGCATTTCCACCGCCATTTCTCACATAACTCATTTTACAGACACAAAAAGATCCCAGGTCGAACGAACAATGAATCTGTCGGCATTTAGAAAATTGTACCGAAATCTCCTGTTTCCATCACAGTTGTTGTGATTTTTTAAAAATACGATATGAGTTTATTTGCATAAAAACTGTGGATGATAACATGGTTTGTGTGGCCATAGAGCTCAATTTTCATGTCATCTGACCATTGCACAGGTTCAAATCCAAGTGTCTATCCCGTTTAGCAATCTCCAGGCGTTTACATTTGTTGGATGACATGAAAATAGAGCTCTTTGGCCACGCATACCAGTGGTGGGTTTAGCGTCAAAAGAAGGATGCATATACAGAAAATAACCCCATATCTACTGTAAAATATGGGGTGGGTCTTTGATGGTATGGGGCTATTGTGCTTCCACTGGTCCTGGGGCCCGTGTTATGGCCAACAGCATCATGAACTTTACCCAGTACCAGGACATTTTAGCCAAAAAACCTGGTTGCCTCTACCAAGAGGCTGAAACTTGGCCGCAAGTGGATCTTCCAGCAAGACAATAACCAAGCACACATTAAAATCCACAAAGAAATGGTTAATTGACCACAAAATCAACATTTTGCAATGGCTATCTCAGTCTTCGGACTTGAACCCCATTGAAAACCTGTGGTTTGAATTGAAGAGGGCAGTCCATAAGCCAGAGGCGTAAATTGGTTATGGCAGTCGACATACCCTAGCTCAACACCAACAATTTAAAATAGGCTACTAAAATCATTCCAATCCCGATTAAAAGGCAAATGCAGTTTAGCCGTATTAGCGGGCCGACTTTAGGACCATGCCTGGGAGTGGGGGGGCTGTTTGTATGGCCGGCTGGCTTTATGAGAGCGCATTGACACAGGTGCAGGGAACAGCGCAACTTTTTCTCAAAACAGTGAAGAGGTAAAGATGGCTGTAGACTAGAGTTTGAATCCTGTGCTGAGCTAGTGCATAGCTGCTAATTCTTGTATGGCATGTGTTTGTAGAATGTTAAAGGCATACTTCGAGATTTTGGCAACGCCCTTATCTACTTTCCCAGAGTCAGATGAACTCCTGGATAACATTTTTATGTCTCTGTGCGCAGTTTGAAGGAAGTTGCTAACTAGTGCTAGCGCAATTGCTAACCAGCGTTAGCACAATGAGTGGAAGTCTATGGTATCTGCATGCTAGCAGATACAATAGACTTCCACTCATTGCGCTTACGCTAGTTAGCAATTGTGCTAGTTAGCAACTTCCTTCAAACTGCACGCAGAGACATAAAAATGGTATCCATGAGTTCATCGGACTCTGGGGAAGTGCTAAAATCCCAAAGCATCCCTTTAAGTCCCCTATTGACTGAGTAGAATGAAGCTACAGCAACAAGGTGATAATGTCTCATCAATTTTGCTGGTTTTTGCTGTTGTCCAAATTGCATTTTAGAGTTTTTAAATTGTGTAGAAGTACAGTAAGAATTCCATTGGGGGGATCCCCCCCGTCACTTTGCCATACCCTAGGTTTAGCTGAAATAACATCCCTGCCATAAGTGCAGACGAAGGTTATCAAGGATCTGGAAAGATTCTGTATAGAGGAATGGTCTAAGATCCCACCAGGTGTGTTCTCCAAACTCATAAAACAATTTTTTTAAAGGCTCAGTGCCATTATCCTCACATGGTGAGGTATTGAAAACAAAGATGCCATTCATTTTGACCCCCATTAAAAAGAAATATTCCTTGTTAAAAAAATGTTTTGCATACAATATAGCTCAGTATATGTATTACTTATTTTATACAATATTTTTTTGCTAATCAAGGGTGGCAATAATTTTGGACCTGACTGTATATAACATCAGATTATCAGCATGGCTGCATTGCCCATTTAATGTCACAATCAAGTTCAGGTTTTAAAGGGAAAATAATGCAACTTCATGCATCTTGAGCACACAGCCAGAGTCATGATTTCACTTAACAGGCCAATAGTTATATCTAAAGATGTATGGTCAGATTTGAGTTTTTGCAACACTTCCCAATATGTATGAATTAAAACAGCTAAAGACAGCCTAGCAGTGCTTGCAGGAGCAGCTGTGCGGTAGGGCTATGGCTCAAAGTACAGGCAGACCCTTTTCTCTGCAGGCAGGCAGAGGTTCTTGACAACATTCCTTCCTGGGCCCCATTTTACCACCTGCTGCACTGATAGAGATTAGAGATAATGGTGTCAGTTTAGATTGGCTAGGGGTTCACTGGGACTCACTAGAGTACAGGGCAGTAACAATTATCCCTTTCATACACAGATCAAAATCCCACTAATTTACCATGCCTGCTTCTTTTTAGATCTGAAAGGGGTAGGGGGTAAAAAAAAACATGGCAAATGAAAAGCCACCTAAAGACCTAGACATGATTCCTGCCTTTTCACAGACCCTGTAACCAAAATACAGGCATTGGGTCTGTGTAAATGGTTGTGCTTTTTTGTAGGTAAATGTATTAACACTTCCATCATTTAACACCTCCCTAATTTGAAATGCAAACAGCCACCATGGTTTTACAACACACCCCACCCCTCACAATTTTAGTTACAATTTGCAGGAACATGGTAAAGGGGCCGTTTGAAAGGGGGTCATCTAAACATTGCCTTATATTTGTATTTATTAGAGGTAATATACCACATCTTCTGTCTGAAATGGGTAAATGATTCAGGCATAGAGCAAAATGATTCACAGAACAAACCTTTGAAGCTGGAAAAACTACTGACAGTAATTACTTAACTATGTCTTAATCTGAAATACATTTCTGGTGACATACAATAAACTCATACTGGCTGTTCTGCCGTGGAACATTCGGGGATGATTTCTGGATTTTGAAAGTTGCATATCTTGAAAACTTGATTGCTGATAAGCAAAACATTTTGGGACTATGTCAACAATTGACAAATGAAACAAATACCCAAAAATAATTTTTGGGGTGGAGTTTTCCTTGAAAGTGGGGAGACACAGGATTATGCTCAGAACTTTACAATCTGTTCAAGGGACAAGGGCCTTGTCTCTCAGTGGGCACTGCAGTGAGATTAGTACTACAATGGTACATAAAATAGAATGTTCTGACAAATTAAAAACATGCTTACCTTTCCTGTGAGCCTGTTTTGGAACACTTGCAAATTTTCTCAAATACAACATAAGTGCTGCTAAACATCCAACACAAAAGTGGTGGTCTTACCAGAAGAGCCTCTGCCAGGCTACGAGGGGACACTTCTCCTCCCACCGGAAGTGTCCGAGGGGTGAAGGTGCCATTCAGAAGTAGCTGGAAGTATCTAAGGCGATTCTCACCTGGATGGATAAGGTTAAGATATGGTAAAATAAGGGTTTGGTGGCACCTTACTGAAATATAAAATTATATTTCTCAGTTACCCTTTAGTTGACGCCTTAGAGGTGAGTAAGAAGAACATCATTCACAGCAATAAATACACAATAATGTATATGCAATAATGTGTGATATATAGTGCCTTCAGAAAGTATTCACACCTCTTGACTTTTTCTACATTTTGTTGTGTTACAGCCTGAATTTTAAATGTATTAAATTGAGTTGTCACTGGCCTACCCAAATTCCCCATAATGTTAAAGTGAAATTATGTTTTTTGAAATTTTTTACAAATTAATTAAAAATGAAAAGCTGAAATGTCTTGAGTCAATAAGTATTCAACCCTTTTGTTATGGCAAGCCTAAAGTTCAGGAGTAAAAATATGCTTAACAATTCAAATAATAAGTTGCATGGACTCAGTGTGCAATAATAGTGTTTAACATGATTTTTCAATAACTACTTCAGCTCTGTACCCCACACATACAATTATCTGTAAGGTCCCTCAGACGAGCAGTGAATTTCAAACACAGATTCAATCACAAAGACCAGGGAGGTTTTCCAATGCCTCGCAAAGAAGGGCATCTATTGGTAGAAAATAATAATAGACATTGAATATCCCTTTGAGCATGGTGAATTTAATTATTACACTTTGGATGGTTTATTAATACACACAGCCAATTCAAAAAGGTACAGGCGTCCTTCCTAACTCAGTTGCCGGAGTGGAAGGAAACCTCAGGGATTTCACAATGAGGCCAATGGTGACTTTAAAACAGTTACAGAGTTTAATGGCTGTGATAGGAGAAAACTGAGGATGGATCAACAACATTGTAGTTACTTCACAATACTAACCTAATTGACAGAGTGAAAAGAAGGAAGCCTGTACAGAATACAAATATTCCAAAACATGCATCCTGTTTGCAACAGCACTAAAGTAATAGTAAAATGTGGCAAAGCAATACACTTTTTGTCCTGAATACAAAGTGTTATGTTTGTGGTAAATCCAATACAACACATTACTGAGTACCACACTCCATATTTTCAAGCATAGTGGTGGCTGCATCATGTTATGGGTACGCCTGTAATCTTTAAGGACTGGGGAGTTTTTCAGGATAAAAAAATTAACTGAATGGAGCTAAGCACAGGCAAAATCCTAGAGGGAAAATCTGGTTAATTTACATTTACATTTTAGTCATTTAGCAGACGCTCTTATCCAGAGCGATTTACAGGAGCAATTAGGGTTAAGTGCCTTGCTCAAGGGCACCGACAGATTTTTCACCGAGTCGGCTCGGGGATTAGAACGAGCGACCTTTCGGTTACTGGCACAATGCTCTTAACCACTAAGCTACCTGCCGTTCATTCTGCTTTCCACCACACACTGGGAGATTAATTCACCTTTCAGCAGGACAATAACATAAAAACACAAGGCAAAATCTATACTGGACTTGCTTACCAAGGACACAGTGAATGTTCCTGAGTGTCCGAGTAACAGTTTTGACTCAAATCTACTTGAAAATCCATGGCAGGATCTGAAAATGGTTGTCTAGCAATGATTAACAACCAATTTGACAGAGCTTGAAGAATTTTGAAAATAATAAAAAAATCAGCAAATGTTGCACAATCCAGGTGTGGAAAGCTCTTAAAGACTTACCCATAAAGACTCACAGCTGTAATTGCTGCCAAAGGTGCTTCTACTAAGTACTGACTCAGGGGTGTGAATGCGTATGTAAATGAGGTATTTGTAAACATATCTAAAACCATGTTTTTACTTTGTCATTATGGGGTATTGTGTGTAAATGGGTGAAAATTATTTTTTTTTTCATCCAATTTGAATTCAAGCTGTAACACAAAATGTGGAATAAATCAATGGGTATGAATACTTTCTGAAGACTGTTTTATTCATTTTTTTATTTTTTATAAAACGTGAAAAAAGGAAATGATGGTTTTGAGGAGTTTCTGCATGATTTATAACAAGGCACATTTTCTAGTGACATTTCATGGAAGTTATACATTTTAAATCAGCAGCTACACATGGAGGTCATTAGCCTAATTGAAAAATCCATTTCAGGGATATATGCCGACTATTGCTGGCAGGTGAAAATATAATAACAAATTGACAGTACTCAATAGGCCTAAGATTTTCTGCTTGATCTCCAGCCTCTCTACATAGGCTGTTGAATAGGCTACCAGTAGGCCTATAAATCAAAAGCATCACTGAGCACTTCCCCATGACTCTCTGCTGACATGAGAGGAACCACTGTCTCTTTAAGAGAATACAACTGTTGCAGGTTCTTGATAAGGGTCAATTCAAAATAAGATACATGATATTCCGTTTTGAAATATGCACAAGTCCTAAATGACTAAAATGTAAAATTATATTAAGGCCTACAGCCAAATATATTAAGATTGTAAAATGCAGCTAGCATGAACAGGTAAAATATTGTTTCATTATAAGCTGAAATGAAGCGACTATATTTTGGCTATAGTTTAACAAATTCAAGCATAATTGTTATTATAGGAGTTGATTATAGGCCATCCCTGTGCACAGAAAGAAGAAATAAACAACTACTAGTATAACTAATTCATTGATTACTGCAATAATCGGATATAAATCAAATAAACCAAACAAGTCAAAACCGATATAGGCCTAACAGCGTTTCATTTGAATTTTTATTCTAGTCGTCTCATGTAGATCGTACTGACATTCAGATGCAATTACTCTGGTAACCAAGCAACCAGCGTAAATGTATACACGTGACTAAACGTTCTCCTCCAAAAGTTCAATTAGTGACACCTTATAAATAAAGGATCAAGTTCACATATGCGTAAATGTAGTTTCTACAACTGAGAATTAATTGCACATTATTTATAAATACTCATATTTAGCCCATGCAAAGATTGCTTACCTTTAGGATCCAGCTCCACGTGGATGATGTTGCCCATGACAGACGTGTTGTGAAGAGTCTGGACAGCATCTTTGGCTGCTTTTACAGTTCCAAAAATAACTTTAGCTATTCCCAAATGCTTTTTGTTCTTCGGATTGTATAGAATTTCCACGTCTTCTATGTCTCCAAATTTCTTGCACATGTCAGTCAAAAAACCTTCTCTGATGTTATCATTCAGCCTTGCAAAGGTCACCTCCTTGGGCGGAACACGGCCGATGTAACAGTCATCAATCTAGAGAAAGAAAATAGTTACATTAAATGATGAATGTTACATTTATTTAGGCTACAGCATATTTATCCATTAGCCATTCAAACCTGAATTACAGGCTTCAATGTGACAAACAAAAATAAAGTGCATGTATACCTGATTAAATATCATCCTTTTAGGAGAGCTGTTGTTCACATTTTGAGAAACCAAATAACCATGATAGAATGGTGTTGATGTAGGCTACAACATGCAAAATGTGTATTCTATAAGGGACAGTAGCATTCGTTGCCTGCCTGGAGCACTACATCCTAAATAAAAAAATATGACACAATCAACATCGGCGAGGGGGTGTGTCTGGCTCCCTAAAACTTCGGAACATTAGAAAAAGGCTGTAACAGCCCCAAAATGTCTAAATAATTGCACATTCTGTCAAGATCTTAGAGGGGCTGTGACTGATTAGCCTACCTTAAACTTCGGAATCGGCAGATCGGTCTCCTTGTACTTCGTCCAGAGACGACCGATTCTCGGATCTCGGACGATATCCACGGGTGGCATCCCAGGGTTCTGTAGAATGAATGATAAAATGTAGCCTAACAAAGTCAAAGTTATGACAAGCAGGAATAATATAACAGGCCAATTGTCGATCAATCAAGTTGTTTGGAGTTTTTTTTACATAAACCCTTGATAGTGACACTTTTGATGCACTGTGTCAGGTGCAGAAAGTAACGTGTCCAGCCCACTAACAATGTACATTGTGTCAATCGTTGAGGCGAACACTCTGCAACAATGTACCGAAAGTGTTCCTCTTTTTGAATACGGATGTTACGCTTACCGGCATGTTAAAAGTATTTCCATCGTAGCGATACAGTTTGTGCGATCCCTTTTTCAACGCTGGGTCAATAATCAACTTGAAACTTCTCCAATGGTGACTTCGTTTCTCCCCCGAACTGCAAACGGGATGGTGGTTGTCCATGCCGTTCGCCAAACCTGTGTAGAAATATGAAGAAGATGAAAGCAACACAGACTCACGCACGAACACTCGTTACATTGTAGCGATAGCATACAGTAGTAGATGCTTGAGTTTGCAAATACTGAGGAAGAAAATGGGGTTCAGAAGAGTATCCCAGTAACCGAAACAGACATTACAGAGGAAAGGAAAAAAAGAGCAGGCTTACTTGAACTCTGCTTTCTGCCATGGTCTTCGTTTAACCTGTTTCTTTCCCCTGGCTTGGACATGATTTATCCGATCGAACAATATTTTAATAATCAAACGGCGAGATCGTTTACCTCCCACTGACTACACTACATGATTTAAAGGATACTGCCTCCTTTTTGCGAGCCAACACATATTGTGCCTCCAGTCTGGGGTTTCTGTCTCTCCCACAATACACCACTATTGAGCTTCGCTACTCCTCATACCATTCGCACTTTCGATTCAGGTTCTTTACGTATGCGTCTATTTTGGAATATTATTGGACATTTTTAAACACAAAATCACATTACTAAATCAAGATATGTATTGCATTTTAACTGTAAATATTAAAAGTCGTTGTATAGTGGCTCTTTAGCTCGCACATTGGGCATGTACTAAGTGTTGAATCTACCGCCTACATTTACTCAAACGGCAAACAAGATGGACATAGGAGGTCGATGCAAGTTCTGTCTAAGCACAGATCTAGGGTCAGTATTACGTTTTAATTCTTGATTGAAAAGGTTAACCATAGGAATGTTAAAACCTGACCCTAGAGCTGTGATAATGGGCAACTTCTCAGGAAAACTGTTGGGTCTGTTTACACTATATTAAATAAATAAAACATTACTCAAAAATATTTTGAGACTGCAGACTAGGCCTACATTATAACCTATACACTTATAGTCTGTAATACCCTTATAATATCCAAAGGCCAAATATGGGGAGATTTGAAAGTAACCATTTATTTTAGCCGACACGTTTTGCATTATTAATCTGTTCAATTGTCTTTTTGAGCTTTTGTGTTAAATCGGCTAAGGAGATGTGGCATCCATTGCTTGATATTTTGTAGTGCTTGGGCAATTGGCTGGTTAACAGTAGCAATTCCACTGGCCAATCAGAGCGAAGCACCATTTTAGCTTCTGCTATTAAGAGGCACGGCTGAGGAATCCTTCAACAGTGTGCAGAGAGGGGGCTGAGCGCGTTCTCAGCAGCCATTTTCCTGAAATGGGACTCAATGGCCAATATGGGTTTCCTTTGTTCCAAAAGGGATCTTATACTTTATTTCCTCATCTCTTTATGGACTATGATAAATTACAATGATTCCTCATTGACAGGATTGAGAAGAAGGAAGATAAAATACTGGATGTTATTCCTTTGACATTTTTAACCTTTTTTCTCCTCTGCTTGGAATCCATCTTTGTCCTAACTAGGTCATGGCACACCCATATAAAAGTATTTGTGATTCTAAAGTAAAAAAAAAAAAAAGTGAATAAACAGCTTGTAGTTTGAAAGTTGCTATGAAGAGAAAGTATAAGTATAATGACATTGTAATGGCATTTTGCACTGTAAATGGCCATGTATGATTATAGCATTTGTAAGTTACATTTAATTAACTTTTGTAAATAAAAAAATCTAGGAAATGTGCAGTTACTGTTATTAAAATATCACAATTCTGTTTATTCATTGACTTCTATCATACATTGATCATTTAGGAGTAATGGCGTCAGTAGAATTGTCACCTTCTCTCTTCAATACATTCATTTGCATGCTGTTTTAACTATATCCATCAGAGGCTAAGTATATTTGCTGCTCTAATGTCAGCACAAAACAGGCCAGAGAGCAAATGGCCTTTCTCAAAAATGCTGAATCTGGAAATTGGCTGTTTGTTCTCAACTAACCCCCTTTACTTTTTCTACATTAAAGAGTGGTTGCTAATCATCTTTCACATGGTAGGCTACACCATCTAGTTACACAACAGAGACCTTTAATTCCCTGAAAGTCAGTAAGTATTCTTCTTTCAAATGATGGCTCATGCACTAAATGTGTCAAATGATGAATGTTTTTTAATAGCTCATAGTAAGAAGGCTATAGGCCTACATTATTTTTGGCATTAGACAGAATGAATGTGAGGGTAAAATGTACCTGACCTTGCGTCAAGGGCATATTTTATTTCTGTAGAATTCCAGACACAATCCTACTTATTAGTATCCTCAAAGGCTAACCACATAGATACTGAATCCAACAGGAAGCAGATGAAAAATGAAACTAATGAAAATATTTACCTTAACATTGTGATGAAATACATTTATCAGGCCTAAATGCAGGGGGAAATGGAACGTGTTCATTCCCATCTTCTGATCCTCTAATAGTGGCTTAAGGGAGGGGTGGGGATGCAACTCCTAAAAAGGAAGAAAACAATTAGCCCAAAACTATTTCACTTGAAGCTTTTGACTTAGTCTACTGCTATTTGACCAACGAATAACAAATGCTGAAAATCTTCCATCAGCATCAGTGAGAGCAGTATGCAAACCAACTCCCCTCTCTCTTCCTGAAGACAGAATTGCAGTGAAATCCCTCACCCTCGAATTTGAAGATGTTAAAAGTGAAGCTACACGATATAACATACTGCCATGGAAACCTTGTCATTTTAAAGGTAATGGTTTTTGAGCTGTCTCATAGCATAGGCTGTAGTTCTTAACAACAGTAATGGGAAAGTTGATTGTTTTAAGATGCAGGTTCACCAAGGATGTATTTATCCAAGTTTATCTTAACAAGTATTATATTGAAATAAACGTGAAATTATATTGTTGGAATTAAATACTAATCATACACTTACAGTTAATTAAACATGTAATCCAATAGAAATATATCTTATTGGGAGCACTGAAATGCTTTAAGGGGTCATTAATCTTGTAGACATCTCATTGCTCCCCCTTGTCCAAAAACGAGCTTTTATATGTACTGTTGTCTAATGGCTTCTCTCGCTGCTGTTCTGTTCTCAATTTCAAAATGGCTTCTTCACAGACAAACGAGATCAATGTCTGCTGGTTGTTGCTGCGCCATTGCAGGGTGAAATAGTCAGTCGCAAAAAATAACTGAGTCTCACACACAGGTCTCTGTTTGCTCACTGGAAATGTAGCATATCAATGGTGCGCAAGAAATATGACTTCAACGGGTGTGTGTATAAGAGTGTAGGCTACAGCAGAATTCAAACGACAGAGCGGAGAAACATTGCACATTCAGTCTAGTTGCTGGCAGTTAAACCGGTTTTGGCAAACGACAGTAATTTGAGAATCTGGCCGGTTGCCACGCGTCTGAGAGAACTGCACCCACACAGCCATATAAGGTCAGAAGAAACGATTTCGAACATAGGGCTGTATTTCGTTCAGGATACTCAAAGGGGATTTCAGACTTCTTCGTGCTCTCTATCTCCCCTTCAAGATAATGTTTCGATGTTGTATTTCGAGGTGTTGATCAGCTACTCAGAAGATTTTACATGTCAGACAAGCAAGATGTAATCCATCCTATAGGTAAAGCAGAACAATAGGAACAAACCTGTGTGTGTGTGTGTGAGGGTGTTTTCCTGAGTAAGGGTCTCCAGGTGAGCTCGCCTGGCTACAGTTGCTATATGTACAGTAGGCTATGTCATGCATAATGTTGATCAATCTTAGTCTCTTGATCAACACAGCGGTTGAACAACCTCACTGTCAAAAACAGAGAGCATAGTCTACATGTCGGAACTGTTTTAGAGAAAACTGTAAAGGAGCTGGTTTTTCCAGGAAGGGTTCAATACCTATTGCACAATTGCTGCGTAATTGGCCAAGGGTAAAAGGAGCGTCAAACCATAAGGTCACGAGGCTAAACTAGCCATCCAACAAAGTGTTGTTTACACCCTCTGAAAACAAAATAGATGCGTTGGGCATGCCAGATACCAGCAATTGATGGGCCTTTCTCGTAGAGAATAGAACATGCAGAATAGAATAGAACCATGCAGACCATTCCATTCAATCCTCAGTGCTCAAATTCTTGCAGGGCGTGTTTTTGCTATTATAGAAGCAACTAGAGTGGAAGTTAGAATGTATTTTTTTTTTTACCCAAATGTCTTTCTATGACAGGCAGAGCACTGTTAAAAATCCGACTGAATCATAGTAAAGTTCATTTGTATGGCAAAGCCGGCCAGCTGTTTTTGTGCAATGCTAGCATTACGCAAGCATAGAAGGAACACAAACGCACACCCAGGGGGAAAAAAGGGAATGGGCCTCTTGTGCAGAAGACCAACGACGGCTCGCAGTACAGTAGGCTAAACTATTTCTCTTTGCGTATTCGTAAATACAGAGCCTATACTCGGACCGTTGCACGGCAAACTGTTCTGTGCAAGCAAGATGAGGATCTATTTAGGCCTTTGTTAAAATGATAAGTCTATTAAATGACAGCATAACTCAATTCATAAAAAAATAAAATAGGATAATGCTGCTTTCGATAGTTTATTTTTATGTATTTGTAAAACTGGACATTGAGAGGTTCTGGACATTTGATAGGCTACTGCACCATTTTTTAGTATTTCATTTAGAATAATTTATTTAACATTTATTCAACCAGCATTCATCGCCTGTAACCTGTAGACAAAATACAATTGACTTAAACATAAATCGACCCAGGGTAATTTAGTCAATGTTAAATGTTACAAAATGTATAATATTTACCGTTATAAACGTTTAACATAGACTATACATTCAACACGTCTATTTTTATAATCGAATTTTCACCATTCTAATCTGGATTTCAGACCCACAGAAATATAATAGATTATAGGGAGGGCTTTATAATGATCAAATTGGGCTACTCCTGTTGATTTCTGTTGAGTGCACAATGGCATTCTAGCTCATAAATGGTTTTAAGTCCGTAGGCCTATGTTACAGGAAAATACATATATAATTGTTAAGATTAAAACAAAAATGTTGCTTAAAAAATGTATTCGCCTCCAACACTATCCAAATCAAAATTATCCATGGGATTCATTTTGTAATTTTCTGTGGAGGCTGTCAGGATTTCCTCGAGTTTGTCCTCGACTGCAGCGTCACCATTTGCACACAGTACGAAATGGACAGAAGAGAGAGAGCGGCCATTTTAGTACCGCTAGTCAACTATATTTGACTCCAATTTAATGCGAATATTGAAGGTTTATGCATGTGTTTCAATCTAGGGCCTACATTATTCATATGCGTTCACTCTCTTTTCTGAATAGCCTTTTCCCTGCTCCATAACCGCCTGAGAGCATAGGAGTGTTATAGGCCTAGTCCTTCAAAAGGGCAGCTGCCTATCTTCTCCAAAGGGCTGAATAAATATAAGAGAAATTGTTCAACTGTTATTGATATTGGCGCAATAATAACAGAATATAGCCAACGTTATTATTCACATAACATATCACTTCACATAAATCCCATCATTTAGATTAGAAAAACATGCCAAAATCCACTGTAATAAATGTAGATATTGTGTGTATATTGAAATTACCATTATTTTTCTTTGGGTCTATTTAGTTTGCCACAAACTTTATGCTATCTAAACCAAATAATGTTTTAATATCGTTTTTCTCTCCTTATTGTTTTTCACACACACACTGCCAGTCAGAAGACCAAATTAAATATCCCTTTTGGTGGCATTCCTGTAGGTGGCAATGAAGCACTAGGTTGAAAAGAGTTACATAAAATGATACATTTTAAACATACATATATATATATAACAGTTTACCCAATGGTCTTTCAAATGTTAATCAAAATATCATGTAACTTTTGTAAGAAATTGTTTTAATTTTATTTGCTTGCCTAATGGTCTTTCATACTTGCTCTTACTTTTGAAATGTTCATCAAAATATAATTTTGAATTGCAAATAAATATAAATCAATAAGATGTCTGTCTTATGTTGTCTTTGCGTTTTTGACATTGATGGTTGTGTAAATTACTGATAACTGTCAAAATGAAGAAGACATCAAAGAGACAATGATTTGTAAAAGAAAATTGCATCTTTACGCTAAGAAAAAAAGTATCTTTAGTGCTAAACTGCCAACTTACATTTAGTGTGGTTTAGTGGTCACATTTTCAGTATAATTTCAGAGGCCCAGTGAAGGCACACAGGGTGACATAGAATAGCCTTTTCATCCATGGTGGTTATATCCCTAACTCTTAAGTAAAATAAGAGAGCTCTAGAATTCAAGGTGGCACAGATCCATCAAGTCAAAGGTTACTAGGCCTGTGTGATCCCTGACCCCAGCTAACCCCACTCTTCATCAGAGTCCTTGCAATAATAGCCCTCTATCACAGAGCACCAATACTTCTCAGATACCACTGATCATTATTGATTTATTCTCTAAGAGGGAGGAGGAGGGCGCAGAGGATAGCGAACTACTCAGAACTTTGCGTAAGCACACTCAATACACCTTTTTAAATAGAGACAGTGCCTCTGTGTAAGCCTCAGCCCCACCTAGTGATGTGATGTTATGGGACAGGCCAGATGACTACAGAGCGGGAGGGTGAGCGAGAGAGAGAGCGCAGCTGTAGACTGACTATTGCATGACTTAGGTCTTACCACAGAGACTCTTCCGGTGAACAAAGTGATGCGGGTTAGAAGTGTTCAGGGTCACTAGGAAATAATTCAATTAGGAGAGGAACAGGAAGTGTTGAGCAGAGCAGAGTGAAAGACCTGGTTAAGATGAGCCTGAACTTGTTTCTTCCTTTCCCTTTTTCACTCACTTATTCTTCTCACTTAGCCAAGCTCAGTTTCTTTAAATGAACTTATCGTGCAACACTGACATGTGTTTAGACTCAGTTTAGAGGAACTGACTTTACCCTGACTTCTGTCTGACGGCGACCGGTTGAACCGTACAGAGGAGATATGACAAGCAATGGCACTGCTAAGAAGGGAGAAGAACTCAAAATAGTTATTGTGGGTGATGGGGGATGTGGGAAAACATCCCTTCTAATGGTCTATGCCAAAGGAGACTTTCCAGAGGTAAGGACAGCATGGCATCTCTTGAAATGTAAGAGTATAAGAATAAGGAAGTAAGTGTGTTTTTTAATTTGATTGTTTAGATTAAGATAATCACCTTTTAAAAAATATATATTGAATCATGCAGTCATTATTCATTTGTGCCCTTTTGAGGGTGACATCACCAAGCCATACTCAGAGGTTGGCTGTGAAACTAAAATGTTAAGAGTAGCCTAATGATTTTCTCCACTCCTCTATCATGAAATTAATATAAAAGTATATTGTTTATATAGTTAATCTTACTAACATTTCTTAATACAAATAAAACAATTATATTGACATCTCCATTATTGAAAGTTTTGGTCAGCAGATTTATGTTTAGTTCATTATTCAAGTTCAGACTGAAATGCGTGTAATGCCAAAGTTCCAGCATAAACATGAACCTTTTGAATAAATAATTAAGCTAGGCAAATATATTCCTTTTTCACTGCATTAACTCTCCAAAACAAAATCATGGTAAGTGAGAAAAGAGAAGTAACACTATTCCAAAAATAAATCAAATCAAATCAAATTGTATTGGCCACATGCGCCGAATACAACAGGTGCAGACATTACAGTGAAATGCTTACTTACAGCCCTTAACCAACAGTGCATTTATTTTTAACAAAAAAGTAAAAATAAAACAACAACAAAAAAAGTGTTGAGAAAAAAAAGAGCAGAAGTAAAATAAAATAACAGTAGGGAGGCTATATATACAGGGGGGTACCGGTGCAGAGTCAATGCGCGGGGGCACCGGCTTGTTGAGGTAGTTGAAGTAATATGTACATGTGGGTAGAGTTAAAGAGACTATGCATAAATAATTAACAGAGTAGCAGCAGCGTAAAAGGATGGGGTGGGGGGGCAGTGCAAATAGTCCGGGTAGCCATGATTAGCTGTTCAGGAGTCTTATGGCTTGGGGGTAGAAGCTGTTGAGAAGTCTTTTGGACCTAGACTTGGCACTCCGGTACCGCTTGCCGTGCGGTAGCAGAGAGAACAGTCTATGACTAGGGTGGCTGGAGTCTTTGACAATTTCGAGGGCCTTCTTCCTTCGCCAAAGATAATGATTTGTAACATAATTAGCGTATTGTCCTACAATAGAACACAACATGTATTCAAAATCTATGGCATTGATGTCTCAATTATGTGCATTAATATTATCCTGTGGAGGAAATGCAAAATGATTGAAATACGGAATTTCTTTCTCCCTTTGTCATTTCTGTTTAACAGAAGTATGCTCCGTCTGTGTTTGAGAAATATGTCACCACAGTCACATATGGAGGGAAAGAGATTAGACTCAACCTCTATGACACAGCTGGTAAGTTCCTCTATCCAACAAGTATTATTAAGTATCTATAGATCTAACAGAGGGTTACGTTCCTGCACATGGGCAGGTATGCAGGGTGTGGGTGTGGAGTCACCTTGCCTGTCATGCTTGAGCAGAGGTATTCTGATAGTAGATCTTTGATCAGCTAGGTGGAACATAAAGTTAGAGAAGGATATAATTGTGTCAGAGGTCAATGCATTCAAAACAATGGGTTCAAAACAGAGATTCTGAAAGGGTTTCCATTAGAAACTAATATAGCCATCAGTTTTAAAAATATGCTCTTGTTTTCTGGAGAATAAGCAGTAAAAACAAACATTGGACTAGGAGCACTGAACATGTCTTATGACTTTCTCTATGACTGGCTCCTTTTTTCCAAACAAGGTGTTGTGTTGAAATGTCATAGTGGATTATTGTAGAATACTGTCTGACTTTGTAGTTAATCAAATAAAAAATAAAAAAGGTCAACTATGAGTATGACACAACATATCACAGAGAATTACACCTGGCCCTCCTGCAGCACTGATGCAATGACAAGCAGCAGTTTTGCAGAATGCTGTTGTGACAGGATGTGGCTGAGGCTCATCTATAGACAGAAATGTTGTTTATCTGTGTTTGTCATCTGAGTGGTCTTTGAAACTTTTACCTAGACATTGTCAACGAAACCTCTGATTATCAGCTGAAGTGGCTAGATATTGAATTGAAAATCTTTGTTTTACATTTTAGTCATTTAGCAGACACACTTATTTTATTGTTCCTTACTTGCAACTCGCTTCTAGATAATGCCTTACTCTGTTGAAAAGTTTTTTCTTTGATTAAGATTGTCAAACTTGATTTTCTGTTCTTTCAGCTCCTTGTTATGGATCTTGGGGTTTTATCCAGACTCGTAGGATACTTGGCTTCCTGAGAAATTAGTTTCAGAAATTACTTTATACTTGTTCTCTATCAATACTGGATATTGCACTCCCACTCCCCTCTAGATATGTAAATGACACGTATTGACTAATAACAGTGGCAGAATGATCTACTTAGGTTGTCCCTGGAACATAGTATCACGTCCCAGCACAGTGTCCACTATGAGTCACCAGCTTAGCCTAACTGCTGCACCAGACACTTTATTTTACAGGAAATGGAAGTTGAAGCCAGGATGTGGTTTTATAACTCACCCCCAGCATGGTTCTGTATCAACTTGTTCCATACTAGAGGTTGTTTTAGAGAAGAGCGGAACATTTTAATTTGACATACTTTTGACATTGTTATTTTATGAATGTGCCTTATTCTTTTTTTACATTCTTGGACTGCAAGGATAAGCCCAATGGATAATATCCTTGTTTACTATTGTCTCTATTTTCTTTTAAAAAGTTCACCAAACACTTACATTGTGTATTTCTGTGTACCTTTTTCAGGCCAAGATGACTATGATCGTTTGAGGCCACTCTCCTACCAGAATGCCAACCTGCTGTTAGTCTGTTATGATGTGACCAACCCCACCAGTTTTGAAAATGTCTTAATCAAAGTAAGCTCACTGACCATGATTCATCAACGATATTACATTATGCAGTGACAGCCAATGACATTCATATTCTGCCCAACAATAGCCAACGCTAAAGCAGCTAACCAGAGTGAATTTGACAGGCCAGTGTGTGTTGCTAGGATCCCAGTACAGTGCATAATGAACCTAACATTAACTGAGTGTGGTTTGTACAACAAGCCCAACATTAGTCACCACAGAGAGGTGGAAAAGGATTGTGTGAGTTCACCTCTTATCAGTGGTTTGACGTCATGTCTAGGTAAGAATTTAGTTTGATGAATGATTGTTAATGATTGACTTTGATATAGTGGTGTACATTCTTTTGACTCCCCTTGCTACATGTGAATCAACCACAGCACAAACTGGGACTGTGCTGGAAGCCTCCCTCAATGAGCAGGGAAATGTCAATACAGAGCCATGAATGCAAACAGGGTGATAAAGACATGGGGAATGCAGTCAGAGTGAGACATTGTAAGCATAAAACACCACAGCAAGGGAGGGGTGTGGTAAACACAAAAGAAAACACACCTATTTGTAGAACCGATACCTGGGTGTGGGATGCAATGGACGTGGAGCCAAACCAAACAACCTGTCTATGGAGTATTTTTTGAAATCCCAATGTGATATTTTGAGCTCCTTCCTTCCTACCTTGACCTCTGACCTCTACATTCACTTTTATGATCTGCTGACTCACGCAGTGGTACCCGGAAGTGAACCACTTCTGTCGCGATGTTCCTGTCATTCTAATTGGCTGTAAGACTGACTTGAGAAAGGATAAGGAGCGTACCAGGAGGCTCAAAGCCATGGACCAGGCTCCCATTACTTATACACAGGTGAGGATCAACTTGTCCTCCTGATGACAGGTTTATCCACATAACTTGCAGTGTGCAGCTTTGACTTTAACCATTTCATTTGAATTATGGATCATGACCTTCAAATGCCTCTCAAATGTTTGATCCTAGTACACCTTCTCTGATTTGCCCTGTGTATCAGTCTCCAATTCTGATCCAGTACTCCCCTGTCTTCCAATGAATGCTCTTTGTTTGGTTCCACAGGGTGAGGAGACCAGGCGGCACATGAGTGCTGAGCTTTATCTGGAGTGTTCAGCCAAATATCGTGAAAACGTGGAGGACATTTTCAGAGAGGCCACTAAAAAAGCCCTGGCATCTAGCCGCAGAGCAAAACACCGTACGAAGAAGAGGCATTGTGTCGTCCTGTGACCTCGTTCTAGTGAAAGGACAGAGGCTTGAAGTCAATTGACACAACAGGTGACCCTGTCCCCTGGTCTTACATGCCAAATCTACACCATCTGCTGCTTGTCTGTTATAAACAACTGCTTGCCACATCATGGGTCATCCTAATTGAATTTCAACAAGAGCCTGTCTGGAGACACCACCCCCAGCCAACTCATGCCCTTGGGATCTGGACAATGATATTCAACACTGAACTAATGTCTGCTAAGGTCTGCTAGGGTAGAGATGGAAATCCTGCTAGTTCTGTGGGCGCAAGGTCTATCCTGGGATTCCAGAGTGGTTTTGTTAATGGCCAAAGTGTAAGTTGGAATATGATAAAAGTAGATTGAGATTGTGTATCATAGAATTGTGAAATATCCTTTTATCAGTTACTGAATTGCTATTTTTACTTCTATAAATAATTTGTTGTACCCATTGCTGGTCTTCTGTGATTTATTAGTTTATTTTTAACCAGTTAAATGTAATATCAAAATGTAGATTTCCGCATAAATAGACTTAACCAAAAGTAATTATTTATAATGAGAGGGCCATAAACAATACCAAGTAATGCTTATTCTGCCAGAAAGATTAAAATCTCACCTTTCTGGTCAAAATAGTTAGAATTTACTGAGGTGTAGTCCCTTTTGAGGACACAAGCTCATGTACACAGTACAAATATGATACAAATATGACAAATCATATATGATTTTCCCCCTATTCAACAAAAGTGGGGGAATAGGGCTGGAAATGCTTCATAAATAAAGTAACAATCAAATGATAAACGACTTACTATAATATTTCACCTTCTAACTATAAAATAAATATGATCATACTTAGAGACAGTACAAAATTGGCACCATTTCATATAACTGACACCAATGTTCTGCCCAGAGACACCATTCAAATGCCTTCTAACTCATTACAACTTCAGCTTTAAGCACAAAGTGATTTAGTCCCTCTGTGACCAAGAAAAAGTGCTCTTGTTTGAATTCTACAAAAACAAATTTTTTTTTCATGTTGATGTCTAAATCCATCTGTGATCATCACAGCAAGATGACACTGCTTTTGCTCTCCCGTTTCATATGCCATATTGTAAGCTGAGCTGCGAGGTTCACAGCCAGTGGAAATCGATCCTTTGTCTGGATAGGCCAGAAAATGTGACATGTTGCTCTCTATGCAAATTAGGTGTCATATTTCATCTACTGCATCTCAGCCATAGAATTAGGAATTAATTTAATAGGATCTCTATGATCTCAGCATTGTCTTACATCGATTCCGCTTGTACATGTTGCACGGTTCAGAGCGCTCGTACACATGTCATTCGGAACCGGTCCAAGAACTGCTCATAGTCCCCTAAATAGGGGACTTAACATTTAAGCTTGTCTCACCATCATTGAGAGGTTGAATCTCATTTTCTTTAGCAGTTCAATTTCTAGGAAGAGGCACTGACCTACTTACTTTACTTTGTATAAAGGAATAGTTTTTCACTGGAACAAGCACAGCTCTCGTCCACTGATCACTTTATCACCTGGCAAGATTTATGTTTCAGGAAGTCGTCTGTAAATTTATACCTACTCATGGTGGAAAAAGTACCCAATTGTCCTCTGTAGCTCAGCTGGTAGAGCACGGCGCTTGTAACGCCAAGGTAGTGGGTTCGATCCCCGGGACCACCCATACACAAAAATGTATGCACGCACGACTGTAAGTCGCTTTGGATAAAAGCGTCTGCTAAATGGCATATTATTATTATATTATATACTTAAAAGTAAAAGTAAAGATACCCTAATAGAAAATGACTCAAGTAAAAGTCACTCAGTAAAATACTACTTGAGTAAAAGTCTAAAAGTATTTGGTTTTAAATATACTTAAGTATCAAAAGTAAAAGTATCAATCATTTCACATTCCTTGTAATAAATAAGCAAACTAGATGGCATGATTTTCTTTTATTTATTTAAGGATAGCCAGGGGCACACTCCAACACTAAGACATCATTTACAAACAAAGCATATGTTTAGTGAGTCCGCCAGATCAGAGGCAGTGGGGATGACCAGGGGTGTTATCTTGATAAGGGTGTGAATTTGACAATTTCCCTGTCCTGCTAAGTAAGCTTTTGAAATGTAACAAGTACTTTTGGGTGTCAGGGAAAATGTATGGTATAAAAAGTACATTTTTTGCCTTTAGGAATGTAGTGGAGTAAAAGTAGTCAAAAATATTAATAGTAAAGTAGATACTCCAAAAAACTACTTAAGTAAAAATACTTTAAAGTACTACTTAAGTACTTCACACCACTGCCATTACACATGTTCAGGTAAGCGACTTACCCTTTCTGCAGAGGATAAGTTGACTGCACCTTTTACATTGTCAGGACAATTTACAACCATTTACTACTAATGTGGTTGAAAGCTGATAGACATCGGTTCCTTTCAGAGCTGGAGTCTGGACAAATATCTATTGCAGTTCATTAAAGTTTAATGACAGTGCCCACTAGTGGTGGTTGCTATGAAAACACACTGACAACGCAATGTGTCCTACAGTAGGACTGTAGATAGGCAACTGAATAAAATGTGAAAGCTGATGGATATATTTCTTTGCTAAGCAAATACATTTGTTACTTGACTTATCAATTAATATTTGCTAGTTCTAAAATGACAACACGGGGCCTTATGTCAATGTAAATAAATGGCTCTTTCATAACATCCTTTAATCAGATGTGTTTTTTCTTACAGCAATGTACACAGTGTGCAAATGCAGCAAGAGACAGAATAAATTAAATAACTTTGTCCCGTGTCTCGTTACAGTTGTACGTTCAGGCACAAGGTACAGTCTTATGGTGGGACAATCCATGACATGAAACCAATACCACAACATATGAGGAAATAGGTGCTGTTGTGTAGTGCATTGTGGCAGTTTTGATGTTAAACTGAATGTAAAATGTTGGTCTAATGGTCAATAACATGCTTCAGCTTTTGCCTACAAGTATAACAAAATGAGTGGTTCCCTTCAAGAGTAGAATGGATTTTTTTTCTTTATGGAAACAAGACTAATATCCAAGACCTTAGATTTTCTCAATAACAAACAGAACACTTGATTCCAAATGGTACAAAAAAATACATCAAGAAATTGTGAAAGGCTACAGGGTGAGATATGGCATTAGAGCCTTGTCACTAAGTACTAAAGTTGTTCAGATCTAATACTACAGTTCAAAATGAAATGATGCTGAAAAGGGATATACAAGCTCATGAGATTTTGCCTCAGTGCAGAGTTTATGCGTTACAATACATACAGTATGTCAGCAGAGTTATAGAACTTGATCCCACAAGCACATTTGTGCTGAAGACATTATTCCCAATCATTTGCTCAAAGTACTCAAAACAACCAGTATCTTCTTGCACAACCTGAATTGGACTAGTCTCTCAAATAAATCATTAATTGAAAGGGTTATCATTTTGAACTAGATTACAGGATTTTTAAAATATGGACTTTTATCTTAATGCTGAATCCACTGTGAGAAGTTGCAACACCAGGCACTCAGTTTAACAAGGTGCAGACCATTACAGAAGGGAAATAAAACCTTGACTTGTCAGTATCATTAGTATATTAATTATTTTAAAAAATAGAACGGCTGTGTAATTTATGGTTGCCAAATCAACCCAAACAATGGTAGTAAACGGCTGCTGTTAAAGTTTGTAAATGATCAGTTAACAAGTCCTGGCTGGTACATTGCTGAAATGAAACGCAGGCTTTACTTATTTATATAATATGGACCCGCATCAACATGTCAATATCCAGAGAAAAGAAACAGGTTTACTTTCAAACAGCACACCGGGAGAAATATATAGTTCAATGCATCTTTTTACTGAAAAACATATCAAACGACAGACACTTGTAGTTGCGAACAGTGAAAATTGCTGTGCCCTGGATGTTTTCAAATACGCCATAATGAAAACAGCTGTGTGAAGTATTGACAGTACATACACTTCGTAGGTAAACTAACCTCTTCTCATGACCTAATGCTACCCCTCTTTGTTTAGTTGCATATTGTTTGAAGAGTGGCTCTCTGTACATGTAGTTCATGCTCCGACCTAAACACATCCACACCATAATGAATCAGTCTGTCCAATTACTCTAAATCTACAGGATCAAGCCTCAAACGGTCCAGGATCGCAGTGGTTCATCTGCCAGAAGAAGGCCGCTCTGTGTTGTGATTGCATGTGTAGCAAGGACAACGACAAACTATCGGAAACAAAAGCACATTCAGCCAAGGTTATTGGTTAATGTTGCAGCTGTCATCAAGGCTGAGACACATCGGTCTCTTCACTCCGTCTTTTCCTGGCACAAACCCTCCGCAGTCCATATTTCCATCGATTGTGCGTGTCAGCGCCATTTTGCTTCATGGTTACTGGCCACTTGGGAGTCTGAGCTGTAGTCAGACTCGTATTCACTCTTGCTTTTGCACTTTCTCTGGGTTTTCCTGGACTTTTTGGTGAACAACTTTCAATGTGGTAAGAAAATTCCCCAGGAATAGGACAAGAAATGTCAGTGCCAACATAAATACCTGAAAGACACAAACAAAGGCATTAAAGAAGAAATCCACTTATGCTGATAATCGTTACAAGACTACTCTCTGACACTGGAAGTTAAATCTTCTATTGATGACATCTAGCATAATGACATCACAGGTGTGTCATTCTTAAAGGGAAAATCCATATATATTTTTTTCCTTTAATACAGTCCCAAAAATGTGGCCTGTCAAGTTTTCAAGATATTGGGCTTTTAAGAAGCAAAGTGTCACCGGCCACTTCATCATGACAACGCAAAATGGATGCATTTTGCATCATCATGATGATGTGGCCAGGGACTGAGTAGAGTAGTCTTGTAACGATTATCAGCAAAGGTAGAGGAAAATTCAAGATCAGCCTGCACAAGACGGGTGGAAGTAGAGGCATGTTGTACTGTATTCTATTTGAAAACAAGGGATTTTACAGAGATTATACAATATTATTTCTGTCCTTACCTGCCACTCTTTACAGTCTTTATGTCCTGCCAACCGAAACAGGGTCAAAGCATTGTACAGCTGCCAGAACTGTGAATGGGATTGGAGAGAGAAAAACTCAGTCTAAGACCTAAACATTTGTTCAAGAACACAAGCATGGCAGCTGGAGTGTCTACATGTAAATGTTTAAACAGCTGAAATAAACATCTTCACTGAAATAAGGAACAAAATGTAAGCTTTGCAATCATGTTGGGCAACACTTCTTTTACAAATGACAGATTTTGCAATACCATCTTCACTTCTTCAAGTCACCCCACTCTACCCTCTCTTACCCCATAATGCCTCATCCTAGTCTGTGTGAAACAACCTGGCACACACCCAGACCTTAACCTGACCTCATCCCTGGATAACCACTTTTGTACAGTTGTGTTAGTCCTGTGTTAGACTTACATGGCCGAAGAAGAGGAATGGCAAGAGGAAGGTGAGCCCTCTCCACATCCATGACTGAAACCCTTCTGCAAAACAGAAACAATTAATAATGGTGGAAAATCCAGATCATTAACATTGAATAAGACACAAACCACAGAAAGACAGCATGTTTACATCCAGTTCGTCTAGCGTTTTCAGGAGTGCAGGTTAATCATTAGCCTAACACATCATGGTAAGGGGAGTAAAGTAAGCTATATCAAAAACAGAGCTAAACAAGAGGGACGCAACCTTTATCCTCTTGACCAATACTCTGTTCAAAGATCAGCCGCAAACTGATTTGCGAGATGTTATCCATTAGCTCACTCTGGTCATTCAGATTGCACTAAATAGATTTAATTGGAATTTTGGGCAGTAGAACTGTAAACTTTTGATTCAAAGAGGACGTGTGTGACCTTATGCCGACAACTAGGACATCACTCTCAACATGGAAGAGTAGCAACTTGCTCAAGGGTGAAACACCACCTTTGTCCCATTTCCAGTCATGGGGTTGCTTGTGGCCCACTTCATTGTAATAACTATTAACACACATGCAAATGTCTTGTGCAAGCATGACCGAAATTATTGGCACCCTTGATCAAGATTAGTAAAAAAAAGACTAAAATAAATACTGAGATATATTGTGTACAAAAAACATTTTATTTTATACTAATACAATTGCTCAGAGATAAAAAAGTAATAAAAAAACAATTCTCAGAAAGATCGGGGCAAAATTATTGGCACCCCTGTTTTCAATACTCCGGCACCCTCCCCTTGTGAGGATAACGGCACAGAGCCTTTTTCAAAAAATGTTATTAGATTGGAGAACACATTGGAAGGGATCTTAAGAGACCATTCCTCCATAGAGAATATTTCCAGATTCTTGATATTCTTCGTCTGTGCTTATTTACTGCCCTCTTGAATTCAAACCACAGGTTTTCAATGAGGTTCAAGTCCGGAGACTGAGATGGCCATTGCAAAATGATGATTTTGTAGTGAATTAACCATTTCATTGTGGATATTAATGTGCACTTGGGGTAATTGTATTGCTGAAAGATCTACTTGCGGCCAAGTTTCAGCCTCCTGGCATTATAGGCAACCAGGTTTTTGGCTAAAATGACCTGGGACTGGGTAAAGTTCATGATGTTGTTGGCCTTAACCTGGGCCCCAGGACCAGTGGAAGCACAATAGCCTCATACCATCAAAGACCCGCCCCCATATTTTACAGTAGATATGGGGTTATTTTCTGTATATGCATCCTTCTTTTGACGCTAAACCCACCACTGGTATGCGTGGCCAAAGAGCTCTATTTTCATGTCATCCAACAAATGTAAACGCCTTGGAGTTTGCTAAATGGCATTGGATTGGAACCAGTGCTATGGTCAGTTGACATGAAAATAGAGCTCTTTGGCCATGCACACCAGTGGTGGGTTTGGCGTCAATAGAAGGATGCATATGCAGAAAGAAAAAAAAAGAAAAAAACATACCTACTGTACAATAAATATGGTGGTAGATCATTAATGTTATGGGGCCATTGTGCTTCCACTGGTCCTGGGGCCCTTGTTAAGGTCTACGACATCATGAACTTCACCCAGTACCAGGACATTTTAGTCAAAAACCATGGGCCAACAGTGCCCTCGAGTCCCTCATTGACAAAAACAGACGACACTGCTAGTCTTCCTGCGATGCGTAAATATCTACGTTGGCCCTGCCGAACCTTTCCCATATCTGGGAGATCACCCAGGGGTGTAGCCTCCACTCTCCAGAGAGTGGCCCCCCCGAATAACAGATCCGCACCAGAGTTGCGGCAACCGGGGACATGCGTCGCCCAAAGCAAGAGCAAGCGCGCACTCTGCTCCACAGCAATTGGGAGCGAGCCAAGGTTAGGCGGGGGAGTGACCGAGTCCCTCCCTGCCTGTTGATGTATGCCACCGCCGTCGTGTTGTCGGCTCTGACCAGCACGTCGTCCCGTCAATGTGGGAGGAAGTGTCTAAGCGCCAAATACACCATCAGAAGCTACATGCAATTGATATGCAGGGCATCCTGTGCCACCGTCCATACCCCCCAAATCGAGTAGCCAGCCTTGGGGGGAGGGGGACCCGTTCGGTCGTGCTCACCTTGTGGGATAACACTTGGCCCATACGAGCACCCTGCGACAATAACCGAGGGTCTCCCCACTTGGCCAGGGCCCGTAGGAAATCATCCAGGTAGTCCAACACCCTTAGCCACTGACACCTCATGGGCGCCACCTTACTAAAGGTGCGAGGCGAGAGGGACAGGCTGAACGGGAGGACCAAAAACTCGTAGGCTATCGTCTCGTAATGGAACTTCCTGTGACTGGGGTATTTGGGCACATGAAAGTACGCATCCTTCAGGTCGATGGTGGTGAACCAATCGCTAGGACGCAGACTAACAGCCGACGGCTTGTGAGTATTCAGAATTAGTTGACTGAGGTGCTTGTTTAGGGCACGTAGGTCTAGGATGGGATGTTAGCCCCGTCTCTTTTCGGATTTCCGACAGAGGAACCACCTATATTGCCTGCTTCTGGAGAAGTGAGGATATTTCCTCCCTCCAAACTGCCGCTGAGGCCATGGTAGCTGTCGACATGACGCTGCAAAAACACGGGGGACGTACAACGAATTGTAACCTATTCCCGACATCACTCTCCGCATGATCCAGGTCGAAACTGCGCATGCGCGCGCTATTGGTCGGAGCAGGCATCATCATGATGCCTTCTCGTGGACTGGGAAAGATTGGTTATTTTTCCTATTTTTATTTTATTTCCCCAGTCTCGACAACTGTGTGTCAATGTGGAGGGAGGGAATGTTTTGTGGGATACCGTGAACACTGGAACTTGGGGTTAAAACAATGTTTACGTGCAGATGTTTGCCTGAATCCCGGCCTACTCTGGTTCGGGGGTTTTGGCCTCCATACCCCCGATTGGCCATGCCTTGGGGGTACTTTTGTCACATTGAGCCTCACTCGGCTTAGACAGACCGCTCTGAAAAACTGACCCCATCTGTGGTAAGACGGGGCGAGTCGTAATTGAATTTAATTCCCAGGAATGAACAACGTTGAGCTGGAGACAAGACAGCTCATTCTGGGGTTCATATGAACCACAAAGACTGTGTGTGGGATAATTGGATGGTTGTGTCCAACCCTGCTTGCCCCCTCTGCTTCCAACAACCAATCGCCTATAGAGTCCATAACCTTTAACACTAGGCACTTCATCGGGACCAGTGAGCTACAGGCAGGAATCCGCAATGAATCCCCCAGCTATAGGGGAGGGGTGCCGCTTTGTGGACAGAGAGCGTGTTGCTCGTCGTATTGAGGTTGTTTGTTTAGCAACAAAACCGAGGCGTGGACAAATATGAGGCAAAACAGACGGGTTGGCTTAGATTGTTGACAACATGTTAACTATATTTAGTCTCCAAATGTTTCTTGAAAACAAATACATTTGCACAATGAGCACTTGTTATCTCTCAAATACATCGTTACAGTTGTTGGTTAGCTAGCTAGCGAATTTTAGACATATTAGCATAGACATGACTCAAAACAAGACATGGTATCAATAACAAGATACGAGCTGAAATGAGCCACCTACGATTCCCCACATGGCAACCCCTCTATTACGCTCACCCTGGGGAGAAATACCCCTTGAACCCTGTGAACACCATGGAACTCAGGGTAACAGAGGGGGCATTAAACATGGATAAGCTTCCAACATGCATGCCGTTCTGCACACCACTGTTGTACTGCACCGTTACTTGCCTGTTTGTGGCCCGCCTGTTAGCTTGCATGATTCTTGCCGTTCTCCTTCGACCTCTCATCAACGAGCTGTTTTTGCCCACAGGACTGCCGCTGACTGGATGTTTTGTTTGTCGCACCATTATCGGTAAACCCTAGACACTGTCGTGCGTGAAAAGCCCAGGAGGCCGGACGTTTCTGAGATACTGGAACAGGCACGCCTGGCATTGATGATCATACCACGCTTAAAGTCACTTAGGTCACTTGTTTTTCCCATTCTAACATTCAATCGAACAGTAACTGAATGCCTTCGATGTGCCTGTCTGCCTGCTTTATATAGCAAGCCACGGCCACGTGACTCACTGTCCGTAGGAGCTAACCATTTTGGTGAACGGGGCGGTGTACCTAATAAACTGGCTGCTGAGTACGTTGTGCTTCCGTGAGACTGTATAGCCTGCATGAAGCCCGGCCCCTTTATGGGGGTCCGGAAATGGCTGACGTAGTACCCCGTTCAGCCGTAACCAAAAAGGGGGCACTGCCACAATAATGTTTTTGTGGAAAGGTGCTAAAGCCCCTTGCTCCGGGGGTGACCCGAGCTAAGTGCTCAGGGCTGCTTCCTCATTGGAGGTGCATGGAAGCCCTGCTTCCTCCACTCCCTCCAACTCCAGGAATTGGAAATAGGAATGGGGTTGCTATAACGGCGGGGGAAAGCTAGTAAGCTTAATTAGCTGGAAGTTATGTATGCTAGCCAATGTTAGCCATGTGGCTTTCAGTCCAAGCTAAGATGGTAGCCAGCTACCTGTCGTTCGCCCCAAGGGCTAGTAGCCAATCCTGATCTAGAACAGAGCTTCCTTTGGTCTTGAAAAACTCTTACTGCAGCACGGTCCATTTAGAATAACCAAGCGACTGAACGCTACGTATACTAAACAAGAGAACTACACAAGCAAGTCCACCATGGGGAGGCAGGAATAGCCAGTAGCAGTAGCGAGCTCGCCTTGGCAAGTTAGCTAAACTGGCTAGCAAGCTAAGCAGCGCTTGTTTAGCTAGCCTGGGCTTGAAAGTCTACGGCAGGGAGTGCCCACCGAACCTGGCTGCCTTCTCCATTCGATTAGCCTCCCGTAACCGGCGACAGAGCACACAGGACAAGACATTTCATCTGACCAAAGACCCAATCCATCCCTGCGTCTCGCAACTCCGACTCAGCCGAGGTACAGGCCTCCGGGAGAGGAATGTAACTATTGAAAACACCAAGCAGTCGGTGACAAAGCACACACGGACAGGTTCGAGCGAGGGCCGCCAGAGCGTGCACCAAGCCGAGACAAACAAGACAATCGTGAGTATCTTTTGGTGATATAGTATAGCGGCATGAATGGGGGCATGGTCGCGAACTCGAACCCGGCTTGGCAGCCTTTGTCGTCTCAGTCACATTTTTTGCTATCTACTCATTGTTAGAGCCAGGCTAAGCAACCAGAGGAATAACAAATTGGCTTGTAGGTAGGAAACTAGGAAAACACAATACAACTTCCAAAAAGGGGAGCACGCTCACCCACAATGGGACAGTTTAGTTGGAGCCAAGTTTGAAAGTCTTGTGTTCCAAATGTTTGTTTTAGTAGCGTGAATCGTTCCTACTCAGCTTGAGGTGAAGAATCGAAGGAATGAATTCGAGCCTCATTGTTATCACCTGTGGAAGGCGGAGCTTCCAGCGAGGCACGGTTTTCATTGGCCTTATCAGGCATGATTAAAGTTCTTCAGTCGAAGTCTCGAGAGTGCGACTCCTCATAGTGGGTTGTACCGAGAGTACTGACTGAAAGGGAACCTGTGGTTTGAATTGAAGAGGGCAGTCCATAAGTGCAGACGAAGGATATCAAGGATCTGGAATGGTCTAAGATCCCTCTCAATGTGTTCTCCAATTTCATAAAACATTTTATAAAAAGCCTCAGTGCCATTATCCTTGCAAGGGGAGGGTGCCGGAGCATTGAAAACAGGGGTGCCACTAATCTAGACATATCTTTTTGAGAAAAACTATTATTACTTGTTAAACAAAATCTCTTTCTCTAAGTATTAGTATAAAATTAATTTCAAATTTTTAGAGCATACAATTTAGCTCAGTATTTGTATTATTTATTTTATACAGCCTTTAAAAAAAATAATAATATGGTGCCAATAATTTTGGTTGTGACTTAATGGTTCAAAAGCTCATAGGATGTTTCCAAAGTCATAACCAATAAGCAAGCCTTAGAAACCGTCTTAACTGAAAAGGAGCTCATCTTACCCACTGTGAGGTCCAACTGATTTCTTTCCCCCAAAGCTCGTAACCTGTATAAGCAGCCACTTTGGTAGTAATACTGAAGAAACTGCACAAAGCCTGAAAAACATAGGGATGAATTTCAACAAATGATTCAAACTCTTTTACAATCAATCAATCAATCATGTATGAGTAATGACATGGACTTACATTGTGCGGGTTGTTTTCAAAATACTTGACACATATGAAGATAAAATGAGAAAGTAGACGCTTACTCTGATAAATGGAGAAGGCAAGGAATTGACTTCTGAACATCTGATACATGGACCCCTCTGGCCTTTGAGAAGAAACAGAGGAACCAATAAATACATGTGATCAAATAACATTTATCAATCAAACTGCTTGTCAGACAACCTTTTAGGGTAAATGCCAACCGATTTTGAGCTTTTGACTGAAAGCAATTAATGAAAGTGTTCAAAGTTGAAAATAAATAAAAGGACTTACCAGGTAAGCATTACACCTGATAGGAAGGTAGAGACGTAATGATGGGAGACCCACCACCCTTTAATCCTGAAAGGACACATGGAGTGGAATTAGAATAAAGAAGCAGAACTAGGTTGCCATGCTAGTATAGTATTTTAATCTCATGGAGTTAATAAATAAGTCAGTCCCATAAAAAGCTTAGTAGCTCACCTGGACCCATTGCTCATGAGGATGCTTTCCCTTATGGTCAAAGTGCAGTAGTACCAAACCAGCAAGAAGTTGAAGATTTCATCTGTGACACTGCAACAACAAAACACAGACATTTACAACTACTTTGCTTTGCCGAAACATTAAAAGATGCTATGAGGAAAGATCAAATGCATAATATAACCAACTCACCGGTAATTGAGCAAGAAGAGACAGGTTATGGCAGCAAACGTCAAGATTATTGTCATACAAAGCTTGAACTTCTCATATTCATCTTTGTAGGCAAATCTGCTCCAGCGAAAATAACAAACAGGGAATCAGATGCAGCAACCATGCGGATGTGACTGAATACAGATATTTTGTTCAAGCTGAAGCAACACACTTACTTTGCCTGGTTGCTGAGGAGTGTTACATTCACATTGCCAAGGACCAAATTTAAGTACAATCTGAAAAGAGATACATATTTTACAATATGCTTTGACACCCTCTAATGACAAACTGCATAAAAACTGTAACCAACCAAAAAGTAATCATGTCCTCAAATACACTGACCCATTCTTCTTTGGCAAATAGGCTTCCATATCAAAGAAGAAATGTTCTTTGTCTTTCATTTGCATTTGGATGTCTTTGATCAGTTCCGTTTCTTTCTCATCGCTTGTTTTTGTACATCTGTAGGAGAACAAAACACTCAAATGCTCAGGTCCTAATTATGAGGACCTTTGGTACAGGAAAACAAGACTGAACAATTATTTGTCAATAACTGCAGGCTGCCAGCACTAAAAGTAGGCTACTTACTTGCGCAGACTGTGCTGGAGGTCTTTTAGACCCTTCCTCTGTTTACTAATGGCACTGCTGCATGTTGCCTGGAGGTTGGTGAGCTCATCGAGCTTCTGTCTGTACACTTTGTGAGTTTCCTATAAATAAATTGGAAAATAAATGAGTGCAGATTGCTCACCAGTACTCAAATATGTTGATACCTGTCAAATTGTCATAGGCAATTATTTTCACCAAAGTCCAAATTTAGGCAAGCAGTGATGGATAAGGTCCAGGACAGATCACCTCCTTTATTCTTGCATTTTTAAGAGTTTGAGGCTGTCTTAGTGGCTTACTTTCTTTCCTCTATGGTCCCTGATCTAGCAGAATATGACAGGTGGATGGAAGGCAGCATTGCAATATCATTGAAACCTTTCCAGTCGTTTCAAGTGGTGGCAATTAAGGAGGAAATAAGAGGGGAGGAAGCCACTGCACCCTGAGTTAAGTTGTGACACTTATTTGCTACATATCCGCATTGGTTGACTGATTTAACTGCGCCGAGGTGAAAACTTGGTGGATTTCCCTAAAACACAACAACCTAATCATTGTTATTAAACTGAGTTAGCTAGCCTGCTTGCTGGTTATAAGGACTTTAACGGGCTAACGTTATTCTCGCTAGATAGCTAACGTTAGCTAACATTTGCCATTAATTGTTCAAATATGCGGATATTAAAAACTAGCTTCACCAATTCAAGTAAACCTGACTTGCAGTTACCGCTGGATACTATTTAGCTATATTGGAAAGTTCCTGAATACAAAATATTGTGTCCAATAATACCTGATGATAAACCTTTATCAAGTTAGCATGCTAGCTAGCTTCTAGCCATGTTGGCTGGGTTAGCAAAACTAGCTAGCTAGATAGCTGAGCTGACAATCGTATATCGGTTATCATCTTCCAACCCCTCTTTCTGACCTGGCGGTAGTCCACGTCACCTCATGCCACGCACCTAGCTAGTTATCAAACTGGCTTCACATAGGCCTACCTGTAATTGTTGATATTCTTGGTCAATTTCTTCCCATTCAGTTTGACACCTTTGCAGTGACATTGTGTCAGTAAGCGGCACTGTACAAAACCTCCAGACGGCTAGTACAGCTGTCCACGATTCTTTTCTAATTTCACTTTGAGTGCATGCGCCCGACCGCCCACTACTGTCAAATGTACCTTTGTGTCGTCACTTGTTCTAAAGTGCAGAAATAATTATACTAGACAGGAACCCCTACTACAGTAACATTTTCATAAACATAACTGTATGTGTATGACTGTTCTGAACAATGATTTTGAGGCAATATAATGACACATTTACAAAAACTGAGAAAGTTTCACACTCAGCCCGAACAAAATCGAGTATTTGTACATCTATACAAGTTTGTTGCTATGGGGATAGAACGCTTGGTTATACACTTTGTTTGCCACTCATGTCTTTTACCACCTAGCTAGCTAACCAGCTATGTTGACCTAATGTCAAATTTTACTTTGAAAGTTGAAAAGACAAGCGGATTGAGCTAAAAGGAGTCGTTCGCTTGGACACATACGAGGTACAATTTGGGTTAATAAATTATTTTTAGCTAGCTAGCTAAGTTGGGTAGCTAGCTAAATGTTCATTTATTAACCCAAATTGTTGGCACAATTTGCGAAATGTTCTTAGTTTGTTTATGTGTTGGTTGCCTTTTGATCAGTCATTGTAAAGAAACAATGTAGCTATAGCTAGCTTCAAATTATAAACTATTTTCAACTACTTTTACCATGAATGGACTGTCAAGTCTTTGCATCCATAGCTCTAGTCTAGTGGTTACCAGATACATTTCTACAGCATCCTCAAAAAGCAGGTGGTGGTGCTGCAGTTCTGCTGTAAATTGATTAAGGATTGTGCGTTTAAGTTATGAACTTTTTCAAAGAATGTTTGAAAATCATGTATGTTTTGCTTACAGCCATGCCTCATCTGAAGAAACCTCGAAAAGTGGAGCCCCTGTCAAAATTATGGGACAGAAAGGCACAGAAGTGTGGACTGCGACACACTGTTTATTCAGTGAATGGAGATGAATACACGGGGGATTGGCTGGACAGCAAGAAGCATGGTACAACTGTTGCATGACATAGATTTTGCACACACCATTTATCTCGAAGTATTATGCCTAGGCTTACTGTATCACAATTCAGACACATGGGCTGTGACTGGTTCTCTCAATTTTTTCATTTAAAATATTTCAACAGGTTCTAAGAATGTAGATATAAACGTTTTTTATTTCCCACTACAACTTCAATAGTATTGGTCACCACTCATTTTGTTACCAGCTAGACCTATTTTCTTTTATGTCCAATGAATATGTGGGTGGTTTTTCTCACTGTTCCTTAAATTTTTCTAGGCAAAGGAACTCAAATTTGGAAGAAGGGCAGGGCCATTTATGATGGAGACTGGAAATATGGCAAACGTGATGGATATGGGACCTACAGCAAGCTCCTGTCTGCAACCAATGAGTATTCAAGGGAATACTCAGGAGAATGGAAAAATGACAAGAAGCATGTATGTACTCATAATAATAATAATAATATGCCATTTAGCAGACGCTTTTATCCAAAGCGACTTACAGTCATGCGTGCATACATTTTTGTGTATGGGTGGTCCCGGGGATCGAACCCACTACCTTGGCGTTACAAGCGCCGTGCTCTACCAGCTGAGCTACAGAGGACCACACTCAATTGCAGGATGGTAGTACACAGAACAAGTTTTGTATTGTTAGGCTGAGAATGTAAATAATGTAACCCTAGGCCTATTCTATTTCTGCATTTATTATAAGACACCTGGCCTCAGTGAAACACAAGGGCCAGTTTCTATAGGTCTTCTCATCTACCTTAGGGGTTTGGGACCTACTTCTACAGTGACTCTGCCTGCTATGAGGGAGAATGGAGCGAGGATCAGAGGAGTGGCTGGGGCAGGATGTATTATGACAATGGGGACATATATGAGGGAGAATGGCTGAAGAACAAACATCACGGACAGGGCATGCTTCGTCTCGGTAAGGGCATATTATTTTACATGGAAGACTATCTCATGACTGTCGCCAGGGGTGTGTGCAAGACAAAAAAGTTGATTTCCAGAGTATGCAAGTGGATGGGTGAGAAAGATGAAGTAATTGTAGCCTACATTTTAATGCATCTTCATTTGTGTACTTTGACAATATGGCTGTAATTCAATGAAACACTGAAAGAAATGTCTTACTGCTGTGCCAACAGTGATTAGTTAATACAATGTTTATTTGGTGAAACAAAGTTGTCATTTGGCCGTAGACTATATACAGTATGTCAGGTTGCGCGACTTCTCTCATTTGTTTTGAAGCCAATGAAAATAGGTATGAAGGCAACTGGAAGTATGGGAAGAAGAATGGGCATGGAAAGTTCTTTTACCAGGACAAAGGTCAGCTTTATGAGGGCTTCTGGGTGGACGGAGTGGCCAAATGTGGAACAGTGTCTGACTTTGGAAGAGAAGAGGCACCAACTCCGACAATATACCCGATTCCTAAGGTACATACTTTGTCTTTTTAAGTGTTTTAAGAGGTTTGTCTTTACTAAGTGTTGCAGGTGTGGAGCTGAGCCCCTTCACCTGCTTGTGAATATCAATTCATCATATTGTGAGGTATCCCCCTTTTCTCTATTTAAGGTACATCTGTTGGATGTGAGATCAGTTTTAATGGAAACACAATCAACATACCATGGTGAATAGGACAAACCAAAGAATAACATTATCCATCTCTGCTGATCTCTGGCCACCATGCTCACTTACCATGCTGTGAAATGCCATCGTGTAACGAATAAAGAGAGCACAACATCATGAGGAAGATTTTAGCAACTTTACTTCTATGAAACGGGACCACTGAACACGATCTGACTGGTAATGAGATCACAGTGCCATCTGGCTATCATTCCCCAGTGGCAACTCAAGGTATTACAAACACATTCCTAGAAGTAAAACAAAAAGCAAACGGTTACATTTGCCAAGACCAACCCACTCAGTGTACAAACAAACAAGTCACAGAGGGTGCACTTTGAACAGGAAATTAAAGCAACAGATAACACCTTTACAAAGGCAATTGTGTTCAGAAAGAATATGTGCAGCTCATCTCTGTATTCACTGTTTAAGCAGCAGTGAAAATAACTTGACGCTTTTCTAGTCACAAATTCATATTTCCGGCCAAATAATCATGGTTTAAAATGTTTCTTTCGATACCACAGTTTACCACTATGAAAACTATTTTTGTAGAGTTTATGCAGCAACATTTGGCAAAGCGATTACACTAAAAATAACTTCATAAACAGGCTGATTACATTTAATCTCTCAAACATTAATTGAAATCTGAACATTAGACTCCCGAGTGGTGCATCCTGGTTCGAATCCAGGCTCTGTCGTAGCCGGCCGTGACCGGGAGACCCATGGGGCGGCGCGCAATTGGCTCAGCGTCGTCCAGGGTAGGGGAGGGAATGGCCGGCAGGGATGTAGCTCAGTTGATAGAGCATGGCGTTTGCAACGCCAGGGTTGTGGGTTCGATTCCCACAGGGGGTATGAAAAAAAGAATAATGTATGCACTCACTAACTGTAAGTCGCTCTGGATAAGAGCGTCTGCTAAATGACAAAAAAATAAAATAAATTTGGTTGAATACAGAACTGACAGAAGTAAGACAATGGTCGCGTTCCGCTGGTCAGACGTTGCATGCATCAACCAATTGTTGCGTGCCACGTCATCGACTGTGCCATCGGGCACCAGATTGTTATAACATATGATGTGGTTAGCTGATACTTAAAATACCTATCCAGGCGTTGTAAGATCTGGCATGCATCAGCAACGCCTGGGCAGAGGTACGTGCCCATTCAGTGGTGCTCATAGAATACAATGAGGCAAGCCACCTTGTCATAACATAAATATGTTAAAGGGATAGTTCACCCAAATTACAAAATGACATTGGTTTCCTTACCCTTTAAGCAGTCTATGGACAAGGTATGACAGCAATCCATGCTTTGGTTTAGTTTCTACATGCTAACGTTTTAGCATTTGAGGCACAATTCCCATTCAAGTCATTTTTCACGCATCATGTTCAAAACTTCTATAAATTACTTTGTTGAGCTTTACTATCAATTTTAGATACTTTCGTATGATTTGGACATGATGTGCGAAAAATGCTAATATCGACCCATGAATGTGATTTGTACCACAAATGCTAAAACGCTAACATGTGGAAACAGTGCCAGGGAAACTAAACCAAAGCATAGATTGCTTTCATACCTTGTCCATGGACTGCTTAGAGGGTAAGGAAAGCAGTGTCATGTTTTAATTTGGGTGAACTATCCCTTTAATAAGAGGCCTCTTTAGCCCCCTCCTACCATTACCTGTAAGGTAAATGAAATAACAAATCTGGCCTAAATGCTCCAAGTGCCAGTGAAAGAAGCATTCTCAAACGTTTGTATAACTTCAGCCAGTAGTTTTGAAAGTGGTGCTCACAAGACAAAAGTGGTCCCCGTTTTGTGTACGACTTCATCCAATTGTGTACCATGTCATCCATTTTGGGTGATATGTTACGAATTTATAAATTTGGATGATATACGATTTAGCAACTTGTGTGATATGTTACGAATCCAATTGACCCTTTGCTAAACCCCCGGCCCCCTTGGTTACTGTAGCAACCTTGGACAACGTTTTCCTGGGAAGCCTAACACCCCCTTCTAACCACTGGCGTAATCCCCTCACAATGACCTCAAACTGTGTTTTTAATACACAATGAAATTAAACACAGACTACATCTTGCTAATCAGGAGACTCTCAGGTATGTTGTGGTTGACTGTCATTGCAATTGCTTCACGGGAACCTGGTAAAATGAAGGTTGTAGTGTGGCTAGCCACTGGACGGCTCTGAATGCACTGTCAGCATGCAGCCAAAGTTACTAACCACTTTTGGAGCTAGCTAACTAGCGCTCTCAAATCGTATCCTGATGTCGACAGCAGATGAGAGCTGTATTCATAGCATGGCTAATTTAGCTAGCTAACATACATTTCGAAAAAACAAGTTATACAGTGGGGAAAAAAAGTATTTAGTCAGTCACCAATTGTGCAAGTTCTCCCACTTAAAAAGATGAGAGAGGCCTGTAATTTTCATCATAGGTACACGTCAACTATGACAGACAAAATGAGAATTTTTTTTCCAGAAAATCACATTGTAGGATTTTTTATGAATTTATTTGCAAATTATGGTGGAAAATAAGTATTTGGTCAATAACAAAAGTTTCTCAATACTTTGTTATATACCCTTTGTTGGCAATGACACAGGTCAAACGTTTTCTGTAAGTCTTCACAAGGTTCTCACACACTGTTGCTGGTATTTTGGCCCATTCCTCCATGCAGATCTCCTCTAGAGCAGTGATGTTTTGGGGCTGTCGCTGGGCAACACGGACTTTCAACTCCCTCCAAAGATTTTCTATGGGGTGGAGATCTGGAGACTGGCTAGGCCACTCCAGGACCTTGAAATGCTTCTTACGAAGCCACTCCTTCGTTGCCCGGGCGGTGTGTTTGGGATCATTGTCATGCTGAAAGACCCAGCCACGTTTCATCTTCAATGCCCTTGCTGATGGAAGGAGGTTTTCACTCAAAATCTCACGATACATGGCCCCATTCATTCTTTCCTTTACACGGATCAGTCGTCCTGGTCCCTTTGCAGAAAAACAGCCCCAAAGCATGATGTTTCCACCCCCATGCTTCACAGTAGGTATGGTGTTCTTTGGATGCAACTCAGCATTCTTTGTCCTCCAAACACGACGAGTTGAGTTTTTACCAAAAAGTTTTATTTTGGTTTCATCTGACCATATGACATTCTCCCAATCCTCTTCTGGATCATCCAAATGCACTCTAGCAAACTTCAGACGGGCCTGGACATGTACTGGCTTAAGCAGGGGGATACGTCTTGCACTGCAGGATTTGAGTCCCTGGCGGCGTAGTGTGTTACTGATGGTAGGCTTTGTTACTTTGGTCCCAGCTCTCTGCAGGTCATTCACTAGGTCCCCCCGTGTGGTTCTGGGATTTTTGCTCACCGTTCTTGTGATCATTTTGACCCCACGGGGTGAGATCTTGCGTGGAGCCCCAGATCGAGGGAGATTATCAGTGGTCTTGTATGTCTTCCATTTCCTAATAATTGCTCCCACAGTTGATTTCTTCAAACCAAGCTGCTTACCTATTGCAGATTCAGTCTTCCCAGCCTGGTGCAGGTCTGCAATTTTGTTTCTGGTGTCCTTTGACAGCTCTTTGGTCTTGGCCATAGTGGAGTTTGGAGTGTGACTGTTTGAGGTTGTGGACAGGTGTCTTTTATACTGATAACAAGTTCAAACAGGTGCCATTAATACAGGTAACGAGTGGAGGACAGAGGAGCCTCTTAAAGAAGAAGTTACAGGTCTGTGAGAGCCAGAAATCTTGCTTGTTTGTAGGTGACCAAATACTTATTTTCCACCATAATTAGCAAATAAATTCATTAAAAATCCTACAATGTGATTTTCTGGAATTATTTTTCTCAATTTGTCTGTCATAGTTGACGTGTACCTATGATGAAAATTACAGGCCTCTCTCATCTTTTTAAGTGGGAGAACTTGCACAATTGGTGGCTGACTAAATACTTTTTTTCTCCACTGTATTAACTGCAATGTTGGGTGGTCAATAAGACAGAACTAGCAAACAATGTAACAAAAGTATAATTTCGGATTGAAAAAATACTCCAACAGTATACTTGTTTACTGAATATGAGAGTGACATTTTAGGGAACCTAATTCACAGTAAAAATGTGTGACTCGTGCCACTAGTAGATCAATAAACCATTGTCGTCAACATTGCAAAATATAACATACAATGCCCATATTACACCAGCTACAAGATTGGAAAAATAATAGTTTTGTCCTATTACAGTGAACTTTGAGTGATTATAATTACATTTTAACACAGTAAACATGGATGGTAAACATTTTGTGACGTGTGCCACTAGTAGATCATGAATCCAGTGTGATGACCATTGCATACCATACGAAGCCCATATTATGCTATCTTAAAATATGGGGTAAAATAATTGGTTATTCTATATTACAGTGAACTTTGAGGGTATATAACTTAAGTTTTCCACAATGGCTGGTAAACATATTTTGAGGTGTGTGCCACTAGTAGATCATTAATCCAGTGTGATGACTATTACATACCATAAGATGCAGATATTATGCCAGTTTAAAGATGTTTTGTGACGTGTACCACTAGTAGATAAATAATCCATTGTCATCAACATTGCAAAACATAACATGCCCATATTATGCCAGCTCCAAGATGGAGAAAATACTTGTTTTGTCCTATTATAGTGAACTTTGAGGAATTCTAATTTAATTTTAACGCAGTAAACAGGGATGGTAAACACTTTGTGACATGTGTCCACTGTTGCAATTGAACTGGATGATTAAAGATGTTGTTTAAACTTAAAACTGTTGTCACTGTCTCAGCTCACACTTCCCTTCACCGAATGAAACCAGTTTGAGGTTCATGCTTTTATTCAAGATAACAAGAGCTTTGTGTGTGCAATAGTTTGAAGATAAATCTTTATTACACCGAGACTGATTCCAAAATTAAACTTGAATTATAATGTATAATTATAATTGTATTATACATTTCATATTGATGTACACACCACATATCAGTCATACAACTACATAACGTGTATATAGTGCCTAACACAACCCCAAAGTGCAGTGAGAGTATGTGTGCCCGTCCCAAAGGTATGTTAACATCAATATAATATATTATATGGCCTATTACGTAGTCACACACCCAGTGCACTTGACTTGGATAATATAAGATATGCCCA